AGAGACTAAGCATATAAACTTGAAGCCGAATGCAAAAAAGATAACTGGTAGTTAGATGACAGGGAAATGCCAATAATGGGAGATCAAATGGTAATTAGATATGTGAAACACCCGGGTTTCACGGGTCATAGATCGATTCGCTCGCTCGCTTTTCAAAAATCAGCCGCTGGTCGGAAGAACATTTTATTCAATCGCTTTGCTGAACGCTTTGATATCGTCATCTGCCAGGGCAGCAATCCATAGGCAACGCTCTAAAACTCCAGGGACAGGTTCGAAAACATATTTTGTGCTTGCATCAATGAGGCGAAGAAGACTCTTCACGATGGCTGCGGCAGTGTGATAACGCTCAAAGTTGACCAGTGGTTCGCCATCGCGAGTGCTGGCGATCTGTGCTGGCTTTTGAGCGTTATATGTCAAGTCTTGCACATAGAGGCCTGTCGCAACAGTTAGCATTGTCGATCAAGCGAAAATCAGACACGACTGGACGGAGAAGCATTTACTTACCAACAAAGGGAATACAGCCGTCTTGGACGGAAGATTCCATTTCAGACCTAAGTTTATGAAAGTTGCGGATTGGTTGGATCAGAAACTCCATTTCCGCCAGTATCTCCTTTTCGGTCTCTGGAACACGCTCCCATGTTTTAACGAGTCGTGTACAGTCGACAGATGATAAGGCAATGACCATCTGCAACATAGTGGCATAATTACGCAGCTTCCTTGCGTTCACAGCAATGTGAATGAGTTTCGTGATCACCAGAGCACGCTCTGTGATATTTTTGGTGAGCACGACTTCTGATACGGCCCATTTGACCATCAAGTTAAAGCGTGCGACGACCATATCTATGCCTTTACGATCAACACCGGCAGAGAGATAGTCAACCCAGTTAAGTGGAGAAGGGCAGGAATGCGTCCAGCGCATGTCAACAAGGTCTTTCCAGTCGACTTCACTAAGAGCAGCTTGTTCGACGATGGTAAATTGTTTAGCAAGCGTCTGCGAGTCGTGGGCTAAAATAAAGGCAATATGGCCAGAGCTAGGGAGAGCATGGCTTGCGTGGGTCGGAGTAGTAGGAGCGATGGATGGGTGAGAGTTATTGCGAGGACGAGAAAAATTTTGTGGGAAATCCGGATGTTGGTTTGGAAATGGAGGGTCAAGATATTGATGGTATGGCGGTAAAGGAGTTGGCTGGAGGAAGGAAGACGCTACTATGGACGGTTCAGCGAGCGGGTGGGTAGGATCTGAAGGCTTCCTGGTAGGTCCTTCATCTATAGAGAGTTCGGACGAAAGCTCAGAGACGCTGTCATCTATGTGCTTATCACCTGTCGGTTCTGGCGCAGTAGCGCCATGAACAATCCTATTTATGCTAGCTGTCTTCTCAACAACCTCGATAGAGGGATGATTAGAGACAACATTTTGGCCTAAGGGCGAAGGATTCTCGAAGTTCGGAACTGTAGGTGTCTTCATGGACTCATCTCCCAAGCCACGCTCCAGCAGTGGAATAGAGGAGTATGAGTAATCTGATCCAAGATACGACTCAGTACCAATGGGATTACCGGCTGCTGGCTGTTCAGGATATGTAGTAGCTCCGGAACCAACATTCACACATTGGTTGTTTGTAGACCCATCAGGGTGAGCTTGACGAGATTCCTGCCTAGCAGTATTGGAGAAGCCAACAGAAGAGCTGTCATTTGGCCTAGCAACCGTATCCCCCTTCCATTTTCCCTCGAGCTTGAGCAGAGCAGACTCGATACTCCCGTCCGGCAGATCGGGTATTGTCCGAAAGCCAGCAACTGCATCTTCGAAGATGTGCCTAGCATGAGGCGGCTGTGGTGAAGAATGAGAACGCGTACCGCTACGGCTTAGTGAATCTAACGCACTAGAAGAAGTCGAAAAATCGATATCGTCATCATCGTAATCGTCATCATCATAGTCCTCGCTATGCGAAATGGAGTCCATATTGGATGCATGGGTTATGTATAATGCAGAGGACGTCGAGTCGGTTGCAGTGGTACTAGAGGCAAACCTAAACTTATTCAGGTCACGATCAGGGCCAGTGTTCAATCCCGGTTGTTCAGAGCCCATGGTAGTCTGCATTTTGCGCAAGTCACCACCAGGGCGTCTTCGAAGCCTCTTCTCTGGGAGTTGCATGCCCCTAGCCACGGGCATGTGTACAGGTAGAAAGGAGTCTCTACAAGCTCCCATGTCAGTCTTGTCAGTAGTCCTGGGCATGTCTGAAGCAGGTCGTTGGCCGCCATGGCCGCCTAGCACACTTTGGTAGGATGCATATTTGCGTAATCTGGAGCCTGGCTTGCTGATGGAGACATTCTCATGGTGAGTTGACATGGGTATCACCTCTAATTTGTCCTTACCGGGTATAGACAAGGGGATGGGAGTAAGCGGATCAATCTCTGGTTCGGGATCAGCTTGACCAGAGCCAGGATAATACATCTGGAATTCCTCAGGGAGTAAAGAAAGGCCACCGCTTGTACCAACCCTGGTATCATCAACAATGAGTATGGACTGGCTGCCCGTCGTGATCTGGCTAGAAGCTCCACGTGAGAAGTTGGGAACAGGTACCGAAGCGGGTATTTCTGCCCGTGGCTGGGTTTTCGGGCTTGGGCTGCGAGGAGCAGCGGAGGTAGCTAACGGTGTTTGATTTACTAGTGTCCCATAAGATTGGTAAGTCCTATCGCATAGAACATCGATTCGTGAGGGGCTCTTTATCCCAGGCCTCTTCTCGCGATACCTATCTGATCCGAAGACAACGTTGGGGGGAAGGAGAGATGTTTTACCATGAGCTGAAACGATAGGGCGCGGCTCCGGTTTGCTAAACACGGTGCTGCTAGAGGCGTTACCGGCACTAGAAGCACTACTATAAAGAACGCGGCGGAGAGAGCTAATGAATGTTTTCACTCCTGGTGCGGTCTTGGTCGGAGACTCCAAACGAGAAAAAGAAGCGGCTACCGAGGCAGAGGGTAAGAATGAAGACGAGCTCGGCGGCCGTAAGCGAGGCATAGAAGGGTCTGGCGGTGGTGAAAGTGGGCGTGTGGTTGGGACATCGGGCTCCAGAGGAGTGAGCATACTCCCACGAATGATACTGATGTTGGTACCTCCTGGACAATTGGTAGCTTCAACAGGGCATTGGCCCAGCGAACCCAGTCCCGCAGCACCACTTTCGATATTAAGATTCGACTGTGCCTGTGGTAAAGGAGCACGGTCATCTCTAAATGAATCCGAAAAGCTTCCGCTGCGTTTATGAGAGTGTGAGGATTGAGTGTGAGAGTGCAGGGGCCAGCGCCATATTGGAGAGCGCGGACTAGGCGGAGCTGGGGGACGAGAGGGGCCGTTTAATTTGGGAATGGGGTCCGGGGCAACATGCGCTCCTCGGTCTTGGTTGGAGACGCTGTTGCCGCGCAATGAGAGGCGTGAAGAAGGGGTATTGAAGATAGCCTGGTTGAAAGCGGTTTGTGCAGGTGGCGGGCTTTTATTGAGGTCATTCACGGAGACTAAAGAGCCCTTGCGGGTTTGGCTGGCAGGCGTATCCTGGGCAACGAGTTCGGAGTATGAAAAGCACAGTCCGTCCCCGTTAGACCTAGAGCCCGGCTTACTGGTGCCGGGGACAATGGGTTCCTCTGGTCGAGGATCATTGACAAATTCTGGATCATCCCAGCACTGCGCACAGCGACCATTCCAGCACCGTTTCAAGTCCAGGATAATTTTGGTATCACTAACGTCACGGGAGCTGCGGCGTTTGAGAGTCTCATACAAGGAATTGATCCGTGAGCAAAACTGTGCACGCAGGCTATCACTGGCAACGAAGTCATCTACGAAGTAGTTGAGGATCCAGTGGCGTAGAGCAGCAAAGACACGAATGCGGATAATGCGTCCGTCATCCTCACGGCGGTTGATGGCCCACTCCAGACGGGCGAGGAGAAGAGAGAGTAAATTACTAGGGGAGAGGTAAGAGCGGAAGGTAAGAAAGAAATCCGAGACAAGTTCGTAGTCCATAAACGATTCAGATGATATTTGGGCGACAATGCGGGCGGGCGTAGCGGCGGATAGTTGTTTGGTCTGTTTTGAGTATCGAACCACAGAAGCATCATGCATGATGGGTAGCAGGTCATCAAAGATAGAGGGTTCTATAGGCTCCTGAAGCTTGTAAAAGACAGATTGACCTGCTCCCTTGTCGATGACGGTCTTATGCACGGAAGAGCCGGCCATCTTGCCCATGGATATCGGCGAGGATAACCTCGGGGGCCTAGGGGCTGGTCGATAGGCAGAGACATGTTTCTCTGGGAATTTAAAGTCTTCTAGCTTACGAGCTGGCCCGGGCAGCTTGGGCGGTGTCTTTTCGACTGGCTCTGACCCCTCAATGACCACTTTAAGTGCTCCGCGAGTAGGACTTGGCGGGACATCGTCTATGGTAGGTAAGGATTTCCATCGACGGAGGTGATGGTAGGTCTGTGCAGGTGCACGCGAGGTTGTATCCGGCGGATCAACAAGGTAGGAGAACTGTGAGTTTGACCAAACACTCGCCCGGTGGCCGGCGGCTGTTATTTCCGGTATGCTCGGTGCTGGGCTTAAGGTATGCGGTGTGTAGGACCTGTTGGTGATTGGCCTGATATGTTGTTTGTGGATAAGTGTTAGGGAATGTATACCAGAGTCGGACAATTCTTCGACTGGGCTAAGGCTGAGGTCAACACATACCGTAGATATAACCGTCCATTGTTGCCGACGTTGGCGACAGTAAACTGACGGCCATGGGAGAGGCCTCGGCGACGCTGAGCAAGTACTTCGTCGCTGCTTTTTACCTCCCGCAAACTGGGGCCCTGGCTATTGATGTTCTGGCTCTTCGCGACAGAGTGTCTTCGCGGACCAGGAACAGAGTAGCTAGGGCTATTGGCGTTCATTATTATTGCACTCTCCGTGATGGGCTCCCCGGGGATTGTGGCTGCATATTCGGCCGGAGCTGTCAGAGAGAAGGCAGGCTCATTGCGGAAGTATGTCACGGGCGGCGGCGGAGGAGGAGGAGGAGGAGGAGGAGGATAAGAAGAAGGAAGAAGAGGGGAAAGAGAGTAGAAAACTATCTATATATTCGGCCGTCGCTGGCGAAAAAGGAACTGCCGGTCGATCTACGCCTCGCGGAGGTCGGTGTCGCGTGTTCTCTCCCAGAAGTGTGATGCACACTGGACGAAATGAAGGACAAAGGATGGTGATGGGACGAAGGAGGAAGGCCGGCGTAGGAGCAAAAGGGAGGAAGAGAAAGAGAGCCGACTCCCGTCGAAGTAAATGCGAATGGATGTTATGGTAGTAAAGGAAAGAGAGTTTTCCCGGGTTGGCGTTGCTGGAGGGCGGTCAAGCCGGCGAGAACAAGAAGCGCTGGCCTAGATACCGATCAGCGCTGCGTTACCAGACGACCAGACAAGGCGACGCGAAGCCTTGGAGACGTGAAAAAGCAACGCAAACGAGTAAGACGAAAGCGCAACAACAACAAGCAAGGCAAAAGGAAGCGTCGAAAGAAGAAAAAAAAAGGCGTAGGAAAGATCACGCATGCTTACGTAACTCTAAGCTGAGGCCACCCTTCTTAGCTAAGCGCGACGCGGGTGAGAATGGCCAATAGGAAAGCCCCTCGTGATTAAGTAATCAGCTATGAGCAGGGGGAGCTTAAAGAGACGTCGGCCGCAGCGAGGAGAGAGGAGGAAGCCAGAGCGACGACGACGACGAGCGAGCAGGCGGCCTGAAGTAGCTGCTGGAGGGCAGGGACGGCCAGGAGCTGGGCAGACGGGAAGACAAAAAAACCTGTAGCCCATCAGCCTGGATGGCCTACTTTTCCTCGCTGGCCGCCAGAACCTGGCAGCATTGCGGCGCGTTTTTCTGGTTGCGTTGCCAGCTGCTGCTTGCTGCTTGCTGCTGCTGTTGTTGTTTGTTTGGATGTTTTGGAAGCTGAAGAAGCTGGAAAAAGCAAAGAAAGCGAAAAAAAGAAAAGAGGACGCCTCAGATGACATAAGCAAAGCTAAGACGGAAGAGGGTTAGGGCTAACTCTAACTGAGCCCTAACTTCATCATGTGACATCACGTGCTGCGGGGTGTCCCGTGACTTGACTTTCGCAGGGCGTTTCCCAAAGGGGCAACGGAGGGCAAGGGACGGAGGAAGAAAAACAAAAGGAACCTTAACGAAACTTGTTGAGCTTGTCTTGAGAAGGGCGCAGAGCTTCGTCGACTCAACTGCGAGCCACCGTCATCGTCACAGCTGCTACTTACTCCACGGCGCAGAGATATAAAGCGGTCTCCTTCCCCTCCTTCTCCGGACCCAGTTCGACTCATCCTCTGCTCTGCTCAATTGAACGCCCTACGTCTACATACATCAACCACCGGCATTTCCCCTCACCCCACCCGCTCACAAGCTACAGCTGCAATGGCTCAGAAAGAGAAAGTCCTCCTCGCCTACTCCGGCGGCCTCGACACCAGCTGCATCCTCGCCTGGCTCCTCGAGCAGGGCCATGAGGTCGTCTGCTTCCTCGCCGATGTCGGCCAGGCTGAGGATTTCAAGGAGGCAGAGCGCAAGGCCCTCGCCGTCGGTGCAAAGAAGCTGGTCGTCGAGGACCTCAAGAAGGAGTTCGTCGAGGATCTCTGCTTCAAGGCCATCCAGTGCAACGTTCGTTCTCTGTGTTTCTTGACCCTCGCTCCCTGCAATTGACCATGGAAGGCTAACAGAAAAAATCCTCCTCCAGGCCATCTGGGAAGACCGATACCTCCTCGGGTGAGTCAATCGCCCTATTTTTTTTTTTTTTTTTTTTTTTTTTTTTTTTTTTTTTTTTTTTTTTTTTTATTTATTTGTCTATGTGACTACAACCAGGATTGGAATGCTAACTGTTGAGTAGAACTAGTCTGTAGGTGCCCAGAACTGGCCTCCTCTCACCAGCATTCAGTGATACTTACCTGTCCCCAGTGCCCGCCCAGTCATTGCCAGAGCTATGATGCGCGTCGCCCAACAAGAAGGATGTACCGCTGTCAGCCATGGTATGCATCCCACCGCTTTTTGACTATTTTTGCTTTTGGAAGGATATCGAGCTAACCCGTTTTTCTTTTTCTTCAACCAGGATGCACCGGCAAAGGGTACCTCTTCCCTGTCGAATCCCTGTATCTCATCGTGGCCCATGCTCACCCCTTCCTGCAGAAACGACCAAGTCCGCTTCGAGCTCGCCTTCTACGCCATCCAGGTGAGATGATTTTATACCCCTCGCCTTGATAGGCACTTTGCTCGTTCAATTGCTAACCCCCCGTTCAACAGCCAAGCATCAACGTCATTGCGCCATGGAGAATGCCAGAGTTCTACAACCGTTTCGCCGGCCGCAACGATCTCATCGAATACGCCCAGAAGTTTAACATTCCCGTTACTTCCACTAAGGCTAAGCCGTGGTCTATGGATGAGAAGTATGGGCCTTTCCCTCACTTTTTGCTACTAATTAGATAAGTCAATCATTAACACCTGGTAAATAGCTTGGCTCACTGCTCCTACGAAGCTGGTATCCTCGAGGATGCCGACCACACTCCACCAGATGACATGTGGAAGTTGACCGACGACCCTCGCAGTGCCCCTGATACCCCAGCTGATCTCAACATCGTCTTTGAGAAGGGTATTCCAGTCGCTCTCATTGACCCCAAGACTGGCAACAAGACCACAGGCTCTCTCGCCATCTTCTCTGCTCTCAACGAGATCGGCCGTGTCCACGGTATGCCATATTTTCCCCGGGGTTACATTGTATGCCTCATTGATCATAAACTGACGTCTATCCAGGCATTGGTCGTATTGATATCGTCGAGAACCGCTACATTGGTCTCAAGTCTGTAAGTCTTTTGCCTTCCCCTGTTCAAGCTACCCTTGGCGTATGCATACTGACCTCTTCCCTGCACAGCGTGGTTGCTAGTAAGCTTCTTTCCCCCAAATGCAGGTCCCCATACCACCCCTGCCCGAGCTCTAACACATTCTCTCCTAGTGACTCCCCTGCCATGACCATCCTCCGTCTCGCCCATCTTGACCTCGAGGGTCTCGTCCTCGACCGTGAAGTCCGTCTCCTCCGTGACCAGTTCGTCACCATCACCTGGTCCCGCATCCTGTACAATGGCCTATACTTCTCCCCAGAGCGCAAGTTCATCGAGCAATCCATCACCGCTAGTCAAGACGACGTTAACGGTCAGGTCCGCGTCCGATGCTTCAAGGGCGCCGTTTCCGTCCTTGGTCGCAGCTCTGAGACCAGCAAGCTGTACGACCCCGAGCTCAGCAGCATGGACTCCATTGACGACTTTGCTCCTACCGACACCACTGGTTTCATTGCCACGCAGGCCATCAGACTCAAGGCCTACGGTAAGGCCGAGAAAGCTGCCGGTGTCGACCTCACCAAGCCATAGATTTGACACATAAACTGCACCTCAATTTTAGTGCAACTCTATCTATCCCGAAGATTCCTCTGCCGGAGATTAGATAAAAAGATCGCACTACCAGATTTCCACCAGCATCACTACCGTTGCTACCACGATATCATCACCGCCATCCAGGGAGCTAGTTAATCGCCTGACGTTGTTTTCCTTTTTTTTCTCTATTTTTGGGGCAAAACAAAATGCACGGAAGGATAGAGAGGAAACCACATGTATTCTGGGCCAACAATCCAGATCTGAGGCGATACGTATACTTTTAATTAACGAGTAAATGCAATGAAATACTAATGAACTTGTTCATGTGAATCTCCACGAATCCAAGCTGAGGGTTACCTGCAATAGGTGGTCAAAGCGTAAAACCTAATAAAACCAGGTGACCAAACCTTAAAATAAAGGTCTTATGTAATGATATGATTATGTAATCATTTAGACATCATGTGATCTGGCGGCTTCGCGCGTTTAAACTTTGCCCCAGTAAATACTGAAGTGATTCTACAACTACACGTCTTGGTTTATCCATCACCGTTCGACGGGATATAACAGGCAGGCGGTCTGCTCTACCAATATATCAACTGAATGCAATTGAATTCCACAGAGTTTGAGTACGCTTGAGCCAACCATCTCATTCTCTAGCCTCCAGCACTAATAGCTTTTTCGACAGTTGCAAGATGAACAGGAGCAGACAGGCCCAAACCCAACCAACGTACGATTTTCTCGCTGAAAACTCTCCACCCCAGATGCCTAGAACGCCATTACGAAGAAGTACTCGAGCTAGCGATTCAGCGGTTAAGCCAGGTCAGTTACTCCATTTTCCCTGCGCTCCTTCTGCGCCAGGCTCCTCTGCTCACATTTTCTGGTCAATAAATAGATGTTGGGAACGAAGAACTACGCGTGCAAATCAGCACGTTGAAATACGATCTTGAAAACATCAAACAGGAAAGAGATCTTACTGCGCTGCAACATGAGAAAGAGCTAAGGGAGCTGCAGGCCAGGGCCGACGCGGATTTCCGAAGGGCACAAGCTGCTGAGACCAGCAATAATAAAACGCAACATAAGATCGAATCACTCACTGAAGAGCTGAAAAGTACACAAGAGGCAGCGATTAGCGAGAAGTCGTCCTGGGAAAGGAGGCTGAGATCGTTGCAGGACGAAAATGAAACTCTACGTGAGGAATCAAATGATTACCAGTCGCAACTAGCTGACCAGCAACGTCAGTACAAACACCAGATTGACGAGCTGGAAGCTATCAGATCTGCCCTGCAAAAGTCCCTGGATGAGCTACGGAATGAGCTTGAAGAGGTCACCGGTAACTTACAAACGGCACAGGAAAGGCTGGAAGGACGAGAATCAGAAGTTGAAGCGCTGGAAGCAGAAAATATCCGGTTAAAGGCTGAGGGGACGGATCCCGAAGCACTCAACGTTTTGAAAAGGGAATTATCGGAACAGCTGGCGCAAGTGAGAAGGCTTGAGAATGAGCTCAGGCCACTCCAAAAGTCCCAGAAAAGAGTGGAGGTCGTTGAGGAGCAGAAAATGGCGCTCGAGAGCCAACTCCAGATGATGAAGAGTGTCGAGGCGGAGCTACATAATACACAAATTCGAAATCAAGTACTAGAAGATGAGAAACGTTCCTGGGATACCTTATTGCAAGGACCAGGCCATGAGGCGGAGTTTGATTCTCCCGAATCTATCGTCCGAGCTCTTGTCCAGACCAGGATTGAAAATGCATCTTTAGTAGAAAGAATCGGACACATCCAATCTGAGGCTACAGAGAAGTCTGAACTAGCTGCTCGACTGGAAGACGAGAAACATTCTCTGCAAAAGGAGCTTGAAAAGGCACGCGCAAGTGGTGCAGCTAATGCCACCTCTTCGTCTTCGTCAGGCTCCGAGAGCCGAGCTAGACTGCGGCTAGAACGTCAGCGAACACTTGCATTAAAAGAGGTGGAATATCTACGAGCTCAACTTAAGGCGTTTGACGACGAGGAGACGACTATGAACGTCGAAGAGAATCGTTTTGATTCCCAAAAATCTGAGCATATTGCGCGTTTAGAAGACCTCTTAACTCAACACCGCCAGGAGCTCCATGAGTTACATGAACAACTATCAAAGCGAGAAGCAGAGGTAACACCTACTCCCGATTCTGCAGCATCCGCTACCACGACTCGAGGAATAAAACGACCGCTTTCCCCTGCAGATAGTGACGCAGAGAGCGAAAGGATTGCAGTCCTTACCCGCAAGTACCGTGCCGCTCAAGAATCGTTTTCTAAATCAGAGCAATCGGTCAAAATGCTTACAAAGGAACTTGAAGCTACCAAGTCTCATCTCTCTTCTCTCCAGGCGCAATCCCGGACTCGAATACTAGAATTCCGTGATAACCCCACTGCACAAGCAGAGAAGATTAAAATGACTACCCTGAAGACTCTCAAGGCAGAGAACGTTGACCTGCTCAACCAAATACGTGGTTCTCGCGCAAATATCAAATCAGTTCCAGCTTCCGTACTTGAAAGTATGAAGCTCGAGCTCAAAGAAGCTGAGAAGGCAGTTGCCGAGAAAGATAAACGTATCCGCCGGCTCAAGGAAATATGGACCGCCAAATCTTCTGAGTTCCGAGAAGCCGTTGCATCTATACTAGGGTATAAGCTGGACTTTATGCCTAATGGCCGGGTGCGGGTGACGTCTATGTTCCATCTATCCCCGGCCTACAGACACGGTGATGCAGGTGGCTCTGCCGATGGGCCTGGGAGTATGGGGGACGGCGAGGAGAACTCAATCATCTTTGATGGCGAAAATGGAACTATGAAGATATCCGGTGGCCCAAACAGCTTGTTTGCGCTAGAGATCCGTGATCTGATTAAATTCTGGGTTGAGGAGAGGAAAGATATCCCTTGTTTCCTAGCTGCGATGACCTTGGAATTTTACGATAAAACGACAAGAGCTTTACGGATGTAAGAGTCTGTCCGAACGACAATTTTGCTTGCTTCGAGCTATATGAGCTCTAGGCTGTTTTTTTTTAAAGCGTTGGCTATCCATTATGTTTCAGGTGCATGACGTGTCAAGCTACTTTATTCTTATACCTCATTTCTTGATATCTCTAAGTCAAGAATCCCAATAGGATGACAAAATCACTATATACATCATAGAACGCCTCAGCCCGAATCTGGGTAGATCAACTAAGTCGGGTGGTGTGTTGCAATGTCATAAATCCATGCTTAGTTCGCTCTATTATGCGTTGTTCTTCAAAAACTCGTATGCAACAATCGTGTGAATCTGCGAGATGTTAACGAGCTCGTCTATTTCGACGTACTCATCTGCGGCGCCCATATTGTTTGGTGTGCATCCTACAACGACAGTCGGCACATTGGCAGCACGATACCAGCGCGAATCTGACGCTCCGACCCGCATATTGCAAACAGCTTGCTGACCTAGGACTTCTGCTGATACCATTTCAGCTAATCGACATATCTCCTCGTTCGGAGATGTGTAGTTTGGCTCGGATGTCCGTAGAATACGCCAGGATATTCCTGCCATCGGCCCAAGCATGTCATTCAATCTTTTTTCTATAAATTCCGTTGATACGCCCACTGGTATACGGATATCACATTGGGCCATTGCAGAGCTCGGGACTAGATTCGGGGATACGCCTCCCTTGATTGTGCCCGTGTTCACGGTGATACGCTGCAAAGTATCTGATTCACCGGAGCCTGAAAGCGCTTCGGATATATCCCTTGCAGCATCGATGGCATCTGATACCGCTGGTGGTGCATTCATTGTGACCTTTTCAAGCTCATACACCGCATCCAGCGCCTTTCGCAGACGATCGATGGCATTCACACCTCGATGGACATGCGCTCCGTGAGCAGGGGTGCCAACAGCTTCGATATCAACCCAGACAAACCCTTTTTCTCCAAAGCGGATAACTCTGGGTGATCCGGCATCGCCGCATATCATAACATCTCCCGTTGCCTTTTCAACGTGGTCTAGCAGCCACTTGGTGCCCTGTTTGCCCATGGATTCTTCATCCCCAGCAAGAGTAAGTACAATCTCACCAGACCAGGCATTTCGATTTTCTGACAAGATCGTAGCTGCGACGATGGATGCTGCGATTCCGCCTTTCATATCAGAGACGCCACGCCCGTAAAGGCGGCCATCTTTTACCACACCACGTGCTGGCGGCACAGTCCACTTCAGCTCCTCACCAAGGGGGAATGTATCAAGGTGTCCATTAAAAACAAGTCGCTTACCAGGGCGACCGCTCGAGATGCATGCAACTACATTCACAATTCCCGCGCCAGTTACATAGCGGGTTATCTGAACGTCTGGGACGGCTTCTTCGAGCAGTTGTATGGCAACTATAGCTGCTAATGCGGTATTCCCTGGGGGGCATGGTGACGGAGCAGCTACTAGTTTCTGGGCTATCCGTACAATAGCTTCCCTTCGATTAGATACTTGAAGCCGTAGCTGGGGTCTTAGCTTTGCTGCTTGTTCTTCCATCTTTGCGAGAAATAATTAGGAGATGTTGGATGGCCACCAGATATGCGGTATCAGGGACAGCTTTTTCTTGCTATGTGAGCAGTTCAGAAGAGTATGTTTAACGCTAAACGTACGTCTTTGCTAGAGGATGAGGTTAGGTTGTTACCACGCTTGATATCTGAAGTCCTGGCAGTCACTTTGCTAACGACAGTTAAGACCCAGCTGACCAAGGGGTGGGCTTTTAGTCCGATAGTTGGTTAGCCCATGTTTAGCACATGGATCAAGGCCGAGTTTATGCGCTTGCCCTTAGGTTTTGTACTGTTCGAGGGAGCAGGCTATACGAAGTCAAGTCTAGATATTCGGAATAACAACATAGCTATGTACACTAATTGCCATTGAATAGACCTGGATTATGCAAGGGATTCCTGCTAGCTGTAATATTCACTCGTGCAACTCTTATGCACTCCTACAAGGTAATATATATAAGATATATATATAACGGATACATAGCAGGAAATACAAGATATAATCAAGAAAGCAATACAAAAGAGCTAAAAGGAATGATGCCTGTCTACGCCTGAACCTGTCTTCAAGGGTATATGATAACAGGTAAGAAATGGATCAACCAAATACATAGGACGAAAGAGAGAGTGGTGAAACTAATCAGTGAAATGACTAGTGCTGTCAATCGAATAGAAAGATTCCAGTAGCCAACCACAAAGTAACTGACTATGCCGAGACGTACTTCGCAATAGTGAGTCTACGTTCAGTCAAAGGCTCTGCCCAAGATTCCACAGAGGAATCTCCCTCTTTAGAAGTACCTAGGCCGTCATCCGCGAATGGGTCATCTTCTTTGTCTTTGTGGTCTGAGTTTGCACTTGATTGAGAAGTAAGCACACTCATACCGAGCCTCGAAGTATTGTTGCTGCATGTCGCGTCAAACTTGGCTTCGACCTTTCCCCTTCTCGGCCCGCTCGTCGATGTTGTAAACCTAGCAAGAAATTTCCCATCCTCGCCGGGCCTAATCTCTAGTTCCGGGATCTTCCATGTGACGGACGAATTCTTGCGTCGGAAAACGGCACCAGTGCTTGGGTGCATGGCAGCACCCACTGCTTTAGCAACTTCACGAGGACGCATAGTTGTTTCGTCAACTTGTGATATGTCCAGACCCACCGATAGCACCAGGTTGTGAAGAACAACAGATGCACTCGAGTCGGAGGAGATAAATTGAGAGTTCAGCGAATATTGTACAATTACACTTGCTTGAAATTCCTCCTCGTTCCAAACAGGTGTGAAGATAACAGGGCAGTATGAGGATAGGTTCGAAGAGTCCAGATGGATCTGATATTTGAAGGCAACTGTTGGCGTAGGACCCGTAATCTGTGCTAGACGTACTTGATATTGGCCTTTGGAGGAATCATCATGCGGTATATCACCCCCAGATGTAGTTATGCTCCTCTCCATAACAAATTGCGGGTTCGCAGCCACCCGTTCTAGGATGCCAAAGTTGTTTAGGCGGATAACTTGCGATTCCGAGGCATATTCTGCTGATGTATGGTTATTGTATGCAAGAGCAAGCTCTCCGACAACAAGTGATCTGGTAACAACCCCCTCTGATAACATGACGGTTAATTTCTCCACAATGGAAACATTAAGACCTGGTTCCGGTAGTACAGGGTGTGTGATTGGCCCCGATAGGCTGTGCAGAGTCTGCGAGGAATGAATAGAGGTATTATCCGGCATATGGTCCTCCTGGGTAACTTTTTCCGGCAATGCCTCGCTCCTTGGCATCTCGGGAGTTCCTGGCTGTGCCGATACAGCGTTACTCAAAGCAGGGAAGGGGTTTTCAGCACTGTGACCATTGCCTGGGAGCGGAGGTTGAGGGAAGAACATGGTATTTCGTACATCACGACGTCCTCTAACGGTCCCAGGGCCGCGAGCAGCGCCAGATTGTTGTGCTTTCTAGATAATGCAAGATTAGTTGGGAAAAGGAGCTGAGCACGCCAACAATAGGCACATACAAGTCGTAGAGTGTTTGCCACTTGGTTCAATGCTTGTTTAGCCTCGCTTTCATCCTCTGGAATTGGCTGGTCTCGAATGGTTAGGTTTATGCCCGAATCGTCAACACTAAAAGTAATGTCAGTTTTATCAGAAATACATACATGTTGTGAACGCAAGGTAACTCACGCAGCGGCTTCCCTTTGAACTCGTGTAATTTCATCTTCTATATCCGGTCTCTGAGAGTAGCCTTCCGCATCGACTTGTGAGGTTTGACCAGGTGCGTCTGTTGACTGCCCATTTATTGCAGTCGATTCTTCTGCTGCAGGTTCCTCAGGGATATCATTCGGCGCCGGCAGAGGAGGTGATTCAATGAATGCCGATTCATTCATAGTAGATGACGGTGGCCTTTGTGATTCCATTGAAGTAACCGCCTCTAAGCTATGATGTCCTTCTGATTCGTCCATCTGTTGAAAATTGCGGGATGGATCGGTACGGCGGAATGTGGTGAAAGGAGATCGAAATTTCTTCTCAGTAGGCCCAGTAGAAGGAACAATCATGCTCTTGCGTCTCCCCATAACCGTTCCAAGTCGTTTTAGGCCGCCAAAGGCAGTATGGCGAGGCTCGGGGGCTGTTGTGCTTGTTAAAAAAATTATAGCAGTAATTGATAAGCAACAAGAACTCACCCTGTTGGAGGCTGGGGCGACGCTGTGCAGAAGTACCAGAACGCTGACTCGCATCGTCATCATGGACTGGAGGAGGAGACGGCAGTGGCTCTGTCGCAGCCGGTGGGGTTGGTTTAGGACTTGTCGGTGTATCCTGTCGAGGCGAAGTTGGAGCTGGGGTAGATGGGACGGTCTCAGAGGGCAATCGTCCTCCGCTTTTCTTGTTAACGTACGTGCGGATCTCCTCACCCGCTTCTATGTTTAGTAACGAGTTAAGAGAGCTCTCTACTGCCTGGCGACTGCGTTCAACATGGTCTGTCTCGTGAGTTTGGTATTGAGTAAGGATGTCTCGCAGGTGGTTGACACGGTGTTCATCAACAGCTTGCAGTTGCTCGAGAACAAAGGGTGCTCTAGACTGCCATTGCGCTCTGGCATCGTCCACGGCAGCCTGTGCGCTGGGCACTTTTGAAGCCTGTTTGGGGCCTTTATCTTTAATCTTATCAAGCTTCTTTTGGGCAGCCTCCAGAGTCTTGGCTAGAGATGCAAGGTCGTTCTGGATTGTTACCATTGACTTCATGTCTGGATTTTTGGTTTCATATTCTCTGAGGGGTCTTTCGCCATCCACCTCAATTCCGTTAGCTAGCGCTTCGTGCGAATGAGCCATGGACTCTGTCGCAGAAAGGATCCGCTGCCATGGTATTTCAAAGACCCTATCACACAGAATTATCGAAAATCAGTAGATGCTTCGAGAAATAGAGTTTATTGAGAGTTGTATCCGACCCCAATGCCTGGCCTCCTTCTGGCTGTGGTCTCCGCGCAAGCTTCCGAAGTCCGAGATAGTATGCTTCCTCTAATCGGCGTCGTTCCTACTCGTCTCATTAGCATCCTATATTCCCGCCATCACACGGCGTATATGATTGGGGTAGCAAGGCGTACAGCAAGCCAATCTGCAACATCCGTATTGAGCTTGTTAACCGTCCGCAACCGCTCAGTGACAACAGCAATAGCTTGGCTAGGTTGCAAGATGCCCTATTTCCATATAATAAAGTATTAGTATATATAAATTTATAAAAGAGAAGGCAGCCATATCACTGGCGAAGACTACAAGATAGCCTAACTCACCGCTAGGGCAGGGTATTCCTGTCGCGACAGTTCCATATCAAACGCGTTTCATAGCCTGGATTCAGACAAGGGAACTATAGCATAGTTTCTCGGCAATAACAAAATAGAAACCAGGAGATATAGAGGTGTATTCTCAGCCTCAAGGGTAAGAGTGACTATTGAATGAATGACTGCTCTTCTCTGTTCTTTGCAACTGCGAATACTGCTTATCAGGAGAGGCAGAAGATGAGACGTTCTGTACATGATTTGCGACGTTCTGGATGGCGGAGAGAAGATGCTGACAAATTATGTCACGTGTCCTTTGTTTATTTTTGCCACTGTCAGAGAAAAAGAAAAAGTCTGGGGAAGAAGAAGGAAACAAAAGATAAACAGGATAAAAAGACGGATGCAGAGAAGAAAGAAAGGGGCATTATATATGGTGTAGAGGAAGGAGAAGGGCTATAGAGTGGGAATCAGTTCTGTTAGATGTTTGGGTAACTATTGATGCCGTCTCCTTATATCAGATCTTAATGCATGAAAGCAAATACCCGCCAGCCAATTTCTCACCATAACTGCTACTACTATAAGGAAAGCATTGGGTACGGACGTATATGCATAGAGGCCACGACTGATAAGCAATCTAAGGGCAAACCTTTATACCCCTAGCCGGTGATGGCTTCCAGTACAGCCTGGAGATCAGAAATTGGATTCTCTGATCGTTTAAGTAATATTGCAGCACTGCAAGTTGCACAATACCTTCTCCATCCAATTGAATGCCCGGCATATTCTGACTGGTCTACATAGGAGTTCAGCATACTGCCACAGTCATACAGAAGCAAACAGTGTCTCCGTGGGACGTGCAGAAGCGACCAAGCTTGAGGCTGAGGCGTTTAACGGCGCTTCGTCGAAGGTAAGGAGGGAAAATACCTAGATCCATAGCGGACTACGACATATAACACCTCAACAACACAGGCAGAGTATCAGGCTGCGTGCCAGAAACATATTGATGGGCTGAGAGGCCAACGGATTAAAGATGAGGACCCTAAGATATCAGAAGTCAATCGGGCTTATGATCTTGACCCTCGCCCGGGCAAGCAAATAGGGCCATACAAAAAGGCTCTGCCTGACAATGACGGACTCTTTTCCACCATTTACAAGTCAAGGAATGCGGATGGGTTGCTTGTGGCTTTAAAAGTCACAGTTCCGCAGATGATGCAACCGCCGCATGATTCGATGCGTGAAGCAAGGATAACACGCCGGGGCGAAAGTGCCAATGTCATTCCATTGTTGGATACTCTGCATGAGCCGGGTCAGAGATTCGTCCTGGTATTTCCATACATGTGTTGTCAGCTGGATACATTGCTGAGCCGGAATGTACTTTCTCCACAAGAAATACAGTCTCATTTGCGAGACCTCTTTCGTGCATTGGACCACATACACTCACTTGGCATCGTACATCGCGATATCAAACCATCAAATATACTCCTTCGCTCACCATCGGGGCCGGCGTATCTGGCTGACTTTGGTATCGCCTGGGACCCGACAGATCCAGCTTCTGAGCCGGCTGAGGCAAAAATAACTGATGTCGGAACAACATGTTATCGGCCACCTGAGATACTGTTCGGCGGGAAAGATTATGGTCCGAGCCTTGACTTGTGGGCTGCTGGGTGTGTTGTCGCGGAAGCCATCGACATGCCAACTCATCGAACACTTTTTGATGCTGGTGACCTTGGCAGCGAATTGGCGTTGATACATTCCATTTTTACAACCCTGGGGACACCAAACCTTGACATATGGCCGGTATGTACAGTATGCAGCGTATGAAGCATAGGGGTTTCAACCCCACCCCCCAGCACAGTTCCCCTGCTGCGGGTTTGTTTTGAGGGCCTCCCTTTTATAATCCCGGAAATTGCCATGTCTAATTAATGCTCATGATGTAGTCTGCCAAAGGATTGCCTGACTGGGGAAAAATCGAATTTAAGCAATATTGCCCAAAGCCCTGGGAGGAGATATTGAATGGTGTGCCACAAAATGGTCGAGATTTGGTGCAACAGCTCGTTCGTTACGAGAACAAGGATCGCATTGCGCCCTGCGAGGTTCGTGATTCATATGCGCGCATATATACAGGGTAGATTCATTGAAGGGGTTGCTAATAATTCCGGCATTAGGCATTGAAACACCCGTTCTTCAGCTAGCTACCCTCACCTGTTGCATCTCTACCCTCTCTCTTTGGTTTTGCTTATCTTTTTAAACCAATCTTACACGCAAGGAATCTTTGTGCATATCTTTGCATATCTTTGTGCTAATCCTGCATAACTAATTAACAATCACATGACTGTAATATTCACGTGATGATGGAATCATCCAGTTCCCAAAGTAGAAATTGTTGACCTCAACTTGACAACGTCGAAGCATCCATAACATCTATAGCAATTCACGCCGACCACAGTTCCCTACAGGATATCTTATTTCTCGTCTCCATTTTATGATATAACATGGCCGGCTAGCCAATTAAGAACCTTTTATGGCTTAGGGTTAGGTTCCGATCCGTACTGCGAAATGAACATCATCCTAGGATAAGCTCGTAAGGCCCCAACGAACATGATACTACCCTTTCCTATGATGTGGGATCGGAAATAGGATCTATTTAATAATAGAGCCATTGCTTCGGGTATAAAGCTTCATTCCGTATCAACAAAATATACTTAAACAGGGCTAACATATGGTCATAGTAACCGCTGAGAAGGTAGCTGTTGCCCTGTGAAATGCTTTTTCCTACTTTGCTTGAAAGATGTTGAAGGAACCGGCGAGTTTCTTCAGGAGTACGCTGACGGTCAGAAGGTAAACGTAGCTCGGGATATTTAAGCACCGCTAAAAACAAGCCAATTTAACTTTACTGAGGCACACCAAAGGGAACTCTCAGGTTAAGAGCAACAGCTTGCCTTTGCTCTTCCAACATAGAAGAAGAAAGAAATTTCCCATTATTAAAGACTCAAGACTGGAGTTGTGCCCAGAAGTCCATCCTTCTTCCTCATGGTACGGAGGAAGCCAGCGAGGCGTTGGCGAAACTGCTTGGGAGTTAGCTGGGGCTCAAACGCTCGGCAGTTTACGAAATGGATATCAGTTAAGGAGAAGGAGTCCATTCACTGCGCCTTGGGGTAATTATCTGAGACCGCTAAGTGAGCCTCTGGTTTGGGCGTTTCCTATGATCAAGACTCCCAGGGGCAGTTTTAGGTGTGGGCGCTTAATACTCCGTGCATACCACCGAGATGTGCCGAGTAGTGAGAAGCTCCAGGTAAGAAACCGACTTATGCAGGAACAAACTACGAAGTACGGAGTACAGAACATTTACTCCGTTCTTTAGCATAGAAAAGTGAATAGCGATAATAATTCAAACCGGTGGTAGGAGCTCCTTTTGGTTTGATGAAACCAGCAGATTGCTATGGGAACATCTGAGCGGCCCTGGCTGGTCGAGGAAGAGAAAAAGGACCCAACAGCAGCTGACACAAATTTCAACCAATAGCCGGGCAGTACCGGTTCCCCTTTTCTTTTGTCTGGGAGGATGTTGGACTCTGGTTCCAATCTTGACAGACTCGTATTGATCGACATGGCGACAAAACACGGCAGACAAGGAATGGGAAGAACCGGCGCCAGAATGTTTCCCCATCGACATGGAGAAGAATTGTTGCCTGGATGGAAGATGGTTACTTGCTCGATACGGAGGAGAGGTCTGGTTATCTCGGACGACCGATCGATCATCGGCGTGTGTCTCGCAGGATGGCGGCCATGCTGTTTGTTCCGTCAGCCGTGTGGATGATTCCTCATTGACTATCAGGGAAAGGCGTCAGGTACGAGCAGCCTCATCCTCGTTCCCGCTAACAGTTCCCACCAACAGAAGTCTGGGTTCCGGCCAGGGGAAAGTGCGAGCCCCTGGCGACCTCGTACCGATGTTTAATTAAAAGCAACTAACTTTAATACGGCCAACCGAGGAACCTGGCTGGAGACGATGTGGACAGGCGACGGGCTACCAGATGTCGACAGTTCTTCTCCGTACCAGCGACGTTGGAGTGCGTGGTGTCTGCGATCATGGTCATCATTCGATTGGGAATCTTCGATCTCAAAGGTGTGTGACCCGGACTTGCGCGATTAGTGTGAGCGGTGACCGTGGAGATATCACTTGCATCGCATGGGGAGCGCCATGGATATTCGCCCGGCTCGGCTTCAGCTGGTTCGACTAAACAGCCACTAATTTCTTAGTGTCCCAAAAATACACTTCGGGGGGGCTTTGCTGCCCGGGCATGAAAGTCTCCTCCTCCCCCAGGCTCTTAGCGACCGCTTCCTCGCTCTTTTCACTCTTTTAACTGCTGACATTCACGAATCGACGCTGCCTCGCTCCTTTCTTGTCGACAGTCGACGTTCTCTCTTTGTTTGCTGTCCCCAGGTCATTCTTTTGTTCATTCACTCTTTCCAAAGAGCACTCCGCTGAAGGAGGGTTCTGTCCAGTCGCTCCCTCGGGTCGCAAACTCAAGCGCCTTTCACAGTAATTAATACCATCGCCGATTCCAAGACAGAGACAGATGGCTCTGTGATATCTACAGACGAGCGGTCTAAGATTTCACTGATAATCCATATATCGTGCGTTTGAAATTACTTCTGGTTACTACATCCTGTCTCTGAGTGGTACGGCGATATTGTACCGCGGCGTCTATCTATATCATCATGGCGCGACACGGCCACCGTCATCGGGCTCGAAAGCACCCTTCAATCGATGATATTATCGACAACATCGACGATATCTTCAAGGACAATGACAGGAAGTCGGGCTCCACCATCACATCTGTCATCTATGTGACTGCGAAACCGACGTTCTCTGGACCTATTGGCGGATATTCGACTGCAACGGAGGACCGTCCAAAGATCACACCGTTTCCCCCGTTGGAGACTCCCACGCGGTCAACGAGGAGACCCAGACCAACAGAGACCAGTGATGAAGAGGAGACAGAGACACCAACACCGGAACCGACTCCGGAGCCGACAACACAACGGACACCAACTACCACCCGTCGGCCACCCTCGTCGTCTTCGTCTTCCTCCTCGCAATCATCGTCCCATTCAACTCCTGCACCAACGACAAGTAGTGATCGGGACTTCACTACCTCTACGTTGGCCCCAACACGGACGATTGCTACCAACTCCAATGATGCAGCTATGGAGACAACCTCGGGCTCTAGCTCGGCTACTGCTGTCCCAAGTGCTGGAGGAATGAGCCCGGGTGCGAAAGCTGGTCTTGCAATTGGTCTCATTGCCCTTGCTGCTATTATTGGCGGCGCTATATTCTTCTTCCTTCGTAAGAGGAAAAGAGAACAGGAGTTACAGGAGATTGACAACGAGAAATCGTTCAGTAATGCGGCCGCAAGTTTCCCACCACCTCCTACTTCTAGACCAACTACGTCCACTACTTCTCCCGTTGCACCAAAGCTCAACATTCGACCTGTGACTCAGTTCTCTCCAGACTTTGGAAGCCCGCTCCCCGGGGCAGCCAAGGCTCCAGGCATGCTCAACGTCTCTGGTTCCTTGCCTACTCCCCCAGCATCTGCCGGTGGCTCGCGCAGCCTGACGGACGGCCCTGGGCCATCTGCACCAGTCAAGTCACATACTGCCACAAATTCTGATCCATTCAATGACCCAGTCAACCCCTTCGACAATCCAAGCTCGGCTCCTTCGTCGCCTCCAAACCGGACGCTTCCAGAAGCCCTCCAGGTCCGTACGCCGAGCGTTGGTTCAGATGTCGGCCGCCCCGTATCTCCTGTATCCGAAGGCACTGTCAACACTGGCGTTGTTGCATCCGCTAGCGCATTGGCCGCTGTCACTACTAGCACTACCGCTGTTGCTTCTGTTGCGTCCAGTGAGGATGCCCGTAAAGATCAGCCGTCGCCGCCGCAGCAGCAGCCCGCTCCTCCACAAATCTCGGCTGCCACTCCCGCGCCTTCAAGTCCTGCCATGAGCACGGCCTCTGTCGTTAATGTGGCCCCAGCACCCGCTGGAGCGCCTGCTGGTCCACCCCCTGGACCAAACAATGTCTACCGCGTTCAACTTGATTTCAACCCTTCTATGGATGATGAATTACCCCTTCGGGCAGGCCAACTTGTCCGCATGCTCCATGAATATGATGATGGCTGGGTACGTAGCCCAATCCTGTCAGCACATACCGCTCCTCATATACTAACGTGGTTTTTAGGCTCTCTGTGTCCGCCTTGACCAGCCTCAACAGGGCGTTGCACCCCGAACATGTCTTTCTTCCCGCCCTGTTCGTCCTCGCCCACGTGGACCACCTCAAGGCCCTGGTCAACGCACTCCCGTCCCAGGGGCCATGCCTCCGGCAGGCGGTCCCAACTCCCCTGGACCAAACCCCAATAGCCCGCGCTTTAACCCTCCTGTGAACAGTCGGCCAGCTTCACCTAATGCAGGATATCGACCCTACCCTCCACCTCAAAACAAGTTTAACGAGATCCCTCGCTCATTATCCCCAGGCCCAGGTGCTGGTAGTCCACGAATTCCACAGCCACGATCGATGAGCCCAGGACCGTATGGACCAGGTGGGATGGAGAAGCCCGTTATGCCTGCGGCCCAAAGACCAAGGAGCAACAGTGCCAGTGATGCTGTCACCCCTTCAACTCCTGCACCAGCTCCGGCAGCAATCTCGGAGGAGCCTGCAGTGAAACCAGAGCCAACTCACAGTCCTCCACCAGCATTAGGGCCTGCAAACCGTAAACCTGTTCCAGGCCAGGGGAATTAGTCTCTTGGAAACAAAGTCTGGCTCCCATATACCCTCACTCAATTCCTTTTACCTTTTGCCTTATGGTTTGAATGCTTCTAATGTCTAGTTTTTCTTTCTATTCTTCGAGTTAACGGATGCACATGAGATGAGCTCCTACATACCTATTTAGCTATACCTATATGGGCAGTAGCCATGATCATGCATGCACACGTGCTCTCATTGGCGATGCGATGGCGGTGATATCCCGATATGTTCTATACTTTTGCTTTCTTTGCTTCCCTTTTTGCCTTTCAAAACTCCGTGAAAATGCCCGCTTCAGCGGTATCAAGCCAAGTTTAACGGTGTTGTATTCACACATCTTATGTTTCTTATTCCCTTTGTGGCTTTTGGTTCCACCCCAAGTGTGTATATATTTCCTTGCTCGTTTCCCACACATGCCCGGTTGCCTAGTTAACATTCTAGTTTAGGTACGTCATGCCTGTCAAGACGTACTATGTTATATAAAGTTCTTGAGTAGCAGTTACGAATATAAATCGGGGCCAATCGTTTAGAAAAGGATGATAATTGATTCACAGGGCTGTAGATATATATTCAACTCATATATTAGATGTATAAACCCCGAAAGACAGCAGAACCACCGGACATGTTTGTATTTCCTAACATTTGACAATAGGGCTATCTATATGTAGCTGTGCTTTCGAGCTATTCTTACAACAGACATAATTTCATAAAATGATAGACAGGCCGAGCTTTCCAAGACAGACCTATAAATAGCATGACAGATAACCGGGTATATGGTATACTTCAAATCACGTACGGCGGAATATTTATGTCACGACCATGAACGAACTCTAAAGTTTAGAGGTGCGGAACCTTTGCGCTCGCTAGTATCAGGTTCAGGATGCTGACGATACCTTCACCAAGAATAAGACCCGATGCTAGAATAACTATCGTTGATGAAGTTGAATCTTCATCGTTATCTAGCGTCTTGGACGCCTCCTGTTCTTCATCACCTGGTGAACTGGCGCTTTGTGCTTTGGATAGAGCAAGGCGATCTCGTATAACTTTGGAACGATATTGCCAAATAAGAGCAATTATACCTCCGATTGCCCTGGCTAAGGTGAACGAAGGAACATTGTACATCCCAACGGCAACGGCAATGCCACCGGGCACCCAAGCACGCCAAGGGGCAAATACCGGTCCTTTACTACCGGCGGGGCCGGAGACTGTTCCGACAATTCTCAGGATGGTGGTAATGGTGAATATTACGCAGGCAATACCGGCAGCTGGCCATGCCATTTCTGGGAGACCTTGGCCGGTCACAAGTCGCGCAGTAAATATCCAGACATATCCAGTTGGGACCTCGAACATAGGTCCAGGAACTGGGTAGACGTTGACGTAGAGCTTATACACGCCAACTGAGATGATAGCACCAACGACACTCCCAATGGCCTGGCCATAGAACTGTGCCTTGGGGCTAGCGCCGAGGAGATGGCCTGTCTTCAGATCCTGCACCATGTCGCCTGCCTGCAAAGCTCCAGACTCAGACACGGCACCTGCAAGGAGATTAGCAACTATCGCACTGCGGCGTGTATGGTGGCTTGCGGGAGTGGCTGCAGCAAAAATAAGCTGAGTGAGTTTGCTGATGCCAGATACAGGGTTGAGGTCAGTTTCTCCCAAGGCGCGGACGCCCATTATGGAGAGAAGAAGAGCGAGGAGTGTGGCCGCAATTGAAAGAAAAGGAGAGATTATGTCACCAAACGCTATGCGCATGCATACGACGTTTAGAATTAGCGCAAGGGGAAGCAGTATCGCGACTGTACGGTTAGATATAAGCTCGGATGGGGGAGCGTCATAGTCTTCCCCCTTTAGGTCACGGCCTTCCCGCGCATGTATGGCGGTGTAGCCATGGCTGGACGAAGTGCTTCCGCTAAACAGACCTGTCCAGAACCGTTTTCGTCTGATCTCATACTGAAGACGCACGACAAATCCAGGGCCTTGATTGACGAGTGGTCGGATTGCCAACCAGGCCAAATTGATGATTGAATCAGCAAGCATGATTGCCAGGGAGACCCAAACTATCCAACCCTTGCTTCCGGTCTCCCAGTTATTTACTGGGCCTGGCGCCCAGCCATTATGCTTTGCTAGAGGGGAGAGTATAGCCCATCCGATTACGGCACCGAGCAGCATATGGAGAGATGTGGAAGGTCCCATAATGATGCCCTGCCCGATGTACGCAGGCGATGGATTCAAGGTCCATAACCATTGATTTGCCAGGGGAAGTCCGAATACCGGCAGATTACGAAGCACCGGCGCAAAGTACGACAGAAGGGTCTAAGACCGAAACTTGGTCAGTAACAAAAAGGCAATGGCAGGTGCTAGAAAGAACTTACATAGATTGCAGATACGCCGAATGCAAGAAGCAGCATCCTAATTTTAGCCTTCCATTCATGTTTTCTTCTTCTGTCTGCTTCAAGATGCTCCAGGGTGACACCTGCAATGTCGTTGGATGTCAATAGCCGCTCAGTCTCTGCAGGACTGCCAGCGGAATGGTTCAGCCTCCTTGTAGCACCTTTGCCCTTATCAACCGGCTTGGTTGCGCCATGTAGCACATTTATCATCAGAGCCGTTGCCGTACCACTGGGGAACTTGAGCTTTTCCCGGACTATAACCTCCTTTCTTAGAGGCACAGCGAAGATAACGCCGAACAGACAAACGCCCAAGCTCCAGACAATCAGCTTCCATGATGCCAGCTTCAAGGGCCCACCTTCGCCGTCACCGCCATCACTCCCGTCCATAGGGCCGTCAGGTCCTGGCCGGAGGAGATACTCCAGAGCCGGAATGACACCCACGAAGCCGCAGCCCAGTGGCATCGTCCCTACGGCGCCGGCCACCGTCTGTATCAGAACATTCTCGACCGGCGTAAACGGGAACGAAAGATGGCGGGAGAGGGACCTGAAGACGGCAAACCCGATCAGGGATGAGGGCATCGTCATGACACTGATCCATCCTGTCTGCAGCCCAAAGTAGGTGTTTGAGAAGGTTATCAGCGCCCCAATGGCGAGACCAACGAACAACGACCGCGGCGTGAAGCTCTGCGCATACGTCGTGGGCGGGACATCGTCTTCTTCGACTTGTGTTTCCAGCGTTTCCAGTGTATCCTCGCCCCCGCGAGTGCTACTGCCACCGGCCTCCATGGTGCTGGGCCTCTCGTTCAGCCGGATAGGGGCCGCAGAGCCCGGAGGACCTCAAGCAGCGTAGTGTGGGAGAACAACGGTCCTTATCGAGACCGTACAGTGTGAGGCGGTAGGAAAGGAGACTCGAGGGGTGCCATTCTACATCCTGCTCGTATATAGATATATATATATATATAGCTAGTGAGTCAGGCTGCTTTCCCTCGGGTGAGAGGATGGCTTTTCCTCTCGCCATCGTCGATCCCGAAAGCATAAGAAGACCCAAAAATGAAGCCATCGCACGCTGACTAATTAATCCCGATGCTTTGCCGGCGCCTTTTTGGCGTAAAATTGAGAAGCGCAGACATCCGGGACTCCCTGCCAATAAGAGATGATGATAAGGTGCTTGTCATGCATGGAATCAGTGCATTAATAATTATAACATTAACTAGCCTTTTGACCTGTCGGCGGCGTGGGTTGACATCCAACTCGCGATGACCAAAGTAAGGAGATGTTAACTGCAGCGAGTGCTTGCCGGGATATCAAGAAGGATCAAATAGTTACGCATGTTGTACATTGCCGATTGATAGCTAGATCGTAAATAACAACACCCTCCCTCCAAAAAAGCAGAAATAACACACGATACTCCACGCCGAAAAGATGAGATATACCCATATGCATCCAAAAAGAAATATATCAGTAATCAATTACGGTAATACAAGAGAACGGATGGGAGAGAGGTCAGAAACCAAAGGAATCAAGCAAAGAGCTTGACTCCGGCTCTTGGAATTGGGTGGGATTTTTGGCCTGCTGAGAGCCATCCTTGTTAGCTTCGGGTTTTCTGGCGTCGTCTTTTTTGTCATGAGTGATATGCATATCGGCAACGACAAGGCTCCCTCTTCGCTTGAGAATCTTTCGTGGATCTCGTGAATCTTCCATGAAGCTGATTGAGAGTCTGTCAGAGACCGTATCCGTAGGATGAGATGGAGTGAGGAACTCCCACTCTCGTACCAGGTTGAGAGCAAGGAGGTCACAGCCCATGCGGTCATATAGCCGTGCATTGCGCAGAACAAAGTCCCATTCCTCTCGAGCGCCAATCCTGGATGCACCCTTCAGAGTTTGAAGGGTCTTTTCGCGCAACTGTTGATACAAAACGACTAATGCCGGGTCATTGGACAAGTACGATTTCGCTTGTAAAGCCACTTGTCCTGGACTCGCTGGTGAGCCAGGAGTGGGCGGAAGTAGACCTTCTATCGGTGTCTATGCAGGTGGATATGTTAGTATAGACAGAGCAATGGGAAGTGAAATGCCGAAAAAAAAAAAAAAAAAAAAAAAAAAAAAACTTAAACGACTAAAGCTCGAACGGCCATATCACGCCTATTAAGCATCCAAAAAGCCCAAGTGGCCATCCATCGGTTGCCCTCCGTGGCAGCTGTAATGAGTACCCGCTCCTCCAAGATTTCTTTCAAAACCGGGCCATCATCACCTTCATAAGCACGAGCAATGGTGATTGCAAGTTGTATGTCTCTAAGCTGATTGATGCAGACGTTTACTGCATCACGCAGATGATCTGCAAGCAAAAAGAAGGCAGCTGCGTACTCTAGTTATATATATTAGCATTTCCCCGTTTCATTTTGAGGAGCAAAGACTAAGTATTACCAAATCTTCTCTTTCCGAGTAACGCAAAGGCATTCTTTAATGCAGCGGTCTGCCAACGTTCTTCTTGAAAATTATTTGACAAAAATCGGTGCGTGTTTGGCTGTTCCCTGTGCCAGGTTGCCATTCTCCAGAGGCCTTGCAACACTTTCTTTTTCTTTAGGGCGAGATAGAAAATGCTGCAATCGATAGGGTTCTTGTCATCAGACTTGGTATATTCATTTCGAGCGATAACTTCTAGAAGAGAACGCTAATTATACTCAATTAGTAAATGATAACCCATGATATGAGAGGACAGAGATATCATACCAGAGCGTTTATGTCAGTAATCCACATGAAAATTCCACTTTCTCTAGCATTCTCCCAAAGCATCTTGCCATGGAACTGTCTCCCAACGAGATCTGTAAGAATTTCATGGCTATCACTGTGAAATGCCCAGACGATCTCTCGCCAAGGGACCATGTACTCTTCAAGGAATCCTTGACTCTTCCTGAGCATATATTGCCGGAAGAAGAGTATATATCTCGCAGCATTCACGTCCATTGAACGTCGATGTTTTTCTACAGTAGCAACGCATTCAACGATATCAACGAGACGGAACTGTTCTTTAGACGATAATTGTGGAAGGGTTATCTTCTTTAGGTATTCATTGAGTGACGTAGCAATATTCTCATCAAGAACACGAGGTTCATGATCCAGAGTAAAATTTGCATAGGCAGAATTCATCTCCTTATACGTTATCTGTTGTATATGCTTCGTCAAAAACATTAGTTTCATTGAACTGTAAACTTTTAGGAGGAAACTCCACTTACAGAGACCTCATTATATATATCTTCCAGCGGAATCTCTAGAAAACCATCGACTTCGTCACCATCGGTAACGAACTTCAATTTCCTATGCAGTTTTGTCAATATCAAGTGAACCAGGCTTATTTTGCCGCTCAGGATGCACTGGGCTAGAAACTGCGGATGGAAAACTGGAAGAGGGCCATTTAGCCTGCTAACAGCATCGAATAGGTCGAAATGAGTATCATCATGGTAAGGTAGACGCAGGTTGGTAACCCATCTGTTGCTTGCTTCGATGTATTTATCATACACGAAGAGTTGGTTACCGGCACCAACAACCAGATTTCCATTACCGAGCCAACACGAATCTCCGATAGGGTGCGGTGTGTGACGCCCGATCTTAATCTCCCGGATCTGTGCCCATGAAGGACCAGCATCAAGGTAATCGTATCTTAATTGTGAGAGCAGGATGACTTTGTGTGGAAAACCGACAGCCAAAATCGACTGGATGTCAGGAGTTGAAGTCCAGTCCAAATCCTGGATGATATCATGTTCTTCAAAGCTTTCCTCCAACTCCAATTGAGCACTGTTTGTGTCCCATATAGTTAAACGTGTTCGATTTTGGTCTACAAGCGCAGCCTTTCGGACTGAGCCAGCGCTCGCCAGGGAAGGGTTTGGAATTCCTGTCTCAACAGTGGCAGTCAGTAGCCAATCAACCCTGCCCTTTGATTTATCGACTTTAGCAGTCCATGTTTTGATGGTCCCATTATGAGAGTAAGACAGAGCGATATCAGTGGCAAACAAATCCAAAGAATGAGATGCCTGGAGTTTCGATCCAGCTGGATCAACGGGGAGAATGTAAGCAACTTCCTCATCAGACCCGAGACTGAACGTCGAGAACTCTCGCAAAATGGGGGTATCATGCTTTGTTAACTGCTCTCGAGGTGTATTGCCGTTAGGAAGGGTGACTTCCCAGGCTACGCCTGTCATATCAGCCCCTATTGCGGCAATGTAGGAAGTACAAGATTCAGATGTTGGTATAAGCAAAACACATAGAGGTTTACTGCCGAGGTGCAAATCACTTTTCGCAATCATCTGAGCTTCGAATGAGCGAATATCCCACATGGATATCCCGTTGTGGTGGAGATTGACCAGGAAATTTCCATCTTCCAACAAACAGGTTCGATGAATATGCATATCACAGTTGAGAGCACTTTGTTGGACCAGTACGGAGCCAGTGCTTGTATTTGACCTTTGACGCCATATCACGGCATTATTGTCATTTGTTCGGGAGCTTAGAACCTTCCCACTAGGCGTGCGGACTATCTTTTTCACTGATTCCGTATGCCCAGACCAGGTGGCTTGAGACACTAGCCGGCGTTTTCGAGGTGTAGGGTCGAATAGGATATCGACCCGTGAGTCAAACCACTCAATCCGTCCATCGTAGTAATGGGTAAGGACGGTAAAGGATGCATCGGAAACACCTCCAGCAAAAGAATAGAATTGGGCGTAGTTGCCTGTCTGATGGTTACCTAGAGCAGTAGAAAGATCCAGTCCTTCAATGTGAGCTATGTTGAAGATATTAGCTTCAGCATGTGCTTTACAGCCAGCATTCTCTAGCCCCCATACACACATATGGCCATGCTCGTCAAGAATGACACAAACCTCCGGACTCTTGGTGGCAGCCTCGATAAGATGGTCGAGAGCAAATTTGTCCTTTTCCGTTGCAGGCCCGAGCTGCACTGCACGTTCAGTGGCAAGGGAGAAATCACGACTATCAACAATGAATCCATATCTATTGCTGGCATTGGGTGATTTAAGGGGGTATCGCGGCTGAATTGAAGCTTCCATATCAATCACATTCCAAAGTTGAAGTGCCTGTAAGGCATGACGATCCATTGGTGCCCATATTCGTATCTTGTTGTCGGAGCATATTGTGTAAAGGACATTGTCTATTGTCTGCTCGACATGATGCGGTCGGCGCCAATGTATTCCTGTCACAGCACTTGGATGCCGTAGGTATGTCACGTCGAACCGAGCTTCGTCAGCGCCGAAGGAAAGTCGCCTCCACACCTTTACAAACCGGTCGTAGTCCCCAGTGGAAGCAATAAGCCCTGCATCGTATGAGAACTGCGCAATTTTGGCCCGGTTTGCCAGTTTGTTTGTCCATATAGCATGTGGAGCGTCGTCGTCAATGTGCCAAAGAACAAGGCTCTTGCTGCCTGCTAGGAGCTCCCCGGAACCGCCCCATGACAGCGTTCTGACCTCTCCATCTCCGTCATGGTCATCCTCATCACTAGAATCGGCATCTTCGCGCTGAAATGTGTGATGTAGCTTCCACTATAGCGCCATTAACAGGTGTTAATTCACTGTAGCAAAGTGGCTAGGCTGCTATCGTACCTCGACGTTGTTGCGGATTTTTGACGGGTTGTACACCAGTATTGTCCGTCCACCGCATACAGCAATCCTCCCAGAAGCTCCATCTATATTAACAGCGGAAAGCCATTCAACATCATCGAGGTAGATAGTTTGTAGCACTTTTTGCGGTCCTCCGAGTATGATGACTGCATTGCCCGATATGTACGCCTAGCGACAAGGTGACAAAAGGTCAGCCTAACCAGTCCACTCCAAGCTCCAGCAGGCATCGGATAGAAGAAGTATTTCGGATTATTTCCAGGGACGTTGTATCACTTACAATGACGCGGATGCCCTCCCACAGAGCTGTGCTGACAGCTTGTAGCTTCGGCGCTGGTCGGCCTGGGAGTACGGTGCGCATCGCAAAGTCGTTGGGGAAGCACGCCTAGCCCGAGGCCGTGCTATACCATTGCAGTTAATGACAGGATCCCACAGTTGCACATGAAGAGGGAGGATGTTTGGAAGAAGCCTTCGGGCGCAGTCACAGCGTGGCCATCTGGTGTTGTTTGCTCGTCGCCTGTCGTATAAGGAGGTGTGGTGTTGTTGGCTTTGGTGAAACTATGACGTGAACTTGCGCGTGATGGGCCTTTTGCCTCAAATTCGAGGGTCACGCCAATCAAACCAGCCAAGTTGATATCCACGACAGAGGAAGAAGTGAGCTGTTCCATGCCAGTTGACGCTGATCTCTGCTCTACCATGCAGAGGGGCTACCTCTTGTTACGACTTTGACGGAGATCTCAGATACCTTTTTTCAACTTTTGATCGTTATTCAATAGTTATGAATCAAGACTATATTACTACATGACCCCCAGAGATCCAAATACCTATGCACAGAGTACTTTTTCGATTGCCGAATATCCTTGCTCAGCCGGCCTGATACAAAGCTGGTCCAGCAACGATATGCGGGTTAATCATCGACAGGTTGAACGATGTATATGGCGTGTCTGAGTCCGTGACCGCGATGAACATTGTCCCGTTGATTGCTGGATCACCCTGGAAGGTCTCCATATTCGGCTGCACGGTAGTGCCTGAGCTGTTTCCTTGCATTTTCAAGGTAGAATATGTGACGTTGAGCTGAGAGACCCAGACGACAAATTTGGGAGCTTTGGCTTGAGAGGAGGTGATATAGCTGTTATTTGGACCGACTGCCTTTCCGGGACTATCCCAGGAGAGATTGACGACTCGACCGGGATAGGAGAGAGGGTTGGTACGGTTCTGAGTTATTGCTGGGGCACAGTCCGCAGACGAATCTGTTGCGTTGAGACAGGCCTGAGAGGAGGTGAGATTTGAGCTACGCAACGTGTTCATACCAGGACCCAACGTCTCATTCGTTCCCGCCGAGCCATTGATGCGTGCTGGGTTAGGTTGGTTGATTATGCGCAGAGCCGGGAAGTTTTGCCAGGCAAGTCTGGTCTGGTCCGGCGGGCACGAGCTAATATAAGGGGCGAGTAAGGTCCAAGCCCATGACTGCGGGATACCAACCTCAAACCAGACGGGCATAGGGAACATGCCGTTGAACTGACGGAATATCATCTGCTGTCTGGCCTCGGTGGTGATGGACTGGAGGAGAAGCGTGGCTGCTTCTCCTGAGTTGAGATGGCCTAGGAATCCATACACGCCCGATTCACCAAACCGAGTGAGCTTCTGGCAAAAATCCACAAATTCACGGACATTGGTGAAGGGGTAATTGTATAAGCACTGCATTGGAGCCTCAGCGCCTAAAATATTGCTGAGCATGGTTGCATGGCCTATCTCCTGCTCGGCCATGAACTCGATCAGATACCTGTCCTCTGAGGTGAGGCCGGCGGCAGTAAATTCCTGCTCTGAGAAGTTTCGAAGGCCGTACCGGAAGAGATCCAGTTCGATCCATTCCTGGTACAATGCCAGAGCCTAGGTCATTATTAGCAATGGCAGCTAATCCATCATTGGAAGGCTCATGCAGTTACATACCAATGATTCATAGTCGAAATCACTCTTCACATTATACACCGGTTGGGTCCCGTTTGTCCCTCGGCCTCCGGCGGGGACGTACGGGGCAGGCTGGGGATCGTGAAGCTCTCCATCACTTGGGTACGTGGTAGCTGTTGCCGCAGGAGGCCCCGCAGGTATCTCTGTGGCCAAAACGGTGTTCGTCAAGGCTCCCGAGGTCATTGGAGTTCCGCTGTATGGACCATGGCTGGCCGCAGACTGGTGGCTTCGGGTCGGAGGTGCGGCAGCTGTCGTAGGCGAGCTACTCTGAGCAGCTGCATGGAGGATGCAGCCGTTTGCCAGCCATATCAAAACGTTGGTGAAGTCAATGGATGGTCTCATTTTCCCCTATTGGCTCTTGTTGCTTTTTAGACAATTGGATATATATTAAATACAACCGCTCTACAATTAAAAAAATAAACTGCCCGGTTTCTTGCTCGAGTTGACTACAAATAATTATTCTACCCTTTCCAGCCCTTTTATTGTGGGAGAAATTGAACTCGCAAACTGTAATGTGTTGATAATGCACTGTTTGAACTAGATGGAAGCTTTAGTTGCGTCATCACGATGCTCATTACCATTGCATTGCAGGCCCGGCCGAAGCATGGAAGCTTTTAGTAATATCCTTTTTTTTCTGAAAGGTATTGTGTGACAGAACGAAGAGAAAGTAGCTGGTATTGTCTTCCGAATTGAGTTTTTTGGGCCGCGACAGCGCATTGTAGAGAGTAGGTTTGATTGTCTCGCTAATATCGAAATCCAGGTAACAGATCTAGTAGGAAAGATAAGAGGGAGAAAATAATATCAATCACAAGAGGCTTCAGATGTCGTTCTGCGACTGGGCCCAGGTTAGCCGGGTCAAAAAATGGTCTTAAGAAGTGTCCTTGATGGTACGTGGTAATTTGCTGTTCGTTTGGCTGGTCTAGCAGGTCGACTGGTAAGAGGCGAACATTGGCTTTTTGCCGTCTGTCTTCTTCACGCCTCTCCCATATTCATTCTAGCCGCTTCTCCCACCTTCCATGGGGCATCGGGACCCTACTGTCCTCCTCGTAGGGCCAAAACCAGATGTAGCGTTGCTCCTCCCTCAAGGTTATACTCCGATGCAGCCTTATCATCGGCCCTATCGGTTAAACGGTTAGCACAACGTGAAGTTCAAAGCGCTACCAGGAATATTTACATCTGCTTTCCACCAAAAATTAACCGTTGCTGTACTGGAGGAATGCCGACCTTCTCCTCCACACGCTCCTTGATGCGGGATACCTAGGCAGACAGAAAGCTGTTAGCAGTTGCTTCAACCGCGGAACAAATTAATACACACGTACCTTGTAGTCTGGCTCAATATCCAGCTCGATTTCCTTGCCTGTGAGAGTTCTCACTCTATTAAAGGACAGGTTAGCTGGCGAGCGAGGGGAGCGCATGAACGTACGAGGGGCAGACGCACTTGATCAGCATGGTGAAGGTGGCGTATGGACTGAAAAAGAAGGCTACAAAAAAGAGGGTAGGCGGTACAAGAGGAGATCTCGGCGTCCGATGAGTGCTACAGACAGAGACACCAGCTGCTATATTGCTTTATTCGCTTCGTCTGCTTCGTCTTTTCATCTTCCGACGTGTAAACATACAAAAAGGCGACTTCGAGAAGGGAAGACGCCGTGCCAAGACACGATAACGCTTATCATCACGTGAACGGCGACATTGCGCAGGCGTGCAGGCAGAAGCAGCGGAAGACGACGGCGACGACGATGACGATGAGGACGAGTGAATGCATAAGAAGGCGATTCTAGATGGATGAACGGATACAATATGATACGAGTACTCCGTAGAAAGAAAAGCACTGCGTAGAGTGGTTCTGGGTCAGCAACGGTGATATCAAACGGAACATAGATAGTCAATAGCACAAATATATGCCTCCTCTCTATTAGACAGCCTATCAAGCATGATACCCTTCGTCTATTTGTCTTCTTATCCATCTGCTATCGCCCCCATTCTACTCCGTACAGCATAGCGTTGCTGCCGTGCGGATGTTTTGTTACCAGGCTTACATAAACTCGGCTAGCTTCTTGGCTCTAAACGTAAGCGAGCGTGAAATTCACAACACACAAAAGTCGCTTCGACTTCGACTTTGATATCAGACTCAGCGACCAGCGACCAGCGACACCACTACCACAGTCTGTGATCCGGCATAAATCAGTCACCATGGTAAGGACATGCTTCCCTTTTTTTGCCTTTGCCGTGATTCTTTCGTACCAGAGCGTGGGAGGACCTATCCAACGAGCAATCGAGACACCGACCGCCAGCAATCGCATCGCAGAGCCACTCGAGAAAATTGAATAATTCAGCTCCAACTACGGGTTTTCTGGAGATAATGTCAAGATGGGATATTTTGCAGAAATTTCTATCTGCAAGAGACGGATCTGGATGTGCGATAATGTGGCCGGATAATTTTCGAAATTGAAGATGGCAAGAACTTCTTTTAATCGGCAGCATATATCACAGCGGACAGCGAATATATATGAGAACAGACGCCTACAACATGCCGGATACACTGTATTTGCTCGAGAGACTGGATAGGGAGCTCCAAAGTTCTGTGGAAGAGCAATGCACACGCGCAACGAACTGATTTCGGACATACAACTGACCCCTTTGACTTCATTAGGTCAACATTCCAAAAACCCGCCGGACCTACTGCAAGGGCAAGGACTGCAAGAAGCACACCCAGCACAGAGTCACCCAATACAAGGCAGGCAAGGTCAGCAGCTCCGTGTTCACCTATATATAATGCTGTTCCACCGCACGAACAAGAATGCTGAACAATCGTTTCCAAACCACAGGCCTCGCTATTTGCCCAGGGTAAGCGTCGTTACGATCGCAAGCAGAGTGGTTATGGTGGTCAGACCAAGCCCGTCTTCAGAAAGAAGGCCAAGACCACCAAGAAGGTCGTCCTCCGAATGGAATGCACAGTCTGCAAGACCAAGGCACAGCTCGCCCTGAAGCGATGCAAGCACTTCGAGCTTGGGTATGTTCCCGGTTTCTGTGCTCATGGATATTCACTGGAGTCCGTACTAATTCGTACTTTCAACTCGATAGTGGTGACAAGAAGACCAAGGGTGCTGCTCTTGTTTTCTAAACGACAAAAAGAAATAAAATCTAAAACGAATGAAATACCTTCAACCACCTCTCTATCTCTCGATGGCATTCTTCTTCGCATCTTTTTTTTCATCACCCATTATGATGCCGTTCTTCCCTTAAAGACACCCCCCAATACCACCTTTCCGATACCTTAAACCAGTTTTCCTTCATCTATACACTTCTTCTGGAATGGGAAATATGGGGGTGGGAAACTCGGAATGATAAAGAAATAATTAAATAACAATTAAATATTTCACGTTCCGTGTAAATTAGACGGCAGAAGAAAGAATGATGAATTGGTTCAAGGGAAAATGACATAATTCTAATGAATCCTTTTTTTGGTTCATGCTCAAGTAAGATTATGATGGGCAATGTCAGTCACATAAAACTATATTACTATGCTACTTTTTAATATGACTTTAAATTGTCATAAGTTATCCCAAAGCTTCATTGCTGGGGACCACTGGCCATCATCCAATATGCTGCTTCCAAATGGCAACGAACATATATAACATTGGCTGTTTTGCTTCAAAATGGCTTCCCTAAAAAAAAGGCCTTACCCAGAACTCCATAGAAATTTGCTATCATTAAGAAGAACAGAAGACTATACTTGATGGATAAGGAAACCCCAGTTGTTCCATGGTATGTTGCTAGCAGTAACCCAATATTGGGCTTGGAGCTGGGACTGGATCGTTTCGGCATGGGTGTTGGCAAAGTCAAATGTCGGTTCTGAGACTGAGCCTCCATGTGTGAGAAGAGAGATAGGGGTATCTTGCGGTGAAGGGACAGTGTTAGACATGAGTTCGGATTGGGACGGCTGTTGTTGTTGCTGCAGTATGGACATGTGTTGAGGCTGGGGGGAGGCCATTTCACTGTTTATGGTTAGAATCGACGCATGAACCGCATAAGAAGGGGGTCAGTTATAACTTACAGCAGTTGGGTGAGAATTGGGATTCCCTTCTCGCATAGGCTACTTCTGCTTGAAAGCAATTGGAAGACCTGTAGAGCGTCTACTAGCAGGGCATGGATCTCATCATACTCTGCTTGGCTTTCAGGATTCATCATGATCACAGTGAGCACGACTGCAGCGTGGAAAGCATGGAAACTAGCCAAACCGGCTGTATACCATTTATAGGGGGCATACTGCGGTGACTCAGCAAGTGTCTTTTGGATAGATAGCAGACCCTTTGCAGCGTCCAGGCAGCGGTTACGAGAGCTGTGAGTACGGTCGTTGATATCTCCAGTGAGATAGCGGTTCAATGCCGGGCGATGCAGCAGCAAACGCAGCTGGTGGGAGTAGCCAAAGAGAATATTTATATGGGCAAAGTGCTGGCTGGGCAGTGGTTCGACGCTGGTATCAGAATGGTAGCGTGCGGTCCAGAGCTCTTGTTGACTGGTTATGTCATTGTCTAGTTTAGCTATGACAGCAGGGGATGCTTCCGAAGAAAAGATCTCATTGCATATGGCCAAGGCAATATCATAGAGACGGAACTTGAACAGCAGGTACGTCATCTGCGTAGGGCCGGTAGGATGGCGGAGCTGGTCCATCGTGAGGCCACTGTTCTTCATCAGGTCGAGGTCGTTGGCGTCTAAAGGCAGACGAACATCTCGACTCAGACGCTGGCGGTCGAGGTTGCGAAAGGAGATCTTTTGTATCATATGCAACATGATCAGCCCAGCCCAGCATCGTCGACGCTCTTCTGCCTCGACAAGGCTGAGGTTGAAGTTGTCCGGGTCGAGATGGCAGCCCATGGCAATGGCCACATGATGGGTCATCCCAATGAGCACCCAGGATGGCTGTGAGCTATGGGTGAGGGCATAGATAAGGAGGACGAGGGCCTGTAGGGTTTTCATGGAGTGTCGAGACAGCACCTGGTCGGCAGCAAGACACTGCATGGCAGCAGACCGGTACTGCTCTGAGATGACCCTGATATTGGCGCTGGGAGTGGCCTCTCGCCCCAGGTCGGGGAGCAAGGGGTCATCGTCGCTCAGGCTGGTGACGCCGATGGCCAGGACGACGAAGAGCAGCGCCAGCCATGACAGAGACACCGAGCTTGGATCCTGTCTGAAGCGCTCATACTCTTCGGCAAAGGTAGGATCGTGCAATATGTGAAACAGCTATATAGACAGCCGTTAGTTAGCCATCGTTAGATCTCCACAGCCTAGGATATTTTTTTTTAAGGGCGGGAGGAAACAAACTGGAGAAAACACCCGAAAGTACGTGTCCTTCAGGGCATCGCAGTATCTGCTGGGCGGCAGACGGGCCAGCAGCCGGTCTCTCGAGGCCGGATCATCGCAGCCAAAGGGGAACCCGCTGGGCTTCTCCTCGTTGACGCTGTTCACCTGGTTGCGGTACTCGCTGGCCGAGATCTGGGCGAGATGGAAGTCCAGCTTCGACGACTGCGGCTCGAACCGAACATGGCCCTGCGGCGAGATGGAGAGCGAGCCGACGTTCTGCAGCAGGCTCTGGGGAAGCTCTGAGCTGTTGTTATTGCTATTGCTATTGTTGTTGTTGTTGTTGCTGTTGCTGAAGCTCTTGTTGCTCCCGCAGTCCGCCTCCGTGCCGGCAGAGGCGTTGGTCGTGGGCGGCGAGACGGGCTCGTCCTGGCCTGCCTGGCCGCCGACGATGGCATGCGCGCCGACGTGCTTCTTGAGCAGGTCCTCGAGGTTGCGGATACGCTGCAGCAGCTCCTGCTGGACTATCTTGGACGACTCTGCGGAGCTGGCGTTGAGCTGGTTGCGCGACTGGCCCAGGAAGAAGCAGTCCGCCATCCCCAGCCCGCGGCGTATACAGGTGTCGCACGGCGGCCCATTGCGCGGACAGCGGATCTTACGCTTGCGGCAGGGCTCGCAACTGACTGGCAGCCGCTTGCTCGTGTGGGTTGTTGTGCTGCTCATCGCGGAGGGCAGGCCGGTGATCGCGGAGGAGCAGGCAGAGGGACGGAGACGACAGGGATGGCGGTTGCGGCCACAGGTTCGGGCGCTGTTGGGCTTGCTTCTTCGTCTTCTCCGGCGGTAGCTGCTTGGATCTCGCACCCTCTACGCCATCACAGGGACGCAGAACGGCTGGCAGGACGAGGAGGATTATGGGCACTGGGTGTCAGACGCCGCCCGTCGGTTCTGGCTTTTTGCGTTTATATAGAGCGCATACATATTGCTTTTTGGCTGGCTGCCCTTTTTCGTGCTGAGCGCCTAGTTATATATATATATATATATATATAACTAAATAAGCCCGCCGATTATTAACCAGCGAGAGACGAGGTACCTTGCCTCCGGGGGCAGGCAAAAAAGAAAAACGGCAGACGAATATCAAGCTGACCGGGCCTGTGGGAAAGACGAGGCGAGTCGCTGATACGCAGTGCGACGGCGACGTTACGGGTCGGCGGCCTGCGTGCATCATACGGCGTTATATCGGTAGAAACATTGCGCCGTACACCCTCGACTGAGCACCTGTCTTATGTGTTTGCCTGGGTATAGCATGCGACGATATATATATATATTTGATACCCGCTGCTGCGTCGACTGGAACCGTGGCATCGAGGCCAGGGGAGACAAGGCTGTATATATAAAAAGAGCCATCGGCAGCAAACCGTCCCCCTGTCCACGGGCCATGGTGATCATGGCCATTCAGGGCCATCAGAGCGCCGAAGCTGCATGAACCAGAGGCCGAGCCGCGGTGCCTCCATGCCAACAGTCTCCCGTAGTCCACCGGTGTCGACTGGGTGGCATCTGCCTCGGTGGACGGGCTGCTATCGTTGCACTGCCTGCTATTCCACGGCTCGTCATCTGTCAGGACTCCCGACCCTCGCCCAGGAGCAAATAGTAATGAGTAATCCGTCATGCCCATTCAAGATATTCTATTCGTTTGAGGTTGGATCTGCTCCGTAATTGAATCCAAATTTTATGTTGAAGATATCGCAGGTCGAGTTCGAAGAGTCATAGTTAATCGACAACTAAGCCGGGCCATGTAGGTCATCAGATGGCTTGATACCAGGGAGCTCAGGATATATATTCAGTCAGTTGAATCCTACGTTAACTAATAAAGGAACTAGGATGCAGACTTACTACGGGATAACGCAGAGTCTGTCGGACGAGCCGCTTTATGCAACGGCCTTCCAGTGACTGCAATGGAAAGATATACTGAAGATACAATTGAAACAGATTGAACCATTTATCCTACTGAGCAGCAAAGCGGTAGAAAAACATTTTGATGCTCTCAATTGAGCATTATTAGCCGAATTCCAGTTATATCAGTGCCAAAATATATATCATAAATAGTCCCAACCATATAACATGTGGTAGATACCGAAGCTGGATATTTGTTAGTCCAGCCAGGTTTATATATAGAGCCAGTCCATCCAAAGTCCCGGTCCCTGATCGTCAAGATACTGTACTGCAGCAACATGTCTATAGATATGGGCCTTTCTAACTGACATATTGACATACCCGAACTCCCAACAATATATTAAAGCGAAGAACAAAATACCAAAAGAAAGTCCCAATATAATAGTTATTTAGAGTCAAAGAAAAGCCCGGATCGATCTTGACACTCCATCTATGTCTTCAGAAACATGCCAGTGGCCCACATCCTTCAGAACAACTGGAGGTCTGCAGTTGGGTATAGACGAAGCGATAGCACTGCAGGTAACCGGCGGACTGACTTTATCCTCATCACCAGTGATGATCAAAGTCTGGCAAGTGAGCTTCTCGAGCTCTAGAGGTTTAGATTCGTTGGCCAGTGCAGTGCACGCCCTTGCATAGCTCTCTGGATCCTGACTTAAAAGTGTAGACAGTGCTGCTGTGTAGACGGCTGGTTTCCTGCTTCTGGTAAGCGATGATGTGGCGGCCGTAGCAACCGTGTCTGCAACGGCGGACATTCCTCTGCTTCTTACTACTGCAGCACGGGCGAGAGTTGCGTTCTGCCCTGCCGTAGGCAGAGGACATGGAGGAGGGCCGAGGAGGATGAGTTTATGGACTAGTCCCGGGTTTTTGATGGTGAATAAAGTGGCTATGATGCTGCCCATTGACCATCCAACTAATATTGCGGGTAGGGCGCTTGATATTCCAGCTAATGAGAAGATATTCTCCACATCGTCTGCAAGGGAGGAGATAGTCATCGCTGACCGGGTGGATAGGGGCGATTGTCCGTGACCTTCAAGATCGAACTGGTGAATTGAGTATGTCTTTGCCAGTGCGAGAGAGGAAATCAGGGGGTCATAGTATTCTGACCTCCCTCCAAGGCCGTGGACGAAAACGATCGGAGGCCCGGTTGGATTCCCGTGCTTTTTATAGTATAGTCGTTTGCCATGATGGTTGATCTCAGTCAACAAAGTATTATTCCCAACCATGACTGCAAACTGCAAATTGGACCAGACCCGTCAACCCCTTGATTTCTGATGTTGATTTGATTATCTTCTCCCCAACAGAGAGGCATCCGGGCGTCTTTTATAGGGAAACAAAATAGCTCCTCCATTACCAGGATTGCGGACTTCCGCTTCCATTATCCGAGCAAGAGTACTCCCCTGAGATCGAGGCGTGGTCAATTAAGACTTGGGCTGGATGGGAGAAGAGCGGGCGTCAAGAAGACGCAGTCTGTCTTTCGAGTGACCACTCGGAAGGCCAGCCGTTGAGTGCAGACAACCACGGCAGCGGGAATGGCCATGGGGATGGCAATCAGTGGCATTGGCGGACTCATCTTCCGTGCAGAGTGTCCACCGTCCCCCCCCCCCCCCCCCCCCCCACGAGGACAACGGACTTCCATGCGGCCTCCATGCCAGAATGTCATACCAGTAGCTGCAAGAAGCACTTTCTTCAAGATATGGCCCACGGATTGAGCTCTTCTCCAGTCCTTCTAGAGACCTTCTTCAGACCTCCGCCTTCTCCGTCATCTCCGCCAGCGTGCTGGTAGAGCGTCTTGCTGCCGGCAGTCTTTCTCCAGCGGCATGTTCGAGCTGTCCTTGGGACTGACGAAGGAGGAAGAAGCTGTCTCGTTTGCTTTATGGTCTTCGTTCGCCGACGGAGCAAGGGCAGAGACGGGTAACTAACTGGAGAGCAGGACGGACCCGTCCCTTTGCCCCTGGCTCGTATCCAACGGTCCGTCGAGAGGAGGTCCTGGACAGCCAGCAATTGTAAACAACCGTGTATAGAGTAGTCTCTTAAAAGCATTCTCGATGCCGGTCTGTCTGCGGATTGATGTCATGCAGGAGTAGCGAGATCCCAGTCCTGCTCCGGTTCGCTGCCGGCTGTCAACTTATTGTCAACCCCATGTTGGCTTCTCCTCTTTCCCATGGCTTGAAGACTGCTAGGAAGCCATCTTCAGCATCCAGCACGGATGAACCTGCTAGTTATCCTGTTTCTTCTCTGGCCGGCTTCATCGTTGCTTGTTGCTTGCTCCTCCTCCTCGTCGTCGTCGTCGTCGTCGTCGTCGTCGCCAACGTCAACGCAATCCCAGGCCAGCAACTAGTTGCATGGCTAGTTACCTAGCTGTTAGTCAAATTGACCAAATATCCAAACATTGAACGGACGAAGATATCAATTCACCGAAAGACGACCAAACGACGGCACTTCCAGGGACAAAGAAAACCAAGAAGAAATGCGAATGAAGGAGCCCCGAGATGCGATTGAACGGCGAATAGTGGAACGTTTTATGTCGCAGCAGACCAGGCTCAGTTGCACAGGCAGGATGGCGGCCATGCAACGCCCAGCACTGAGCCCGCGTCTGCTCGAATTCCACCTTTGACTGCTTTTACTTGTCGGCCTCAGCTCGGGAAGCTTCCAGTCCGCCCGCCTGATCGCTTTTTACGAGGGAGAGAGTGGCCTGTCTCAGGCTGTTTGGTCGTGGTGGTCTAGTTACGCTGACTCCCCCCCCCTCCCCCGGGTATACCTCTCGCATGGCGTTCACTACTCAAGGCGACAACCGGTCAACTACCTAGTTGGCTAGTGGCTAGCTGGTCATTACCATGGGTGGCATCTTGGCCGAATAACACAAGTGGCATCAATGTGCTGAGCGTCCGTTGACGTTCGGCGAAAGGCATCAATCACGATGCGTGAGTTCTCTGCTACCCTGCCGCACATACATAATTATATGCTAAAGATATCAGACTAGTTACGCTGCAGATGCACTGTTTTAACTACTCGACGATGCAGAGTTCAGCTCGGAAGTCAATCAGAAAGGCGTCTCTGCGTGTGCCGTATTAATATTTTGGCCCCGGGTTGAACCTACAAGGAACGGCCGAGTTCTTCCCGCTGGGGGTTAAGAGACATGTATAAAAATAACCGGCAAATTCTATTATTCAAGGGCAAATCGTATCTGTCCTCCTCCTCTCCGGATTGATAACTGAGTTCACAGTCGCCTCGATCGGCCGCCGATGCTGGTTTCTCCCGGTTCTTCGTCCTGCCGCGGCATTCTCCTCCCTACCAGGGCGGACGGCTCCCTCGCTTCCTCGCTAGCTACTTGACCACCAGCTAGTTCGCGAGAGAGACGGGAAAGAGAGGCATAACTAACCAACCTGGCTGCCACTCTAGGCTACTTTAACCAGGCCCTGTGCGCAGTGAGAGCTCGGATGGCGTTTTTCTTTTGATTCCTCCCCAGTCGCTCACCCTGTGGCGCACCGCGACTGCAACCATGCAGAAAGGATAACTAGTTCACTACAAAGGGCTGTTTGATGTCGATCTGTCCACCTGCAGCGCCGTTGTATCGTTCGCGGAATCCAGGATGCTGAAGGCGGAACCCTCTTCCACTCTGCCTTTGAAGGAAGCCAGGCTGTCTGAAGACTTCAACCAGTTGTGTTCCCAACCGACAATCTACGGGAGAAAGCATAACTAGTTATTTATACCTGGAAAGGGGGTGTCAGACTGAGTCTTTCGTTCTCTTCTCCCTACCCAGCATCTCTAGTCGTTCTCCAGGCAGCTGTTGACCAGGCGGCTCCCCTTTCAACGAGTACCTATCGCACACGTCGAACAGGCCATGGTAGTGCAAAAGTCAAGCTCTTATGAAACGGATAAACATTCCACATTGAAGAGTCACTCCTCTGCTTGCACAGGTGGATCATATGTATAGCAAAACTCTAAATTGATATCAGCACTGTGCTACAGAGGAATAACAGCTTTCTTTAAAAGAGCAGCAGGAGGGCCCCATTGAAATATATGCAGGCCCCAAAAGAAGGCACATACATCTATATACCTATATACCACATCGTCTCATTGACAACCGAAGCCATGGCATCAGGAAAGATGGAAGAGCCTCCAGTCTCTTGGAGCTCAACAGCGAGCACGATTCCCCCTTACGATGGTCCCCCAAGGAACATTGCTAGCATCGATGCTCTGGATTTCGGCGTCCATTTAACTCCCAAGAAGTATGAGATGGCGGGAACCCATCCGGACTCCAAGATCATGTTCCTAGATGTTGAAATTCTGGACTCTACCGGAAAGCTACCCTACCGTGGTGATGTTCTCATTGAAGGTATGTCATGTTTAGCCTGTCATGTTTCACGGTTTCATGGTACATGAATGTACGTATCGGCGGCGATTAACGATTGGTGCAGGAGAGCGAATAACCGCCGTCGGAAATATTCCTGGAAAAGAAGAACTCAAGAAAAACCCCCGTGTACGCAAGATCCTTGGACGAGGGCGCACGTTAATGTCTGGCCTAGGCGATGCTCACACACATCTCTCCTGGAACGGAGGCGACCTTGAGCGTCTTGGTGAACTTGCTGTCGAGGAGCATACCTTGCTCACTGCCAGGAGTGCTCAGTGCTATGCTGACTCCGGTTACACAATGTATGCACTAATTCTTTTTATCCTATTTTGCTTGATATTCCAGATAGTTATATCCCTCTCTCCCGTTATTTTTATTTTTATTTTTTATTTTTATTCCCCCCCCCCCCCCCCTATCAACTTGTTATCTATCTACTATACTCTCAGATTTGCCTCACTAACTAGTTATTTGATGTAGGTGTTTCGGAGCGGCAGCAGCTAAAGATCGATTAGACGTGGTGATTCGTGATTCCATCAATGATGGAGATATACCTGGTCCAAGATGCCTGGCCAATGGAATGGAAATTGCCCGACGTGACGGGGAGCTGGTGGCTGGGATAACTGCATTCGCTGACGGTCCAGAAGAAATGAGGGAAAAGGTCAAGCATCATGCTGAGCTTGGAGTGGACCAGATAAAACTCAGTATGTCTGGTGAGGAGGTAAGTGATACATGCATAATGCTGCTCAATTCTCGCATGAACGTTTGTTAATGGCTCACTACAGATAACGGAGACCAGAAGTGCACAGGATTGTTACTTCACAGACGAAGAAACCGCTGCTTGCGTCGATGAGGCTCATAAGCGTGGAATACGTCTTTGTGCACATGCTCGAGCAAGGGATTCGGTAAAGATGTGCGTGAAACATGGAGTTGATGTTATATATCACGCCTCGTATATCGACGATGAAGGTGAGCCATTTACCAACTTGCCGCGGGTTGTGAGAAAGTCTACTAAAAAGCTCTATGACAGGAATGGACATGTTAGAAAAAAACAAGGCAAAACATATTGTTGCCCCAGCCATAAATTGGTTGGTAAATATATTTACCGAGGCCGCAAAGTTTGGATACACTCCTGAAAAGGCGGAAGAAGTTGGATACCGGAAAGAAAGGGATACCGCAATCTTAGCTCTGCGAGAGATGCACAGGCGTGGTATCGTAATATTGCCAGGAGGGTAGGTCTATCCCTAGGACCCACGAAACGAGAAATGTCGTCTAACGAAGCCTCCGAATAGTGACTATGGCTTCGCCTGGACCCCCCATGGCACATACGCCAGAGACCTTATGCACTTCCAGGAACTCATAGGTTTCACAGCTCATGAGAGTGTCATCGCCGCTACTGCTGGCGTAGCAAAGCTGTTCATGCGCGAACATGAACTGGGTAAAATCCTACCAGGTTATTATGCCGACTGCATCCTAGTCGACGGAAATCCGCTTGAAGACATCACTGTTCTCCAAGATCATGCAAAACTCGACGTCATCATCATCAACGGGCGAGTACATAAGATTGGGAAAAGGGATGGTGCTGGTAGGGTACCTTTGAGTGCCAACCCTGAGAGCAACGGCCATGCAAACGGTGCCGGGAATGATATACCAGATGGTGAGAATGTCCACCATGAAGAATTCCCGGAGATCAAGAAGAGTATGCAGAAGCAATATTAAGTTATATGCCCGGGTCGAGGCTTTTTGGGGCAATGAAGGATATTGACGACTTATGAACCATGAGGCATGCCGTAACGAGTTAACGTGTTATTGTTGGATTTCGGTGACGTATTTTGGGATATTATCACGAATTTCATCATGCATCATTATATTCGAAATGAATATAGTAGATGGCCCAGTGAAATGTAAAGTCATACAATGAAAATTGAACTATAAACAATATAATTGCTAGTAATACCAAACTTCGTAACTAGAGATCATTTGCTATCAGAGAGCATCATAAGGCACAGTCATTGGATCATTATGGAAAAAAAAAAAAAAGGATAAATAAATAAATAAAAATAATAAAAATAAAGGGCGGAAATGGGGAGAGGATATAAACACTTGACGTAAAACCGAAATCAGGATATCAAAATATCAAAATCATAACAGGATGGAGAAAAAGACAACAACAATAAAATGACGAGAAAGCCACCCACAATAACAGACAAAAAACACACAAGCTCAAACCAACCCTCTATTTTTTTATTTTTCATATTGATATTATAGATTTCTTCATCTTGTCATAAAAACATACCTCTCTCCGAGAAAAGGTGGCCGGCGTGGAGGTGATCTATCAAGTAACCGACCGTGTTCATCGAATCTAGGAGGCAGCTCAATAGTAGAGTCGGAATCAGGGTCGGTTTCGCGCTGGGAATGTATTGGTGGTTTGTGATACTCAGGAGAAGGATCATAGTGTTCGGAGCGACGGGAATGCTCATAAGTGGAATCGGATGTGGCAAGGGAGGAAGCTGATGACACGCTGTTGCTATCAGTGTAATACCCACGGTCACCGGAATGATGCGAAGAAGAAGGAGAATTGGAGTAACGGTGATCTTTAGTATGAACTCGTCTGTCGTGATCAATTGTTGCATCGGAATCAGAAGCAGAATCGTTGTCGTCACTTTCATACCCGTCGCACGAGGAAGATGATGGAAGGTTAAACTGGACAGACTTCCGACGGGTAGGTACCTTGTCATTCTTTGGCTCGTGAGAGTGCGGCAGAGGCAGTGACGAGGACGATGAAAACTCAGATAACGGGCGATTATAATTTTGAACTGGGCTTAACGGAGGCGATTCAAATAAGGATCTCTCTGAAGTTCCATTCCCCTCTACTCCTTTTTCTCCGTATCCATTCTGGTGTTGGCGAGATGGCTGTGGAACCTTTACACCTGCTCCTATTAGTCGTGTACAACATTCTGTGAAGCAAGGGTTTTGCGGAAACATACATTCTCATCTCCCCGATATACTGGAGGGCCCCCTGGCCCTGGACCACCAAAGTAACCTGGCCCAGGTGGAGGCCCTGGTGGAGGAGGATATCCCCGTCCCCCAGGTGGTCCTGAAGGAGGAGGAACACCATAGTACTCCTGCGCTGCTGGGGGTTGATATGAAGCAGGCCCCGGAGGTGGGCCAGGAGGGGACGGATATTCTTCTTCATATGGGTCACGGTAGTCTCTATCATATTCGGCACGGCCATTGCTATGCTTCTGATCACGGTGGTCTACAATTATTGGTCAATCAGTGTACTCATTGTGGAAGGAATATGACTACTTACGTTTTGCATATTCGTGTCCTGCATAGCCAGCTCCCGCAGCTAGGCCAGCGGCAGCTAGCCCTGCGGCAAGATTTCCATTTCCATGACGGCTACGTGAACGGTTTTCACGTCTGTCCTTCTTATCCTTCCTTCTTCGGCGTCGCTCTTCACTATCAGACCCAGCGTATTCGGTTGAATCGCTGTAAGAGTCATGCCTCGAGCGGTTGCGACTCTTGCGTCTGCGTGATGGCTCTTCTAGCCGAGGCTGATCAGGGCGGCCATAATAATCTGCGGCCGGGATACGACCGTAGACAGGATCGTCGCCATACTGAATTAGTTCTGGAGGTTGAGATCTGTCGTTGATGTCAAGACCTGCCATGTTTCGCGTGGCATCTGAGTACGATGAAGTTGACTGCGATCGTCGATGTCGGGAGCGCGAACGAGAGCGACGTCGTTCTTCTTTCTCCATTTCATGTTTCTTTTCAGCTTTTTTCTGCTTGTTGTTCTCATACATTGCAGCAATAGCTGCACTACCCAGTCCTGCAGCAGCAATGGGTATACCCTGCCTGATTCGGCTGTGAGAACGAGACCTGGAACGATGGCCTCTGCGGGAGCGTGACTTGCTGCGAGCATGTTCAACAATTCCCGCTACTGTAGCACCGGCAAGACCGGCTTCAGCCATCCGCTGATTGCGATGCTCAGAAGACTTTTTGCGTCGCTGTTCCGAATCTTCTGTGTCAGATGAGTAAGATTGGGTAGACTGTGAATCCCGGCGGTGACGACGGTGTCGGGAGTGGCTCTTTCGGCCGCGATGTTTCTCAGACTTAGGTGCATTTTCTTTCTCTGCTTTGTTCTCTGCATGCTTATGGGCGATTGCTACGGCGCCAGCAATAGCAGCTGCGCCTATCCCGAGGCCAGCAAGCGTCTTCGTACGCGAATGAGATGAAGAGGAACGAGAACGATGGCGGCGAGACCGGCTGCGATGATGTTTGCTATGATATCGATGCCTATGGCTGTAATGCTCGCGATCACGTCCACGATCTAGAGAGTCAGCGCGACGACGAGATTTGCTTCGGTGTCTGGATATGGCGTCCACAGCATATGCGCCCACTGCCCCAGCGCCAAGGTCCTTCGTTAGGCGTGAAAGAGTGCCAGAATGTTCTTTGCCGTGATCCTTTCTGCTATTGCGCCGCCATAACTCTGCGGCACCGACACCGGCAAGAGCGCCTTCTGCCATGTGCCTACGATGATGATCATGCTCGTCGTCGCTTTCGTAATCGCGATCATGGCGATGATGTCGACGACGATGTCCTAGGCTTGATCGACTATCCGAATAACGATCTGAATAGCGGTCCGAGTAGCGGTCATCGTAGTCTCGGGGGTCCTCATCATATTCTCGAATGCGGCGCTCATACCAGTAATCAGTGTCATGGGGTGATCGATGGAACACAGTGCGATCCTCTATGCCATCAGAATGATGACGAACAACCTGGTATTCATCCTCATGGGGAGAATAGGTTGACCCCCGATACGCTGTGTACTCCTCAGCTGGGGTCATAATAGGGATCTTAAGGGCTTTGGTCGACATATGGGTAGGTGAAAAGATGAATGAGCTGGAGGGGAGAAGTGAAGGAAAGATAAAAATAAAAATAAAAATAAAAAATAAAAGACCTACATTCGCGGTCGATGTCAACATATTCATACTCCTGGCGACGGTCCATCGTACTAAGGCGGCGGGGCAAGATCTCGCTTCCAGAATCGTCTCGGTGGGAACGGGAGTCGGGCGCAATGACGTAGCGTTTAATATAGTAACTTCCACCGTTTGAAGATCGGGGTTCAGACGCCCGTGAGACTGTATCAAGTTCTTCGTCTTCTTCGTCTTCGTAGTAATAGTGGTACTCTCTTCCTCGGAGACTCATTCTGGGAGAAATGGAGCCCGGATTGGGCGGATATCGGTTGATAACCGGGAATTTTGTACTCTGAAGTCAGGGAAGAGTACACGGTATCCCTCGGCTGGAAACCCTGATCAATAGTGCTTTGAAAGAGGGGAATAGCAGCAGTGAGACGAGAGCAGACGAGGAAGAACTGAACTCTCTGGAGAAAGGATGAAAGGGAGTTGACTTGGGGCGGGGCTGTTAATGCCCAAGTGCGACTTGGCTGATCGCAGGGTTGTATCCTTGACAACCGGGTACAACGGGATACAGCGGAATACAGGCTTTCGACTGGGTAATGCATATATAATATGCGTCGTGCACACGAAGCCCATACATACTCATACACCGTAATACGAGCACTCTTAGCATGACATCATTCCAAGTTTTCTGATGAGAGAATGCTGGTAGATCCAGGAAAAGAGCAAACACACTCAACGTGTTGCTTGCTCAGCTGGGGTATGAGGCGACACTAGGGCCGAATCAGCGCTGCTTAGGGTCCACGGAGATGACGGAAGACGATTCTTTAATCCCTCGATAGCTCATTTTACTATGAATAAACCAGCAGCATTCATGGATAAGTCGGCGTTCTGTGCTCCTTGTCAGCCCTGCCGGGCGTTGCCCCAGGCGTGTCAGCGGGCTGCTTGACGCCAGAGACCGATGCATGGCGCCTGGTCGACCTCCCTCGGCCCAATGATGGCCGTTCTGTCTGCAGCTACGTGGCGACGATCCGGAGAAACTGAAGTCGGGGCTGGCAAGGCTGATGAGCCTGGCGATGTCGAGGTTGCGGTTTGATGTTGATGTTGGCGTTGAGGTTTACGAGGTGAAGTCTGGTTTGCCTAAAAGGGAGGCGGCGGGCCGCGGCAGAACCAGAAACCGCCCTTTTGGCTCTACATTGCCAATATCAACGTCCAACGTCAACGCTCGACAACTACAGCTCACAGCGACAGGCACAGCTACGACTCGCTCGCCACTACGACATCTAGAGATTAATAATTCAAATCCACTCTTCAACAAGCCCATCTCCAGAAGACGGCTGTACGGAGCAACTTTATTTGAGCCGCGGAGTTCCCAGTCCGCGGATACATCTCGAAACATCGGCAGACGCCGATGGCAAAAGCAGGCGTCGCGCAGAGAAAACATCCGAGGCGAAGATGGCACTGTGGATAGTTAACGTTTGCTTATCAATCCTCTTTCTGGTGGCTATGCCACTGGCCTTGCCCATTCCTGAGGATACAAAGAAGAGGGAGGGGAAGAAAAAGGAGACAAGGCGATATCTGCATGGCTGGTCTTCGCGTCAACAATCTGGTAGTATACCGTGCCTGTGGCCAGGTTCGCGGTCTATTATGATGTACATGGACATACGGCCTCCTTGCCGCCGGATCAAACGTTAGCCCTATGGACTTGGGTTAGTGGTGCCTAACCAAGCCTTGTTAGGGGGCCATTATCGTTGAACTCTTGGATAATACCTATTCCCCGAACGGATGGCTTAAGATTTATTTCAATTTGGAGAAAGAAAGTATCTGCTTTCTCAGCCTTCTGCAAAAAGAACCGCAGCCCTGGCGCTTATCTTTGAGCCATCCAGGGGGATATTCTAAAACAAATACCTCCCGATGTGTGTATTAACTCTCAGTTCGTGGCAGGATTCGGCCCAGCGGAGTCTCATCTTTAATAATTCATGCCTCCTCCTCCTAATCAACATCGATTAGCAAGCTTAGTCGAAGTCAGGCACCAACACCCAGTATGATGGAGTAAAAATATGGAGAACTGGTGACGATTCTGGATAGTCTAAACTTATATTATGTTTCGTTGAACTTGGTAGCCTGCCATCAAATAGTCAGTTCTGTTTGTCTAACTAAGGGTATCCTATCAGTTTCATCGTCCTGGGAAACTCTCTGGATTCAACCCTTTTTCGGATATATGTATCATACGACATCTATTGCTGCCTAACCAACTAATTTGTGATTTCAAAGTGGCTCTGGATATCCCTGGCCACAGGTAGCCAGGAACTGATGCGCAGAGCGGGCAATTTTCCAAAATCCAAACGCTTGATGTGTACGAAGTACCATGTTCAGACTCACAAGACAGACATTGCTTGATCCGAATATGAGGTAGACTGCCCGAAATTGATACCAGGGCCGGGCAACGACACCTCGGAAAATGGGGAAGACCGTCACTCTAAAGGGCATCACTGCCATTTGCAAGGCTGTCGATGAGAGCTGTGTTGATCGGGTAAATGGGCTCCATGTGCCACGTTCATGGTGCTCAACCAGAAAGAAGATACAGCGGGGGGTGGCAACGGGATGCGGCCTCAGAGGAGCCCCTGACGCTCGATTCAGTGCACTACCTAGCATCCTGTACCCAGATGGTTCCTGGACATTTGGTTGAGCGAGACCACTTGTCCCGGGCTGATTCCGGGCTTCTGGAGGAGCTTTACCTCGAGTTGAAAAAGGCCAAAGTCCTTCAGGATGATGGCACTTTTGTTCCAAAGAGGCATCACTCCTTGCATGCCACTCTCCCATACCGGTGTGTTTCTTCCAAGATACAGATGCAATATTAGTTATTTATGCTGGTGCTAATGTGCCTCTACTGGTACTCCGTAACTGAGTTTGGATATTCAAGTCTCAGCAAGATGCCGGCCGACTTCAAGGAGAATACCTGTATCATAGAGCACATTTTTGCAGTGAATGGTTAGTTAACCAGCCCGGTGAGAAATGGAGTATGGAGTATGAGTGTCTGATATACTCGAGCGCCATGGTATCATCCCGTTTACACTCTTAGATACCCATATCAGCATCAACTGGGCCGGCATTATGGTTGAGAGCCACATATAGGCGATGTGTCGAATACTTTCAGAAGAATATATTTGATCCGCTGGGAATCAAGCGTACATCGTCATCCTGTCCGACGAGCTGAAATCGAGGATGATTACTATGGATCGACGAGGTCCAGACGGGAGCCTGAGCGCCGTACCGCATCGCAGGCAGCAAGTCCTGGCAGCCGAGAAAGAAAAGAGCGAGACTCTTGTTCACAGCGGTGGCGGCGGCCTTTTTTTTTTTTTTTTGGCACCGTCAGAGACAATACCGGCATGATCTGAATCCCATGCTATCTCGAATTGAACTAGTTGACAACCTGGACTCGACTATGCTTTGCTCCAGGAATCCTTGCGGCATTGCCGAACGACGGCACTTCGCCGACGACAAGTTCCTCAAGCCGATGTTCCAGAACCATGTGCCGGAGATGTCTGATTTTGCTCAGCATGTGTTGTCTCCCCATCCAGCCTGTCCTCGCCAGTGAGCCAGTACGGCTGAAGACTCCATTCCATGGGTTATATAGCGGTAACAGCGCCTCTTGGGCGGGCATCGCCAACTATTTCCGGTGGTGTCAGCCGTGAGAAGGAGATTGGGGCTTTGATAGCAACGCAGACTGTGATGATGGGAGATAATCCTCTTGTCTCCTGCTGGTCTATCGCCATCTCATCATCTCTGCTAAGCCGGCAGAGCATTAACTTACTAACCAGCTAACTTCCTCCGGCCTTCCTTGGCTTCGATGGGCTAGACCCAACTTCAGCAGCAAGGCAAGGCAAGGCAAGGCAGGCCAGGCAGGCCAGGCAGGGTTCAAGGGTCGACAGGCAGGAGGATCCTCTTCGTTCTCCGTCTGCTTCGCTGGCATTCTTCGTCTTGCTCGTCCCGTCCTTGCATGGTCAAGGGCGTCTTTTCCTGCTTTCTTCGCTCGTTACATCATCTCCCCCGAACATGAAACATGTCTCTACCGTTCCTCTGTGACTCTATTCGACTCCCCAGCCTCTGCTCTGCTCCTCCGCGTCTCCATCGCCCTCGCTACTGTCGTCATCTCACCGTCTTTCCCCCCTTTTTTATATATCCCCCTATGCTAATAACACAAAAAATATCAAAAATACAAGTGACGCACTTTCTGCTCACCGCTTAGTACCCATCTCGTAATGTGATTACCGGAGCCATTCTCGGCCCGTAGACTCTGCGTGGAAAAAGACACTCGGGAGTGCAACAGCCGTCTTAGTCAGCAGGTTTGTTATGTATCGTACGGTCACCGCAAAACGAGGCCTCGAACTTCTTCAACGTCGACTTTCTCAACTTCGCAACTTCAACTTCAACCTCGATTCTCTTCTTATATGCAAACGGAGAACACGCCCAGCCCGCTCGACGCCGTCGCCTTTCTCGCATTTCTCGCCTGTCTTGCCTCGCTGGCGGCGTGCAACTGGCTGCTCGTCTTCCCCGCGGCTTGCTGCCCAAGCTACGACACCTGCATCCGCTTCATAACTCGCAGTAGCCCAATAAACAAGCTTCCGGCATCGACCTCTTCACAACCGCCAAAACAGACGACCTCCCCATTTCGACAGGCCAGCAGACTGACAGACTGGGCCTCTTCCATGTCCAGCTTCACTTTGCTGGCTCCCTAGACCTGTTGCGATCGCTGTCTCGCCGTCTGCCTCCTACTGGCCCTCGCCGGGCCCCCAGATTCCCTCGCCTCGCGCGTTGACGTGGGCCGTCCTTATTGGGCCCTACCTGTTGTTTTTTTCTCTTCCTCGCCGCAGTCGAAACAGATATATCTGTTTTATTTTTTGTTTTGCTCTTCCTTTCTCTCGACCCCTTGCTGCTCAATTCGTGCAGCTTGATCGTTGGACGGCAGAGCGGGAGGGAGCCTGGATCGGTCCGCCCTTGTTGTCAAGCCTGTCCTGCGGAACTGCCCAAGCAGCCTGGCATCAACCACTTAACGCATTCGATATTGTTCGGGGAGGGAAAGGCTACCGCTTCCAGAGCTGGATCATGATCGTCACCCCTGTATAACCGATCCAGCACACCTCGCCTATGCTCCATTTCTAATCGCTCTGGCACTGACAAATCCATTTTTTGTTGGCGCCCATATTGGTTTTGCAAGCTCCTTTTTGACAATTCCATCCGAGTCCGTCCCTTGATAGCTGGCCAATCTCAACATAATGGGGATTTGCTGACCTATGAACGCCTCATTTTGATAATTCACCCTGTCCGTCCATCCCTCGCTGGCCGATCATCTTCGTGGTAACGCCCTCGTGTCGGATTCGACAAGAACGATACCCTTTACTCTCCATATCCCCCTCTCCCTAAATCCCCGTCATGTCATCATCTACTAGCCGCCTTTCTTCCCCATCTAGGCCAACGCCAGCTGTGCCATCACATGATGACACTGTCAGACAAGATGCTCATACTTCCGCTGGCCCCGAAGGCCGCACCAGCACCAACGGGAATGGCGCCGGGAGTGCACGCGAGCAGCAGAGCCCATTTAGGGCGACCTCCCTATTACCTCCAACCATACTGCACCCCTCAACTGCTCCCGCACCCATAGACCCGTCATTGCGTCCAAAACCTCTCCACCTTCACCATGGCAGACCTCTGCATATGTCCTCCTCTCCCAATTCTGTTACTTCCTCGCGAGAGACGTCTCCCATACCGCGCATACCGCGCTCAGCCATTGCTCAACCAGCCGCCCACTCATCGGCGTCCACATCTCGATCCATATCCAGATCACGGAAAGGCAGCAGGGATCTTAGTATACCTCGCTCTCCAAGCGGAGCCGCCGCTGTCTCTTCTTCACAAACACAACCACAGTCACAGAACGGCCATAAGCAGCTTGCCGACGTGAACAAACCCTTGCTACCTCCGCCAGTCGACACGTTAGGACGTCTCTCCCCGATCTCTCCGTCCTTCACGAACAAACCAATCGATTCACCATCCCAACGCTCTCCAGGGCTGAAGTCACCTCAGCCACAGTCTAATCTATCATCCTTCAGCCTGCCGGACAGCGTTCCTGAGTCAGCTCGACTGCCAAACCAGGAGAAAGATAGCAGATGTCAGCAACAGCAGCAGCAGCAGTCATCTCAACAACAGCAACAACAGCAATCGGAAAAACAGACTGAAGACTCCGAAGATAGCCAAATGCGGAGCATCAGCCGTAACTTGTCCCGTACCGGGAGCGTGGCAGGTTCTATGCTTGAAACCGTCGAAGAGGCTGGAACTCCTACACCAACCGATACTCATACCACTTTAGATTCTAAACTCGATGAAAAAGAGCGCGGAAAAGATGATACCTCGTCTAAACCCGGTGGTGAAAGTGGCTCGGACTCGAGCGGGAAAAAGAGAATGGCTAGACGTCCCTCAGATCCTCATAGAAGAAATCCTTCTGTCACGGCACGGCCGAATGCGGGTGATGTACTCCCAAAGCGGTCATTTACCTCGCTCAGCTCTGCTCGCGGAAAGCCGGGAGAGATATCCATGACGAACATGACTGTAGAGACCGAGACAGTTAGCTCTGTTCCACAGGTACCCCTAGGCGGGCCAGCGACTGAACGTGGAGGAACTGGCACATTGAGAGAACGCAGAAGTGATGAGACTATCCGGCCCAAGAAAGAAAAGAAGAAGGCATCTAGGAAAACCACAGTGCCACCCGGAGGGAGTAAGTCGGCTTTTCCTATATATGCTGTTCATTGTTAGACAACGTACTGATAACCTTTGTCCAGTGTCCTCGAAGGCGGATATCTTCGAAGCCAAGGTCGCTAGTGCAGTGGATGATGCGGACTCTTCCGACTCTGCGGAGACGTTTGTCTATGAATCTAATCCTCGTGACCCTCATCCAGCCCGCCAGCATAGGTATCATTCTCGGACCCCTTCGACCGCTTCAGCCGTCAGTCAACTTGACCAGTACGGTGGCCGCACTCGATCTGCCCTTCGTGACACTCCCGGTTTTCATGGAATTTCTGGCAAGCGAAGCATGAAGTTTACTAACAATACCTACAACACTTTTGACGGCGACGATACTATGTCTTCCGGACGTGGCAGCTCACGAATTAACGGCCATAATATTCATACAACCAGGCATCATACTGGCAGACATGCTCGCAATGGAGCAAATACATCGTTATTCGACCACGCACGTTTCTTCTCTTCGCAGCAGGTGCCGACGTCCAAGGGCTTTCGATATTTGTCAGTAAATGGCAACAGCGCACCCCATCGGCTTTCCGCTAAACAAGATGGTGACTATGGCTACGACTTTGACGCAGAGGGTGCTGATGATGAACGTACCCCTTTGGTGAATGGCCCTAATGGACGTAACATTCGCTCCCGCCACGGTCGGCGACCTGGCAGTTCAAGCCTTCGACAACTAGAGTACATGGAAGAACGACGCCGCGGATGGTTCGCCCGAGCTACTCTCTGCACACTTCTACTTGTCCTTGTCATTATCCTTGGGGCCGGAACTGCCGTATTTGTTGTCGGTGTGACCAAGACGTTAACCAATGTACAAATTCGAGGAATTCAGAATGTTCTTGCTTCAGAAGCCTTGCTCATGATGGACCTTGATGTTCAAGCGGTCAATCCAAACCTTTTTACTCTGACCGTCAACCACCTAGATGTGAACATTTTTGCGAAGAGCAAATTCCTGGAAGTGGAGGAAATGGATTTGGGGGAAACGAGGCTTCTGCCTCGTACAGGCGATAGCAAGTCGCGAGCTATCCTTTCTCTCGCTGCGAGAGGATTCGACGTTGAAGCTGAGCAACGACAAAGAGCTGAAGGAAATGTTGATAAAGGCACTGACCCCATCCATGATCCTTCTGCCCCCAATCCACAAACTATGCTACTTGGTCGGGTTTTCCACCTTGATTCCCCGCTTACGTTTACTCCCTCGCCTTGGAAACACCTTGCTTCCAACTCAACCGCTCAAATCCGTGTCCCGAAACCGGGAAATAGGACTGAGGAAGGTGGTTCTTTGCGCTGGGAGAAAATCCAGCAACACCCCTTCGAGTTAATTGTTCGGGGCGTTGTAAGATATGAACTTCCGCTAAGCTCGATAATCCAGAGCGCGCCCGTCAGTGCAAAAGTTGCCGTTCTACCTGACAAAGGCAATGCAAAGCCAACATCGACATCGACCCTTACTCCGACCGCTCCCACGAAGACAGTTACGGCTAAGGCGTTCACGGAAACCTCGACCTCTTTAGTCATGCCGACCCTCTTGCCTTGAGCGGGTAATAAGATCTCCCAGCTGTAGATCGTCTGTACGACTACCTTTGAACTTTTGATTATATTTTAACGAATTTTCTATCTCTTCATTTTGCAAAAGAGAACCATCTTGCGCGCATTATTATCTGATGATTCTCCACAGGCCTTGAGTTTATCACTCTGAGCCTACTTTGCTTCTCTCTTTTTTCTTTTCTTCTTTCTTTTTTCTTCTTTTTTCTAAGCGATTTTTATATCAAAACACTTTATACCCCTGTTGCTTGCTGTTACTATGCATAGCTGTTTTAATGGCTTTTGATTTTGTTATCTTTTTTTTTTACTCTTTAATATTTTTTGTCGTTGCGTTTGTTTCTATGTATATGCTCCCGTAAAAAGGGAAAAATCCGTGTTTCTTTGACATTGCTGGGGGAAACATCATGACAACAACACCAATGACAACAAAATAGACCGGGGAATTGGGGAATTATGGGCGCAAGCCGGGGGTTTCTTTTTCAATCTCTTTTGTACTAACTTTGGGCCTCTGCATCGGCTTTTGCCGCCATCTCAACAGCACACTCCTTTAAGAGCCGAAGCAAATGAGGCATAGCAAGAAGGTGCAGTTGAAGATCTCCATCTAACAGTGCCTCTTTTTATGTCCTTACCTGCTTCATCTTTTCCTATGTTATTAAGTGGAACAAGTTTACCATGAATACAAATATAACTACAGCAGATTCAAGCAGAATGTGAACGGAACATATGATATAACTACAAGTCGAATGGAATGACATCACGGAGGTATATCCATAGAGTCCCGAAGTCCACATTGTTTAATATATACCCATTTTGGTCCTCATCAGTAGGAAGAAAATATTCAACATTGGTTCTAGGGGTGACTGATAAAGAAATATAAAATGTTTCTAACTCAACTTTTCGTATAAACCAACGGTCGAACTGGTAAAGTAAATGGTTCTGAAGAACGAATAACCATATAAAAATCCCCGTAGATTGTCAAAAATATTAATCAGTCGGATTCCAATCCAACACTTCATGCCGCCATGCTTCAAAAAAATCCAAACCGTACTCGTGCGCTTACCATTTACACCATGCAAAAAGGGAATGCGACAAAATGGTATCCAGATAGGGAACGGGGGGGGGGGGGGGGGGGGGTGGGGATCCCTTTCCCGGCGGTATATATATAACTATGCTGTTTACACGATGCGGTAAACGCGCTTGGCGACATAGAAGCAGACAATTGCAAAAAGCACCAGTCCGGCAGTTACTATAATGAAGTGTTAGCAGCCAGCACCTATGGGTGATTGGTGGACTAAAATCAGATGCTCTGGAAACATACTTGACCAAAACCAGTTGAGGCTTTCAACGTCCTGTCCAGGAACCTTGACGTTCATCCCCCACATGCCGCAGATTATGTTCATTGGAAGGACAATGGTGCCGAGTACTGTGAGCTTGCCCAAGACATCGGCTGTTTGTTCTTGTCGTTCGTTCATTCGGATGTTTATCTGAGCAAGATAATTTGAATGCGCACGGGAGAGCAGTCTAGGATTCAAAGTCAGTACAACGACCTTAGGACACGAAGGGGATGGGACCGACATACGTTTCGTAATGAGTTAAATTGCTTGTCATAGTCAAGATATGATCCTGGATGTCACCCAGGTAGAGTCCAATTTCAGACTTCGGGGCAACTTCCCAGTACTCATTGCAGCGTTTTGCAAACCCTTTGATAACATCTGCCTTGTTGCCTAGAAGCCTGTAAAGCCCCATCACTTTCTTACGGCATGCACCGACCTGGCGAAGCATATTGGTTCCAGAGCCACTTTCTTCTAAAGCAGCAGTCTTTTCGTTGTTTTGATCAGAACCTATTTCCTTGTCGTCGGAATGTAGGCGTAGGATCTTGTCATCAATCTCGTCGACTTCTTCCTCAATAGCATGGATGAGAGGGCCGAAAACGTCAGTGATATCGTCAATGATAGCATATGATATCCAATCGGCGCTCAGGATTAAGTAATCTTTGAGTTGACGGATTCTTCGGCGGACGTTTGCTGGATGAGGAGTTCGAGAGAAGTGGAAGCTGAGAAGACCCTCTCGGAAAACCACCACGTACATATTCACGGGTTCGAGAAAATCAGGACTGTTGACATCTTGCTCGAAGGTACGGTAATTGATGAAGTAGTAATTCCGGAACAGTTCAACCTTTTCTCGTGCTTCTTGCATCATGATATCTTCGGCAGTCAAGGCGTGTATTCCAAATGCTTTAGCAATGATTCTCATTTCACTGTCAGTGGGACTGAGAACATCAAGCCAGAAGGTAGGCCGGGGTCCATATCGCGGCTCTTTCTTAGGGCTAGGAATTCGGCTATTGCCATTGGTAGGCTGTGGGGATGTGCTATCCGGGTTGTCTGATAGGAGGTCTGGAAGATTGTTTGTGTTGTGGTTGGCATTTGTAGATATAGATGGGTGTTTATCACGGCTTGTTGTACCGCTATAAGGGGGGGAATCATCTTCATCCGAAGAATCGTCTTCTAGTAGTGGAGGTTCTGGAATGAAAAGGTCTCGGAAAGTTTGGCCAGGTTGTTCAAGTTCGGATAGTGTCTGGCTGTGTAAGGTGCTTTGAAAATCTTCATTAAAATAAGTGAAACGGTACGGTGCTTCCTCTTCTTCATCTTGTTTCCACGCCAGATTTCGAGTTCTTAGTCTCCCCCCGATGAGCACTGGTTCATCAATTCTCTTGGAACGGGTTCCACCACTGCGAGCCTCCTTCTCATGCTGGCTCCATTCATCCAACACTGAAAGGTCGGGCCATACTCTCCGTGACCGCCGTCTACGCTCACGGGTATCTCCACCGGTTGGAATATGTGACTGGAGATCTTCTTCGCCGAGATCTGAAAGGCCACTAGCAGGGAAGCATACATCTTCTTCCACTGGAAGAGTAAGTGTTCGGCGGCGCTGTAGGTCCGCCGGAGAGCGCGACATTGATCCATGTCTGGATTGTAATCCTGGCCTTCTCGAGTCTGTATCCACATTGACTACTGCATCCATGGGTAGACTGTGGCAGCTCAGCGCTTCTGGTGACTGTTGGCGAACGAACTCAGGTCCTGTTATTACTGTTTCGTCATAGCCCATATTATTAGGCATGATTTTTGGGCTTCCGGGCATAGAAGGCGGGTTGTTGACATCGTATCCCTGCCTCGAAGCTAAGAAGGCATCAGGCGTATAGCTGTTTTGTGGTGACCGCCTTGATGTTGGGCTGCCCATACCTGGTGGCATAGAAAAAGGTGATCTTAAGTCAGATCCATAACCCCGGAGAGCACCGCCATTCTGTGCTGATGAATTTAACAACGGCGAACGGTCGTCTGTGATGGCGAAGTCGTCCTCTGGCAAGGTTTCGTGTCTGCGTATTTTTGTACGTGAGCTGGTAGGGGATTCAACGGGCAGTTGGTCGGGACGAAAGCTCTGGGCTAGTCTGCTCTCTCGGCGCGGGCGCATCATGGGTTGATTTCTATGAGTAAATATTAGCATTACCAGCTTGAAAAACGACGGTCACTGAAAAGAGCATGTTGTTAGGAGGTTGGCTTACCGGTGATCCAGTAAGGCTTCACTCTCAAGGCTGGTCTCACTGAGATTTCCCCCGCCAGACCTTCCAAGGTTGTAGAACGGGCATGGACGAGTCTCTGTCAGAGAAGCATCCTTTGTATCTTCGTGCTCTTCATTTGGTTGCGTGTCGACTCGACTGAGCGGCGACTGGAAATGAGAGTTATCACCAGCTGGAGCAAAGGAAGGTCTTCTGTTCCGCTTCTTCCTGGGAGCTCTGTGTCTTCTTTTTTTGGGCGTACTTCTTTCTGCCCCCATGACACTGTTGGTGGGATCCATCTTTAGGCTGGACCGTCTGAGGAAGAGATTTTGACTACGGAGATGGTGAATATCATCTGCGGAGTCCCGGCCGAGATCCTAACGAACTTAGGGTACTTTAAAGCCGTATGCAGGTTGATGGCAAGTGGGAAAAGGGGTGAAGTTCGGCATGGAACAGGGAGATGAGTTGGAGTTTGGTTGCTAGCAATCGACAACCCAAAGGATGACGTCGATGGTTGAAGGGTTTTTCGCTGGCTGGTAGTGCCGGTTCAAACCCTAATTTACAGCCCCAGGCTGACTCGGGTATCAAGTTCCACCTGCAAGGCCCGGATTCTTCTTCCATGCAGCCGGCGGCGGAAGTGCCACCCTATCATTGGCCAGGTGTTATGCATCATCTCTGTTTTGTGTCATGCTGCTCAACCTGTCGGACCTGGGGATCGGCTTGGAACGATTAAACTGCATTGCTGATCCGGTATCAGAACAGGCTGTTGCTTGCCGGCGAAAAGTGTAAAGTGAAGCAGCCAGAGTTGAAGGTCATAAAATCTATTAACAACTCTTGTTACCAAAATTAAATACAAGAAATGTGTTGTGCAAGACATCGTGGGCCTCGTCATCGTTATCCAAGTAACAAAAGAGAGCCATTATTAGTTAAAACATATTGGAACATGAAGTGAAGAAAAAAAAAGAGGAAAAAAAGACAGAAAAACAAAAAAGATTAACGAAACTCCGTGTAAAGTACCCAAATGCCGGATATCGATCCTGTTCATCCCGTCCAAACTCTGTATCCGAAAGAAGATATGAAAGATAAGATCCTCAAAAACGCCGTGATTTCCCATGTTTCAATGTATTCGTGAGAGTGTGCAAGGAGGCAATGTTATCAAGAGCATACCGGAGTGAACGAGTTAATGAGAGTGTGACGCCTCACATTATGTTACTCGGGTTGCTCGGGGCCATACTAATAGACGGGAAGCTTTGAGTCGACCGAATGCTTTGTCTATCGGCACTCAGGCCCTTGGACGACTTCCTTTCTTTTGGAGGCCTTGCAACAAGGACCTGGGCGGGACAAACGACTATTTCTTCATCGCCATCGCCTTCATCGCTGCCTTTCTTGACAACCAAAGGGAAAAGGACCATGCGAACAACTGCACGCTGTGCTTCTAGCTCTTCATTCGATGTTGTTTCGCCACTGCGTTCGTTCATAAGAGCAGCATTAAAGTAGACTTTTCTGAGGAGTTCACCGTTGGTGTCGTATTCTGGCTGGAGGGGGGGTAACATGATGTATTCTGCACGTTGGGTGCGCATTTTGATTGAAAGATCGACTGCGGACCGCATCACGTTGCGAAGAGAATCCAGGACAGTTTTCTCTAATTCATGAGGGGGTGGAAGTAGTTTTGAGAGGGTGCGGTAGATTTCTTGGACCACAGCTTCGGTATCTTGTGAGCGAAGCTCTTTGAAAGAAGGCCGTTTGGAGAGAAGAGTCAAAGTAGTAGCTCGCCATTTGTGAACAGCATTTGGTGGACCGACCTCGGATAAGTGTTTCTCGAGGGTCTTCAGCTTCTGTCGTTGCTCTCTGTCCATTCCGAAGAGGTACCGCGTAAAGATGTACTCCCACATCATAGTCATGGCAACGGACATGAACACATCTCTTCGCCCAACACGATCGGAAAGGTAAGTATCGACATCGGTTCCATCAAGAATTGCATTCTCAAATCGGTCAACAATCTTCTCGTCGCGGAGGACACTGGTGGTGCGGCAAACGCGCATATCTGAGAATTTAGAGAACCTTAAGACCCACTGCTGGACGTGTTGACATAGTTTCTGACAGGCATTGTCGAAGTAATCCTCGTCGTGGAAGACAAGAATGTCATCCTTGGCTGAGGCCTGGATTTGTTCCTGAAGTTCCTTGATCTTGTCCTGGGCATCAGCTAAGTTGTCTCGCAGCAACTGGATTTCAGCGTCCTTATCTGCGAGCGCAGTGCCGACTTCATGCTTGACCATTTGCTCTAGGCCTGAGGATAATTGTGCGTATTGCGCACGAACCTTCTCCAGCTCTCGCTGCGACTTCTCCCATTCTTCCTTGTAGTTCGATTGGTTGCCACCGTCGAGGCCACGGGAGGCCGCATAGCTAGCATTGGCAGCAGCAAGCCCTTCGTTGACTTCTGTCAGCCTGGTAATCTCCTTCTTAAGCCAGTCTGAGGACTTCTGCAGCTGTTGTATCTCCAATTCCTTGTTTTGGATTGTCTGGTCACGTGCCTCTAGTGCGCGCGCATGTTGACGTTGAGCGACGGCATGGCTCTCAATTGCCTTTTCGGCGGCGGCTTTGGAGGAGCCTAGGAGGCGGTTTTCCGATACAAGCTGGTCAAGACGAGTTTCGAGCTCCTGGAGGCGCTGTAGACTGCGGCGCCGGCGCACACTGGGCGGGCGAGTAGGTGAGAGCGGCGGGGCACCCTGGACATCGCCCCATCCTTCCTATGGAGATGTGTTAGCGACAGAACTGGTTACTTGGAGCCATAGATGATGTCGTCAACTTACATAGACGTCGGCAGCCATGCCTCGCAGCGGCGCTTTGCCCTTGTCTGTGACTGGGTCATACGTTGAGGATGAAGGAAGTTGGCGCGCTTCTTCGTCTTCCTGATATTCCTGCTCCTCTTGCGAGAGGCTGGGAGACGGAGTGCGAGTTCTTCCGCGCCGGAAGTCACGTTCGCTCGCCGCTTTAAGGTCGGAGCTGCGGCGGCTCTTAACCCGACGTAGCTTGGGAGGAGTCGATTCAGGGGTGTAGACTGGGTTGACAGCCGGGGTCGCCCAGGTCTGTGGCTGGGCTTGCTGCTTCTTCTCAGGCCCGCGGCTAGCAGGGGCAGCGTCCGGGGTCAGCGGGGGGAAGGCTGGAGGGTTCTGGGCTTCGTACGGCGCGGATATAGCCGAGTGCTCCTCGATCGTTCCCAGCGGCGTCTTGGGAGGAGATACCGATCTAGAGACAGACCTTTCCCGTTCAGCCAGTCCGTAGGGTCCTCCGAAGAGAGATGGAGGTTCGAGAGATGGTCGAGCTTGCTCGGTGGCCTTAGGCGCAATATTCTTGGCCGTGGTTGGCCCTGAAATCTCCTTCTCAGGGGTAGAGAGGAGTGCGTGGGGAGTTGTGTCATCAGCGTGATCCAGTGGCTTGTCTGTTTCTATAGACTTGTGTAGATGCATTGGAGTAGGCGTAGATGGACGTTCTTCGCGCTGGTCGTGTATTTCATGGGTTGCTGGAGTCATATAGCCGAAGTCTCGAGTGGATGGTGACGAGTGGAATAACAGAGCCGACGAACGCTCCTTGGAGCTTGATTCAACTGAAAAAGGGTCGTCATTGTATTCACGTTTAGGAGTCGGTATCATTGCCTCGGGCTCAGCCATTGACTTGTCTAACACTTGGACATCCTCAGGCGCCTGGTTGACCGGCTTCATATCCGCGCCAGAAGTTTCATTCCCAGGGGCACCGATATCAAGAGCCTGAGAGATCGTCAAGTCTTCTGATGTACCGGTACCCTGCCGTGCTGCCTTGTCATCTCCAGGGTGTGGCTCATGTTTTCGCGGCCAGTCAGGCGCCTCTAATGATTCTAAGGATGCACGTTTATTAGCATGCTCAGGCTCAGGTGTCAGTAGCTGTGTTTTTGTGGTATCAGCGACTAGATCCTCAGAGAGTTGCATTTTGTTCTTTTTCTTGTTTTTCTTCACATTCTTGCTTGTCACTGAGGGTGAGATATCTTCTTCTGGTCCGCCCCCTGGGCCCGTTGTGGACAAAAAACTAGGCTCGTTGGATTTGACGAGCTCCTCTGGCTCCCTTGATAGCTCACGAGTCACTTCTGAGTGCCTTTCCCCTGCCTCAATCGTAGATTCGACGTTTCCTGGACGTTTTCCCTTAGCTTTGGTCTTCTTTCCTTTCCTCTTGGTGACATTAGGGAGAAATTCGGCTTCTGGTTCAAGAGCCTCCTCCCTTGCAGCATTTGGAGTTGTCGCAGTTACTTCAGTTGGAATTTTTGGTTCAAGAACAGATATGGGGGGCGGTAAGTTTTCGGGCTGTTCAGTTTCAACTACCGCTGGCTTTTCGTTTTTCTTGTTCTTGGGTTTATTTTCCTTTTCGTCCGTTGTAAGAAAAGCACTTTCATCCTCTGGAGGTGGCTTTGTTGAGGGCCCTGATTCAAACTCAGGTACAAGCTCAGACAATGGATCAGGGCTGTCTAGAGGATCCTGTTGAGGTATGGCTAGGTCTTGACTTCCTATATCTGTGGCCTCGGTCCATCCAAGGTCTTCTCCTACAAGACCCTTCGCTTTGGACTTTCCCTTCTCTTTACTTGGTACAGCCTCCTCCTCTGGCTGCTTTAGGGTCAGGCCAGTGGCAGGCTCGACTGATTCAGTCATTTCATGCTTTGCAGTTGATGGAGCTTGAAGCTCCTGTGTTTCAAACAACGGAGTCTCAGTCTCAGCCTTGTCTTTCTCGAGTGCCTTCCCCTTGCCTTTGGATTTCTTGCTCTTCTTCACCTTTTCCCCCTTCCCCTCTGTTGATGACCAGGTATTTTCACCTTGCAATGGGCCGATAGAAATGTCGTAAGGTACTGCCGTTTCTCCCTTGTCTGCTAACTGTGGGGGATTCTCGGTTTCCACCGGCGAAGCTCCCGTGTCCAAGGTGGGTTCTGTGCCTTGGGTTTCCTGTGATAGCGCCATGGCTGGCTCTTTTGCATCATGGAACCCACTTGTTGTTTGTTCGACTGAGGGCTCTGCACCCAAGTCTTTCATTGGCAGATCTTTATTGGTACTGTCATCCGCAGCTGCACTTTCCATGGCTACTGGTTGCGAGTCTTCCTTAAAGCCGCGATCAATCTCCATAGCCGAATCTATTACATTCTGGGATGTTTGATGGCTCGTGGGCACAACATTTGCGTCAATTTTCTCTCCAAAGGGCACGTCTTGGTCCGGTCCACGCTCTTCCACTGCTCCACCGCCAGAGACCAGTGTTTCCGCTGCTGATTGAGGGGCCCTGGTATCATGAATCTCGCTCATGCTCTCTCCCTTTGGTTTTTGTCCAGTTTCACCAGCGAAAGTTTCTACTGGTTTTTCTTCCGGAAGGTCATCACCTTTAAGAGCCGTATCTTCACTGAAGTCTCCAATTCCTGGTGTCATTGTCTTGGGGAGTACTGTGTGCTGAATTTCGGGGGTATCATTGATGACTTCATGGTCACCAGAAAGTTGAAGATCCAACGACGCCGTGTCCATCTCTCGTTCGTTGTTAACCTGAGCGTACGGAACAGTATTAGATACATTATCATGGATATGATCCCAGTCAATAGTTGGCCATACCTCATCCTCTTTAGGGCTTGCAGCCTCGCCAGCAACAGGCATATCAACGTCGGGACAGACAGGCGCATCGATGGTATGTGCTTCAATCTCTTTTTCTTCCGCAGCTTGGGCTTCAACATCACAACTCAAACCTCGAACATCCTTCTTTTTCTTTTTCTTATTTCTCTTAGAAGATTGACCGGATAAAACTGGCTGCTGAGCTGGTTCTTCCCTCACCAATTGTATTTCTAGTTCAGGATCTTTCAATTCGCCTGGGACATCTGTCTCCGTTTGAGAAGTAATCGTACCTTTAGTACGTTCCTTTTGTTTCTTTGATTTTTTTCTTGGTCCTGAGCCTTCATCCCATGTAGGTTTATGGCTGATCTCTGCCGCTGCTCCGACTGGCTCGGGCTCTGTTATGTTGTCGTCCACAAAAGGTGGAATAGGTAGAGTTACCATATCTTTTCCAGCAGAATCAACTGTCATGACCGTAGAAATGGGCTGTGTTTCCAATCCATGAGTTTTCTCGATACCGACTTCAGGTTCTTCTGTCGTTGGAGCATCATCAACTTTGTTGAAATCGGTGGTTTCGGTAATGTCAGCTGTGATTTTAGGGACATTTGGGGTAGAATTAACTGCTTCTACGTCCTCCTTGAAACCTGACTTGACGACATCAGCTGCAGCTCCGCGAGCTTTCTTTTTTGCAGCCTTTTGCTCCTTTTTCGAAAGCGTTCGCAGTGGCTCTTCCTTCATATCGGCAATGAGAGATTCTGGGGCGCTAGGTTCCTCAGGTAAAGTTTGCATTTTGATGTCTGGTAACTCAGGGGCAACAGCAGGTTCTCCCTCCAACACCACACCCTTTTTCTTTTTCTTCTTTTTCTCCTTCTTGGACATCTGACTTGTATCTCGGGCTGGGAGTTCATCAGACACAGTTGGAAGTTGAGGGATAGTCCTGAGCAGGACATCATCAGTGGTATGGCGATTTAAAGGGGTAGCTGCGGAATCATTGTCATCAGCTGGTGATTGTTCCGTGGATAGAAGGGCAAGGCCATGTTCTTCCGGTTTGGGTAGCTCGGTCGGTGTCTCTTGCATGGCATCAGAGATTTCGGCTTGGAACTGCTCTGGGGGCGGGTGTTCACAAATCTTCTCCGAAATTGTGAAATCAATCGGTCCAGTCTCTGGATTTTTGGTTTCATATTTGCTAACCTGGATTTCCTGATCCTTGATGGGTTCAGAATATGTTGTATCTACTGATGCTCCGGCCCCACGCAAGTCCACTAGCCTACCCTCGGCATCTGGTCTTGACGATAAGCTAATTGATGGAGGGATTGGTGTCGACTGATCCTGTAGTTCAGGTATTGAAGGTTCGGTAAGGGCATCTCCTAGACCAGTTGATGATAAGCCTTTACTCTTGTCAGATAGCGATTCATCGGCAGGATTCTCAGTGGCACTCTCTTGGATGTTTTCCATGATTTGATCATCGAGAGATGGCCCCGGTCCGGTGCTTTGAATCTCCATGGATGGTTTGATACCTTCTCGAGTCTTCTCAGGGGCCAGATGTTGTTCTGTGGTTTCTCCCACTGATTCCGGCAAGGAAACCATATCGGGCCTAGTGGCATCGTTAACTGGTGTTTCCATAAGCTTCTCCTCAACAATGGTTGCATCCTCGGGCTGGCCATCAACATTAGTTAGGGAGTGTGATGGCTTGGATTCCGATACAGCCAGGTCCGCGTCGGGAGCAGGAAGATTGTCTAAGGCGTCATTTCGTAGAGCATCCGAGGCATTTGTGGCGGTGTCAGGTTGTGTGAGAGGTTCCTCATCAAAGGGTAACGATCGTTGCTGGGATTCAAGGTCTGTAGGAGGGATTGCAGGCCCATTGTCAACCTGCGTAGGCGGAATTTCATCAGTCCAACAAGAAACTTCAGCCTTTTTCTTACTTTTGTTCTTCTTCTGAGATTTAGAGAGTTGAAATTCTTTACCGTCCTCGTCTGGATTGCCAGTCTCAACTTCACCGCCGTCTCCTTGTGGCTCAGTCATTCTGGGATCAGTGCGTCCGATATCCATTTCTACCATGCCTGGCTGGGTGGAAGCTACGTCGGTGGGCTGCTCCTTCGGGCCTTGGGATTTGCCTTCAATATTTTCCTGCGAGGGTTCAGCCGAAGATATAACTGCTGTGGTGGCAGTAGATTCGGTTGGAATTGAGGCCTCTGTCTCACATTCCCTCGGTATTTCAACCCCCTGGGGGGTTTGAGGCAGCTCATCTGTCCAACCCACAGATTGCTTCGATTTCTTGCCCTTTTTCCCTTTCTTCTTTTCCTTCGCAGTCAAAGGCTGCTCTAAAGGAGCTTCTGCCCGAGTGTTATCAACATCCTGCGCCTCCTGGGTCAAGAATTCGACTGACGTACTTTCCGAAGTCTCTGGGGCCTCCTCAGGCTTAGCTGAAAATTCTTCTCCCGCAGCTTGATCCTCCTGGCTCTTCTTTTTCTTTTTCTTCTTTTCCTTAGCTGAGAGAGGTTTCTCAGGAGTTTGCTCTTCTGGTACCGGCTCAGTGCTGAATGCGTCATCTAGGGCACTTTCACGAGAAACTGATTCCTCTTTGGCCACAGGCTCATCTTCCAAAGAAGTTGTTGCCTTCTCTTGCCTCTTCTCTTTCCTTTCCTTCGCAGTTAGAGGTTTGTCGATATGTTGCTCTGGCAAGTCGTTACCTATCGCTAGGGGCTCTTGAGTTGAGGGCTTGGCGGCAAGAGTTTCGGAAGGTTGCCCTGCCTCCTTGGGTATAGGTAGCTCTTCCAAATGTGGTGTCTCCTGGTCTTTTTCAATCCCCTGGTCCAGCAAAGGCTGCTTGGCATGGGTATCCGCGGAGTAAGGTAAACTTGTGTCTACCTCCAAGTCTTGTTCTTTCTGGGTTTCCACGGAGGGTGTATCAACAACCCCAGGCGTTGGTACTGGTTGAGATTCCTGCTCCAGAGACAATTTCTTTTGATGCTTCTTCAGCTTTTTCTTCTCCTTCGCAGTAAGAGGCTTTTCGATTGGCGTTTCTGGTACAGGCTGGTCCACAGTGTCTGCAGGGAGTTGATCAACAGTCGTTAGTGTTTCTATAACTTCAGTATCATCGTCTAGAGCTTTGGGTTGACCCTTCTTCTTCTTCTTTTTCTTCTTATCTTTAGGTGTGGAAGTCAACTCAATTGGCGGCTCCACAGAAGCTGTGTCCACAATGTCTGTTGATTGTTCTTCGTGAGATTCTACTGCATCACCCTTTTGGTTCTCAGCTGGTTGATCACTTTGGGGTTTGAGACAACTGTCATCCTCAAGTTCGGCGGATTCAACCTTTGGTTCAGAGCTTTCAATTTGAGATTGTTCCTGTACCTCGTGAGGGACAACGGGTGCAGCTTCTTGCTCTTCTTGAATGCTAACATGGTGGGCATCTAGTCGCTTGTCGTCTGTTGGTTCAGCGGGGAGTGGACCCCGGGGATCAGAAAGTTTGGGTTCTTGTTGGTTTTCATCTATAATGTCCTTAGGTTCAAGCTCTAGAACATCAGATGGGATGGATTTTGGCTGCTCGCCTTCCGCAGACTCCGTGACTTCAGGCCGTTTGTCCTGTAGAGTTGTACTGGGTTCACCCTCAATGGAATGGGAGTCCCCAGTTTGCTGGGTTTCTGGCTGCCTGTCCTGGAGAATATCAGTAGGTCCACCTTGTTGTGTTTTAGAAGAACCCGAGTCTACCGGTGTGTCTTCAACAAGCGCCATATTCTCGTACGGTTGGGACTCTGAAGGCATATCCTGGAGAGTTTGGGCGGAAGAATCTTCAATGGGGGCAGGTGGCTCCGTGTCTTGATGGCCGACATTCTGAGGCCTTGGAGTCTCCTCTTCCCGAGTTTGAAGATGTTTATCCACATGCAAATCCTCCTGAGCTTCGACATCCCGCAAGGTTTCCTTTGGAACATCTTTAAGAGGGTCTGCCCCTAAATCATTAACAGGAGCTCTGGACTCTGTGGCTTTTGGTTCCTCGTCGATGGATATTGATTGACCCTTCTTCTTCCTCTTCTTCTTCTTTTCCTTAGGGGCGAGAGGGGTATCAACAGGAACTTCTGAGGATGGAACGTCAACTGACCGCAGCTTGTCTCCTAATGGCTCGGTTAGCATGTCCTGCTGAACATTTACTTCGCTGTTTCCCAAAGTTTCAAGCGGTTCATCATCCCGCTGTTCTGCTGATTCGTCTTTATCGGGATCAGACGGCCCATCCCGCGGAGTCTCTATTGATGACTGTTGAATTAAAGATGACGATTCAACGGCTTGGGGTTCCTTGTCCAAAGACTGCGATTGACTCCTATTTTTCTTCTTTTTACCCTTTGCTTGTAGAGACTTATCACCAGACGCTTCCATTGGAAGTTCGTCGGAATTTGCTGGTTTCTCACCTGGGGGCTCTGATACCCCGGGCTTATCGGCAGGTGCAGGGGACTCTTCAATTGTTCCAGATGGCTCCTCGACTGAAGGTTGCGGCGTAGATTCAAAGGGCAAAGGCTGATGCAAAGTTGAAGATTCCAATGACCGGGGGTCAGTTTCCTGAAGATTTTCATTCTTGTGGGCTTCCAAGGCTTGTGGCCCTTCAAGTGTATCGTTAATCTCTGAAGCAGTTCTGGTTGATGGCTCCAAGGGCTGGTATCCCATTCTCGATCCGTCGACACCTAGTGGTTGCTCGGCTACTTGTTCCGAGGCCTGCGAATCCATTGGGATGTTGTCATTGGCTAGTCCTTGTTCATGCAAGGTTTCAATAGGCTCAGGCTCAGTTAGTAGCTTATCAACGACTGATGGTGCTTCAGCCAAAGGCTCAGAGACTTCAGTGTTCTGATGATCATCTTGGACCTCCAGTTGAACAGAGCCTTGAGCCTCAGTATCAACTTCAGGAACATCTGGCGGAGAGGATTTCTGAGCTGGCTGGGCTTCATCAATAGTTGATACACTGCGGTTCTTCTTGCGTTTTTTCCTTTCCTTGCTTGTTAATGCGTTTTCAACATGAGTTTCCACAGGGACGTCATTGGCATCCATTGGTAGACCGCCGACAGGTTCCGTGGGCTTTTCTTCGGCCGGGGGGCTTCCTAGGGTAGACGGCTCAGCCTCCAGAGTCATCGACGATTGCCCATCGGCAGGTTTGGTTTTCTCCAAACTCTGATCTTCATCTTTTAAAGATGGGACTTCCCGATTCTTTTTGCCCTTCTTCCCCTTTTTATCCTTCTTGGCTTTAGCAGGTTTAACTGCAGTTTCCCCAGTGGATGGAATGGTTTCTGCTTGCAATTTCGCTTCTTCACGAGGGAGATTGAATCGCATGGCTTCACTTCCTTCGGTGGCTTTGCTGATGTTAGAGTCTTCCTCGACAGCTCTTTCGTCCCTTACGTCTACCTGAGTAGGCACTTCGAGCTTAGCACCAGTCAACAATGTATCCTCTTTGGGCGGCTCTTCATCGACCGGAATGTCAACGAGGGCACCCTTCGGCTCTTCGAAGAGAACAGGAGTAACAATGGCCTTATCTACTGGCTGGTCTTGGCCGCTTTCTTCGGTAGCTGTTGTTTTATCATGAACCGCCAATGTGCTCTTTTCAGTCTCCTCTTCGACGTTGCTTGCCTCAGGAACAGTCTCATCTAGCGTACTGTCCAGCAATGCTTGCTTTTTCTTGTCCTTTTTCTTTTGCTTCTTGGACTGCTTCGACGTTGACCGCACATCTTGAGAGCTGTTGTCGCCAGGAATATGTGGTGGTGTATCATTGGCTATGCCTCCAGGTTCGGCCGCGTTAGCGTCATCGTTTGTTGACAAGGGTAAAGCCTCGGCACCTTTAGCACAGAGAGATCCCTCTTCAATGGACGGTTGCTCAACAGTCTCTTCATTCCGAGCGGCAGCTGGAGCCTCCTCCGTTTCATTAGATCTCACCGGTACTTCAAGTGATTCCGCAAGTGGCTGTTCCGTAGATGCTGATGCTTCAATGTTGTCAAGCGATGCAGAATTCTTGCGGTCCTTTTTGCCCTTTTTACCTTTCTTTTTCTTCTGCTTAGGCTCAGGCTCTGCAAGCTCCTCAGACTTAATGGCAGGGGTATAAGGTTCCGGCTCCTTGTCCGCCAGCTCATCCGGAAGTTCGTGCTTGGCTAGTGCATCCCCATCCCGGGCAGCGTCAAAGAACATGTCGGTACCACTGTGAATGCCCTTTTCGTCTACCAGATTTGCAGAAAATGGCGTTGGAACTATATCTTCTTTGAGCTTTGGAAGGAGCTGACCGTGGCCTGTAGTCGTTGGGAAATTTGATTCGTGACTTGCATCGCCCCCTGCAGCAGGTTCTGGGTCTTCATGTTGTCCTCTGTCCTCGCTCTCTATCTTGTGTATATCTGTATCTGCAAGACGCGGAGCAACTTCAGTTACCGGAGGTTCATGGGGGAATGAAGGGCCTGTAACACTTGAAATGCTATCTAGTAGAGCCGGTTCATTTGCGCTGCTTTCATTCGTTGTTTCAAGAAGATCGGCTTCCTCTGCACTAGGAAGGGGGAGTGGTATATCTTGCGGGTTCTGCTCGGGACTGAGAGGCAGAGACGCCGAATTATCTTTCGGATGGTCATTTATTTGCGCCATGGTTGCTGCAGTAGGCTCTTGTTCATCAAGAACAAAGTTGAGAGCATCGATTTCTTCAAGATCTGCAACTGGTAAAGGAACATCTTCAGCTGAAACTTCCCCAGAGACGGTATCTTCTTTAGGGTCCTTTTCTGTATCAGGAAGATTTGCCATTGGAGGGATGGCATCTACGATACCAGGGCGGGCATGTTGCAATTGAGAATGGATGTCAGGTACTGAATCGATCACCATGTCGTCTAACTGAGCGCCCGCTACTTCTCTTGTAGGATTCCCCAAGCCTTCGTCCTGCGTGATGGCGAAGTTATCCTTCCGGGTAGAAATACTAGCCGAAGATTCATTGGATTCCTGACTTGGCCCTTCAACAGAATCTATCGCAGACTTGTTTTTGCGTCCTTTCTTATTTTTGCCCTTCTTAGGTTTATTGGCGACTGGTCCAGCAACTGGGTCTTCTTTTACGGATACCAAGCTGCTTTCTTCGCCAATACCAGTAGAGAAGGCTGGCTCCTCGCTTGGGACCTGATCAGTGGCCGTAGATGAGGTGGTATCGGTCGAGATATTTAGAGGGGCCTTTTCTACTGTCTGATTCCCGGAAACAGGTTCAGCAGCTGATTCAGGAGCTGGTTCTGCGACAGGACGAACCTCAGGTTCTACAGATTGGGCAGCAGAAGTAGGCTCTGCATCAAGGTTCTTTTTCTTCTTTTTCTTGTTCTTTTTAGATTTCGATGGTGCTGGGACTTCAGTCATATCATCAGGTTCCTTGGCTTTTTCGGATGGAAGCTCAAGTTCAGAATCATTGATACTTCCAGCACTAGGTTTCAGTTCCCCTCCAAAGCTGTCATCTTTTGTTACGGTCATCACAGATTCAGAATCTGTATCTTTGGAAATGCTACCTTCATCAGGAACGCCATAGGCGGAAACCGCGGTAGCTGGAGGGAGAAGGGTAACTGCTCCATGAGGCTCGGAATCGTCTGCTAACTGAGTAGGTGTAATTGGTGAGTTGAAGTCTTTTTGATAAGATGGGCTCATAGGTGCCTGGCTACTGGCATCTACAAAGTGATCCTCATCAACAGATTCATATTCACTAGCCTCACTCGCACGATATGTTGGCGAAAGCTGAGTTGGCGTGGCATGGCCTGAGTCTGGAACCGCCGAGATCATGGCAGGGATATTGGCTGGGAATTCATCAAGTTCACGATGTGTCGGCCGGGGAGTAGACGAACGATCGATATCCTCCACTAGCTCCTCCGTTTCCTCTCCCTGCTCAGCAGTAGGAGTAGACGGGCGGCTATCAGGAAGCGGAGGGAGGTGTTCAAGGGAGATCGTTTCTGATCGAGTTTCTGCTGGGATTTCTGCTGCTTCTACTTCAGGCTCACGATAAGAGGTTGACTGCACATCCTGGTTGACTTCAGGGGTGATATCCAACTCACGAGATTTAGGGTCTTCGTGGACTGGAGACTCAGGTAGAGGTGGTAGGTTCTGAAGATCCGTAACCTCGAGTTCCTGGACCCTATTGTCAGGAATAACTGTGCCATCCGAAGATTGTGGAACATCGCTCAATGCGGATCGAGACGACATCGGACCCTCCAGGAGCTCAGACGGGGAATGGAACTCATATTTCGGCTTCTCCTTTGGCTTCCGGTCCTGGGGTCTGAAGGAATGCGCAGTCGGGGTGGCTTGCTGAGAACCTAGGATATCTACGTCAAAAGAAGAGTCGTTAGTAGCAACATGCAATGATGGTCGGCGTCTTGGGGTTGAGAATATATCCATAGATTCATTGTCTTCAAGCGCTTTGGCCCGTAAATCTTCGACCGACGACATTCGAGACGTAGATTTACTAGAGGGAAGTGATGGGTATGTCTCTTCTTCAGGCAGTTCCGTTTTGCTGGTATGCCGTTCGACAAGCCATAATGGTCTAAACTCACGATTCGTCTTGAATTCGGTGGACTTTGGTCGCTTGTGTCCAGATTTAGGCCTGCTCGGAGAAACCTGGCCATCATGAGCTCCTCTATCAGGGGTTGATGGTGGTCGGCGGAGCTGAATGGGAATTGCAGTGGGGGAGCTGTTCGGGTCTCCAAAATTGAACCCTCCCCGCCATGATATTCGCTTTGCGGTACCCGGGGGGGATCGTGACCGGGATGAAGGTCTGCTATGGGACTGTGTAGGCAAATCAACTATTTTCTCCCCAGGCAAGGGAGTAACAGAACGGCTTCGGCCACGAGACGGCAGGTTTAGCGGCAGAGGAAAGGTAGATATTGGGGCCGAGACGCTATCAAATGCTTTCTCAGCAGCGGCAGTGGGAGCTTGCTCCAAAGTAGCAGCAGGCACAGAAGTTATTCCCGGGCTATCATCTAAAAAAGGCCCGGGGGGCTGCTCTTTCTCTAGAGTGTCGTTCTTTGCTTGTCTACTGGTGTCATATCGATTCTTGTCCTGAGAGTTCCTGTCAGCAAAGAGGGAAAGAATGGCATTATTAAGAGAAAAAAAGAACCTATTAGTAGTTACATACTTCATCATCACTTGCTTTTCCAGATTCGACTATCTGCTCATATCGATTTTTACGGTCTTTCTTCCGATCTTTACTTTTCTGCCTTTGTTGATTGTCAATATCTGCGTCATCTGCGTTTACTGGTTCAATATCTCGTGATGCCGGCAAGTCATTGTCGTCAGCTTTGATGGCATCTTCATCGGCATGGCGATCTTTCTTCGACTTCTTCTTCTTTGAGCTTGTTGAAACTTCTGATGGCGGAGGTGATCGGTCCCTTTCGTGCGTGGAACTCTTTTTGTCCGCAGATGAAGAAGAGCCGAATAGTCCAAAGAAACCCCGAGACTTATCACTACCTTTTGCGGAATCCTTTGCTGCCTCTGACTTGGCCCGAGAGACTACGGATACATTGTCGTCATCTGGCTTGGAAGTGTCGCCAACCTCTGACCGAGAATCGATGAGTTCAGCATATCGTTTTGAGCGCCGCTTTGATTTGGACTTCCCCCTTTCTAGCCCAACAATGTCGGGAACAGACGTGGCAGTGCTAGACTCGACGTTCCGATCAACGGGTTCGTCTATCTCAATTTTATGCGTAGAAGGTCCTGCTGTCTCGCTTGCGACAGAGCTAGGTTCATCAGCAGTTCCCTGTTTGCTCTTCCCTTTTGATTTCTTCTTGGATTTCTCAGCGGTTGCAAGCTCAGGTTCGTCCGCTGGACCCTTGTCTGCAGGAACAGAAGGCTTATCCTTTCCACCAACAGGACCAATATCAGCCCATACATCCTCAAAATCCCCTGGCATTGAAGTATGGGGTTTATTATCCGGTAATTGACCGCCGAACTCGCGAGCTGGAGAGCTTATATCCACTGGTTTAGTCGAGCTGTCGCGAGGCCGTATATCCTCCTCTGCATCTTGCCATGTCTCTCTGTCATTTCCAGGCACTTCTTCACGCTCATTTACCATTCCCTTGGAAGAAAGGTCACGATAGGCCTTATTCTGTTTATCATCTACATCAAACAAATCTCGACTGGCGGCCTTTGGCTCGTTAATGTTGTCAGACCTTACTTTTCGGTCCGCTTCAGCAGACTTTGATGGAGTAATGGCAGGCTGTTCTTCCCAATCTAGTTCAAGGTCCTTCTCGCCAGTATCCCGGCTCTTCTTCTGCGCAGCTTTCTGTTTCTTCCTGTCTTTCTTGCTGAGCTTTGCAGCTGTGGTTTCGGGCGCTGGAGAGCTGTCGGCATCTTTAGATGGCAGATCTTGCATGTCTCGAGCAAAAGTACCTTGACGGGCTTCACTCGGAGATTCTTCTATTTGACGGGCAGGGACAGCCTGCACTTCCTCCTTACTGGCTAGCGGAAGTGGCTCCTGCTCAGAAACGTGATGGGCATAGGATACTGGAGCTTCCTTCTGCATATCCCTATGACCACCCTCTGACCTAGGAGGTGAGGCACGGCGATGATAAGCGGGATTGTCGGTGACAATAGAGGGGTCAAACCCTGACATAGCTGTGCCGGCAGCAAGTGTAGCAGCAAAATCGATGTCATCCCCAAACTCACCAGGCATATGGTGAGGCGGCGAGGGAATTTCGGGGCTGGGTGGGAGTTCTCGAGTCCCAGCCTTGGAAGGGATAACTTCCATATCCCCATCGCTACTCAGTTTCTTTGCCGCTCCAGGAACACCAGAAAGAGGGGGTTCGGAGGCTGCAATATGTCCAGCTTTTTTATTCCGTACACTATCATGGGTAGTATCATCCCGATCTTCCTGAGCAGCAGCTTGTTCAGGGACAGTCACAATGGGATCGGCAACTGGGAGGTCCTTTGTCTCACCACTATGGCTCAGAACAGAACCAGTCCTACTTTGAGGTGGCGTAGGCTCAATGAGGTTCAGGTGAGGAACTGGCCAGGGCAGGTTTGTTCGCTTGGTTGATTCAGCCCTCGTCAGCTCGGTATCAAGTGGGCTAGATCGAGGCTCGATAACACGAAATTTTGCTGCCCCGGGTTTGGGTACTGGCGTTGATTCGGGGGCTGACTCTGCGCTGGATTCACGGCGAAGCTCTGGAGGTGCGAAATAGGTCGCATAGTTCTCATAAGTTGGCTTGGTCTTGGGGTTTGGAAGCGGCTTCTCAGTTAGTTCTCCGGGTTCCTCAACGAAGCGGCGGTCAGGCGAATCAAATCGTTGTCTGGAGACGGCTGATGATCCAGCCTCAGATTCAGAATAGCCGCGGCGTTCTTTGCGGCGCTCCTCCCTTTTGCGCTTCTTTTCATCAATTATGCGATCAGCCGCAACAGCGGCAGCACCGGAGAGGACGGGAAAGGCAACCCTAGCAGGCATAGACCATGATTCTGCATCTTTGTCACTAAGAGGCTCCTCGAACTTTTCATCAGGAAGTGGCGGGGAGATCTCAGGACGATGAAGTCGTTTGGACTTGGATATCCGGCTCTCTGGATCTGATGCTGGTTCTTCATCTCGCTGGTAGCGTCTGGCCGCTTTTTCACCTTCCAGCTCTAGCTGGCGCATCTCCTTGTCTTGCTGCTCCTTGGTCAAGTCAAAATGGACGCCTTTTCCTGCGGAGCTGCGCTTAGATAGATCTGATGGAGTGACATAAGTGTAGTGGTCTTCCAAGGCAGGGGAAGAGTTTCTTCTTCTTCGTTCTGCTTTCTTCATAGATATGTCGCTATCATCCCTTGCTTTTCTAGACCGGTCCACTTTCACATTGTCCGCCAGTGGCCCTTGGTCGGGTTTACCTGGTAACGAAACAGGTGGAGGTGGCATAATTTGATTCTGCCGATGCTGTACTGGGCCTGCATCACTGTAGGAGTCGTGCTGCTCTCGATTACTCTGAGCTGACGATATATCCTTGGGCTTGGATACATCAGCTGTAGCAGGTCCCTTGGAATCCTTTAAGGGGTGGTCATTATAGTACTCGTGGGCTGTTCCTATCAACGCCGCGCCCGCCACAGTACCTGCCACAGCAGGGGCAATTTCCTTGAAGGTAGGCTTGGGCTTTTTGATTGCATGGTCCCCCTGGGTGTAGAATGAGTCAGATATGGGGGCTACCGGCTTTGGCTGGCCAAGTTCCGTATTCTCCGAGTGAGAAATGAGCATTGGCTTGGTTGTGTCAAAAGCTGATGGGCCACCAGTTGAATTGCGTCCATCACGGTACGGCGTCGACGATTGTTCAGAAGCTGGGATAGGGTCGACATTCTGCATGGACGGGAGGCTGTAGGTACTAGATGGTGGAGCAAACGAGGCCTGGGAGTTCCGTCCATAGCCATCCTGTTTATTGGGGTATTCCAGGGGTTGCGATACCTTCTTCTTCTTCTTTGAAGAACCCCATCGCCATCGCCACTTTGAAGTTCCAGAGTCAGATGTAAAGGAATCTCGGCTGTTAGATGATGGCCCTCCATATGCCAGGCCAGAATCAGCAGAGGATGATTCATCAGACACAGATTCCCAAACATTATCGGTAGGTGCTTCGTGTTTGGATTTTCGCTCCTTGACTGCAATCAGACCATGATGCTTTCTCCCATTTGCAATTGATGCTGAAGCTGCAAGCCCAGCAGCAGTGGCACCCAGGCCTATAAGCTTATGATCGATATCCTCGTCCCGCTTCCGGCCTTTCCCTTTTTTTGGAGTCCGCGACTTAAGAAAGCCAGAACCAAACGCAAGGTCAGCATCATCTGAAGATGAATATGTTGATCCAAGGCCAAACAAATTCCGCTGTTTCTTGCGCGGGCCGGTTCGGCCCATTCGGCTCTTCTCTGATGGTGCGCTAAAGAAGTTTGAAAAGCTTGCCAGTCCCTTGTTGGCCGAAGGGCGAGAGATATCAATCATGGAGGAGCTAGAAGAGGAAGAGTAACGTCTTCGAGATTTTCTAGGTGATCTGCTCCGGTTGCCAGCACGTACCCGTCTCTCTTTACGTGCATGGCTGGCTGATGACATGGCTGCAGCAGTACCAAGTGCACCAGCTGCAATGGCGGCAGTCTTCAGGCCAGATCTGCCAGACTTGCTATCACTTGATGATGACCGTGATCGATCCCGGCGTCGGTGTCCTTCAGATTTAGATCTTGAATGGGCTGACATGGACGGCTTGGAAACATCACTCCGGGAACCATATCTGTCTAGTTTCTGTCCACCACCAATTGTAGACGGTGGATGAGAATATTCCGAGACAGTAGTCTGCCCATAAGAAGGTGCTCCCCTCCCTCCCACGCTTGAGGAGGACGATGATTTTGGGCGTCGAATGGATGGAGAGCGATCACGGCGGTCCTTCTTACCTTTGTCCCAGAGAGACTTGCCTACATATGCAGCCAGGCCAGCAGCCAACCAAGACTTGCGGTTCGAGCTCTTGTGATGGCCTTCTTCTTCAGAGGAACCATATCGGCTCAGCTTATCGACTCTGGATCGGCCGCCAAAGCTGTCATTGGATGGCCTCCGGCGGTATCGATTATGCTTGCGTGGCGCATCTCGAGAGGTCGTTCCTGGCTCGAAGCAGTACCTACAGGTTCCAGTGATTTCAGAGTATTCTTCGTACAGTGCCACGCCTTCAGGATCTCGCCAAAAGTCAACGAACTTTCTTAGGGGGCCTTGTTGGCGTCTTTGATAGGCAAGATTTCCCTGCTGAAAGCCTCCATTATAATTCTGTTGTTGGCTGTGAGAGTACGGTATTTGCTGGCCATTACCGTGTGAATTGTGGTGTGAATTGTGATAAGCATTTGCTGCCAGACCTGCTGCAGCTGCAATGCCTGCCGTCGCTCCAAGGGCGGCAAGGCCCCCGTGCGATGAAGACGAATGGTGTTGAGGCCGGTCATCCGGGTGTCCAGATGGTGCATAATTGGTTGGAGATTCATGGTAGCTGCCTGGAAGGGTGTTAGATGGTGCATTAGGCAGCGAGTTGGAGGGCATATCGGCCGGCATACTTCCTGGCATAGTTGGTGATGTGTTTGGGGGTCCGCTGGACGGTGATCCTCCGGACATGGCTGAATTTATTCCGTAGCCAGCTGCCCCGGCGGCCATACCGCCCAGTGCTGCAGTGCCAGTGCCATGCTGAGGCGGTGGTCCGGATGGTCCAGCTTCGTGCTGATCGAATTGGGGTATTGGCATTGGAGGAGGACCGTATTCAGGCCCAGAAGGTGAGATAGCACTGGATGTGAATCCTGGTTGATTCGGAACCGACTGGCCCTGGTCTCCATAATATTCGGCCGCTGAACCTATCAAAGGCGGTTGCTGAGAACTATCTGCAGGGGGATAGGAGCCCGATGTAGGTGGAGGATAACGATACGATGATTGCGGTATACCCTCAGGACCTGAAGTTGTAGGTAGCGGATAGGTGGTATCAGTATGGTACAAGGGAGACCGCGAGCTCTCAGGACCAGGAGCTGCAGTTCTACGGCGGCCCGCGGGTTCAATTGGCCGTTGGCCTTCGGGGATGGCTCGGTCATCTAGAGTCCTGCTGCGTCGTTCCGAGCGAGTAGCTGGTTCGTATCTATCATCAGCACTTGGTTCATCATATCGACGACTGCTTCTGTTTCGTCTGTCGTCGTCGTCGTCGTTATATCGGTCTCGCGAGCGTTGTCGCGGTTCACCCCAATATAAATCTCTATCACGACGTGAAGAATCTCGTAAGTCAGAGCCTACCGCGGAAGGGGCATCATCACGATATCTCAGCTCCTCCGGGTATGTCTCCCTCTCGCGACGCCGTGGATCTCGCGAGTCTTGGTCCAGCATCGAATCGTCATCACCATGACCTCTTCTGCGAGCCCTTCTTTCTTTATAATGGTCATTAGGGTCGTCGCCAAAAGTGCTCCTCTCACCATCCAGCGTCCGCGACGGAGCTTCAGACGCTATCTCGCTAGGAGCAATGATAGAACGTGCGCCATCGTCATCGTCCTCATACCGTCGCGAGGACCGTCTTGAGCTCGAATGCCTGTCCGCGTCACGATCGTCACTTCGTGAGGACTTGTGCTTCGAGGAAGAAGAATGATGGCGAGACGATTTACGATGGTGAGAGTGTGATGAGGATTTGGAACGGCTGTCGTCGTCGTCGTCGCGATCTCGACGATGTCTATGGCGGCTCGAGTCAGACGATCGAGTCCTCGACTGGGTTCCCAGAAGACTCTTAAACATCTTGCTCGTGAATTGGGGCCGGCCACTGGACGAGACAGCCTGGGGGAAAGGAGTGTGGGTTGGTAGGTCAGTTGGCTGGTGTGTGGTGAGAGCGAGGGAGTCCGCGAGAGAAGAGGCCGTCGTTTTCTGCTGGGTGTTTTGTTTACCCGGCTAGGCAAAGCTGGTTGTCTGGTGGCTGGTAAAACGGTAAACAAGACCTTCCTGACCCACGGCTGAGCCCCGGGAAGAAACCGTGGTTGGCTGCCCGCGATAGCCCGGCAGGGGGTGAAGCTAGGTGGCGCTGCTGCGATCGATCCCAACCGGAAGGCGAAAAGCAGCACACAGATCAAGAGGTTATCCCAGCAGTTTCGCTGGAAGACGCTGAGCAAAAGAGCGCTGGAAGCCGTAAATGAAAAGGTCTTCAGTTCAAGCAGCCGTTGGGTGTGGTTGATAATAGTTATTAAATAGTGTCTTCGTCACTTTTGCAGGTAAGAGAGTCGTATACGGTCGTAAAGGTTCGTTCCGGGTCGTCAGGTCGTTAAACGTCGCAGTGGTCGTGATAATAGTACAGCAGTCAAATAAGACATCCTTCTCAAATCATCGGCCGCTAAAAGAGATGACGCGCAGATGGCGCAGGAGAGGGCGATGATGGAAGATGGCCGTGGAGTCGTGGAGTCGCGAAGTAGTTAGGCAGAAGAATCAAGCTTGCGTGTTGCGCTGAAGGTCGCACTCTTTTTTTATGCTGCACGTTGCACATGACCTGGATAACGGGCAGGGTGGTTGTTGCCACTAGGATGTGAATGAGCATGCAAGTATTCGGGCACTTATCTACTTGGATATGGAGGGAGAGGCAGGTAGACAGCAAGTTGGTCAGAGAGAGTCGCAGTGTGCGCTGGAATTATCCTACCAATTCAGAAGCGTCGTGAGGCATAACCAATTATCAAAAGAACCAAAGTATATACAAGAAAGGCAAACTGCAAAAAGGGAAACAAATTCATCCAAAATGTATAAAGCTAGCTGATCTCCCGGTCAAGTGCAGTGGCTCGTCCGTGTTGACATTTCGCATCTATCCCTAATGAAATTCTGAAGCCAGAACGGCAAGGAGTGTATGTTCTCAGCAAAGAACCCAGTAGAGCCGGGCAGTATAACCCTTCCGCTTGATCCTGTTAATATCTGTTCAACTGTCCGCTCCGCCACCGTGTCAGGGTGAAGAAGTGGATGGAACCATGTATCTTCAGATGACATGCCGTCTATAAGGCTGGTCTTGCAGAATCCCGGTTCAATCACCACAGTCCGTATCTTGGGGGCCTTGTACCGTATCTTCAACTCGGAGGCAATGCCTTCATGGAAAGCCAGTGCTGCGGCCTTAGTCCCCGCATAGTCAACCATGCTGGCACACGCAACGTGCGAAGCTTGCGAGGCAACAGTCACCAGCATCCCGTGGTTGTGGCGGATCAAGCTTGGTAGGAACTCCCGCGCCATTACATAGTGCGAGAGTGTGTTCACCTCGAAAGCGAGTCTCGTCTCAGCCTCTGTGCCTTTGAGTAATGGTCGTGTTCTCAGTATGCCGGCATTGTTAACGATGATAGTTGGTTCGCCAATGTCTGCGCGGATTGCCGCTGCTGTCTCTGCAACAGCCGCAGAGGAGGTAATGTCACACTTATAGAAAGTGACGTTTGGTGGTGTATGGTATTTAGGCTCCTGTACGTCAAGAACCACAACCTTGAGGCCACGTCGAGCAAGCAGAAGGGCAATCCGCTGTCCGATTCCATCACTTCCTCCGGTTACCAAGGCGATCTCACGCCTCCAGACAAACTCGTCAGACGTCCAGTTGTTCAAGGCTCGACGGTTGAGGAACCCATTGACGATCCTGAGCAGGCCAATTGAGGCCAGCGCTTTCAGTGCAGTAAACACACTAGGCCGGTCAGCAATCAAGCTTCTTCCCTGGGAGGTGTAGCCAGCGAATAACAGTAGTGGTATCGTTGCTTGCGGTGCGAGAACAGTCGAGGACAGAATGCGCCCAATGACATCCGCCGTGAAGCCTGAGTTCCTGTTAGTTGACTGTGGCACTAAGCGGCCATTTTGCTTGGGGCGAGAGCCTGCTTCGTACCTTCACGCGACAGCCATCCTTTATGGGGTGAGATGCTCATGGTGCCTATCTTACTGACGGTCGCCAACAGGCCTGGCAGGTTGAAGCAACTTAACTTCCCTTCGTCGAGCAGCAGACAAAAGCTCTATATACGCCTCGACATGTGCTCCACCGGTTCCCCCCAGAGCACATGCTCATCGCCTTCCCGCAAATACGGAGAAAGTAACGAGTTAGCTAGTTAGCTAGCCAGCCAAACCTCGAAAGTCAAGCTTCGACTCTAGTCGGCCGACCAGGTCTGCGTGTCGAAACAGCTCTTGAGTTACACCACCTGTCCGTTGAAGATGCGAGCTTCTATCCATATAGTTAGTGCCGAGATTGTTCTTAGCTGCACATGGTAATTCTTTCCGGTTCCCATCATTCCCAAGATAGACGCCTCCAGCCACCGCACCGTCCTCGGGCTGTTTGTGCAGGCCGTACGGAGTGTACTCTGGGGTTGACATCTTTCCTGTCGTCCAGCAATCGTTAATACGAGGTAACGAGGTCGATCGATCCCACTCTTGAACCTCGGTAGCTCTTTTTACTAGTCAAGGGCAAGATGACGCCCCCGAGGCGTCCCCTGACTCTCGCTTTCTCGTCCGACTCCGACTCAGCGAGCCACGGCAGCGTTTCCCAGGGTTGTCCTGGCCTTCGAACCATGGACGACGTCAAAGTTTCTCTTCCGAGCTTTTTGGAAGTTCGCCGATAACCAGCATCACGTGATGCTATCCCTGGAGCCTCCGTTCAATTTTGGTCAATTTTGGTCAATTTTGGCTGCAGCAAACAACAATTTGATACCCCTAGGTCTTAACTACTATAATCTTTGGATGACCCTTGATGGTCGTTTTACCACTATATCTCTTTCCCGTTTCTTAGGACCAGGTAATCACAAAGCTAGTTAACTAGTTTACTTGCGGAGTACTCTAAACGCTCTTTCAGTGCCATTGACCTCTAAGGATTCTAGGGTACTATGAGCAACCACCCCTGGAAATGGCTTCAGATATCCCTCAGGAAGACTTTCATAATAGGGACATCGTCAAGGATCTTCTTTGGAAAATATTTTTTGTGTTCTCGGGTGTAATACTGCAGATGTTTTTCTGAGCGGAAAAGATGCGGCTCGTCACCACGGCGCTGGCTCTCGATCCAGTCCACCAAATTAATATGGATGCGTCTAAGGGCCTATATTGGCATTAGCTTACTCTCACCCATATAACCAGCAGTTATTCTTATGAGAAGCTTGAGTACATCTTGATGGATGGGAATTCTTACCTTCTTACATGCCACGATGGACGCCGGAGTTTCGTTCAAATATCTCTCACACAACAGCTTCAAGTTAGAAAGTTTGTCACCATGTTCGTCTACGATCTGATAAACATGGTATGCAAACTCCTCCCTAAGGCACTTTTCCCACTGGCGCGGATATTTTTGGTTCTTCTTAGTCCAGCCCTGACGATTGGCAAGACGTCCGAATTCGATTCGTAAAGAGTTATTATCGTTGTGCTGGAAGTTGGGATCGCGCTTCTGAAAATATTGGGAGTGCGGCATGGTTGTTCTACTTTGGCCGGTGCCCTGACTAGAATTAGTTAGACCTTTGTATGCTTCAAGCACAACTACTACACGTAACGATGTTTTAACTTGCAGATACTCTCTCTGCTAACTTTGCCTGAGCTCTGACGCGGCTCAAAGTACTCAATCGAGATTGATGGCGACGGTTGGATGCAATAATGGCAAAGAGGAACAGGATGTGGAAAGTAAAAGTTTACGTTCATTCCACTATTTATACCCACTATTGTATACTTTTCCGGAGATTTCCGTGCACTAGAATGCTGCAGAGTTATATACCCACGGCAACTATCTGAAAAATAACTAGGCCGAAGCCAAGGGGTTTTGATACATAGGAAGTAAAACCAATTGCCATGGCCTTGACATCTGGCTGTCATCCTTGTGTCTCATTATTCGCCCTGGGCATGTTTAAGCTTATACAACAACCGACGAGGAATGTAGATAAATGTCTCCTGCCACGAAGCAACCACAAGAATTGCAAAATTGCACTGATGTTATATTTTTGCCATCATTTTGGTAGTCCATCAATTAATGAATTAGGAGACCACGTCAATCTTTCATAATCCTTACATTACCACCAAACATTCACTTCACCCATAGGTGACTCGCGAGCTGTTTACAGAATGTATGGCCAAAATGGAGCATAGCAGATAACCAAACAAAAGTAAAAAGACGTGTAGGTAACGTAAAGAGGGAGGGGGGAAAACAATGAGCATAAAAATATACAAACATATGGGGAAAGGGATATAAATATTTAAAATAGATATAGGCATGACATCAGCGTAAAAAAAGAGCCCCCAATGAGTTATTTCAAGCTTGTGAGAAGCGAAATAATTGACAGTAGAAAGGAAAAGAGAGAAAATGAGCAATGACCAAGAAAATGAAATGGAAAATAACAATAATGCAAAAGACGACTTGCCACCCACGCCAAAACGGTATTGAGCATAGATTGAAACAATGCATCAAATGCAGTAGAGATGTAAACCAATGATGAAGTTGGAGGAGGGGAAAGTATGGAAACAAAGAAGTATAGGTAAAAACACATAAAACGAATGAGAAGTTGGTTCGGAGGTATTTGTATATATATTCGAGGGAGAATTTTTGACGAGTGAATCATCGATCATTGGAGAAGCTTCCGGTTTGTGTCAACTGCGGCTGCGGCTGTGGTTGCGGCTGGGGGTTTTGTTCGAATAGTTTGCGTCTTATCAAGGTTAATATCTCTGCGTCTTTCCGCAAGGTGGGAGAGATGTGTCTGCTTCGTAGAAGGAATTTGATGGTTCGATCGAGCAGAGCACAAAGCTTGTCGCCGTCGACAAGGGCAGAGAGTTGAGATGTATATGTTGCTGAGAGGACAAGCATATTGCCGAATTGACTATTATAGAATTAAAATTAGTGTGATAACTCATAGTGAAGAGATTGTAACAAGCAACATACGCATGAGCAGTTCCAAAGATATTGGTGACTATGGGGCGGCCTTCTACTCCATCGAACGCAACAGTGCTATTCATAGCCGCGTTAATGCAGACCATGCATGCATCGAAAACCTTAGGTTCCAAGTCGCTCAGCAACGGCGGCTGCGGGTCGTTTGATGGCGTCCGGACTGGCGGGCCCATCTCGCTTGTGTACCGCTCCATTTTCTCTGCCTGATGGACGTGAGAAAGCGATGGAGACACTTGAGACTGGGAGCTGGAGACTGTAGACTGTGCGGGGGATGAAGCAGGGACAGGGTTGCGAGGCTTAGGGGCCATTGGATGTAGGGCATGGTGAAGCAAAGGTCGGTGTATGAGGTATTTGGCGCCATAGTATTTCCCGCGCATACGTGCAGTGTTGATATCTTTTGCCGGTGGGTCAGAATCTTCCCAACGCATGTACTCAGGAAGACCACTGCGCCATTGCTCAAGGTTGAAGCTTAGGGCCTCTTGGATCTTAGTCGACCAGCGGGCCTTTTCACCTCCTTGCTCTATGATAGGACGACGGTTAGCTATCAAGCTTTGACAGGGGATAGAAGCGCGGTTGATGTCTTACTTTCAGCCTTATATAGGTCGGTATGGATCCTGTTAAGAACTTTTCGAAGATGAATTTGCACAAGGTAATACATCATCATCATAGTATTGGGTGCGTGTATCTCATTTGGAATGGTATGGGCAAAGACTCCTCGGGGAAAGTTCATTCGCCCTTCTAGCCGGCTGATTCCGCTCGCTGGCAGGTCAAGTTCTGCTAGTATATCACTGTTTTGCAGGTATATTAGTTCCGTTCTTTATTCTTTAGTTATACTTGTGCTATTAATTCATCCCTACCTCTCAAGCTGTAGACAGGTCCAAAAGACTAGGCATATCAAATCTTTCCTCGGGCCTTCAGGCATACAGTCATATTTTCGCCTAACATTAGGGTGAGCTACGGCCGATTCTGACGAAGGGGAGAGGATACAGCAAATCGGATACTTACGGTCGAACCAAAACCTGACAGGCACGGGCTGCTTGGTAAATCCACCCATGACTTGAAAATGGATGTGCAAGCTGTCCCGTATAAAGGGCTGCTAGGAGGCAGGCCTGAGCAAGGGCTAAATCATTACCTCCATGCAAATTGCCTAGAATGTCTGAAGCAAGTGCATAATACGCCATTCCAGGAATGACGTCCATATTCCTAATATCGGGCGGGTCTGGGCCAACATGGGTTGACTGTGTGGAAAATCGTCTATGGTGGTTTGCAAAAGGCATACTCTCAGGCGGAGAGGTTGATGACGCTAGAGAGTGGTCTCCCATCACAGGTGTGAAGGGGCCAGCCGGTACGTGACGTACTGGGCCAGGAATAGGCCCCTTATATCCGCATATCGAGCCTAGAGCTAACACCAATAAAACAATTGCATTATCAAGGGAACGTTGAATTTCATGGCCAGCGTGAGGAGAAAAGCTGTCTGAGACTGGAGAGTCAGGGTATCCGTCAGTCATGTCAATAGATCGCTTTCGTTTTTGAACTCTGTGAACCCCAGATGCCGGATCCGCTCGTGACGCTAGTGGGGTTGGCATAGATTTAGACTGGGGGCTATACGTCCTGATGAAGTTCGTAATCATGATGTTCAGGCTGTCTTGAGCAAGTATAGGGTGCAGAATGTGCATGTTCTGAAGGTAGCTTTGGCGGTGCATCTCAATAACGTCTGCATCAAGGTTAAGGACGCCGGATGCATTGAGGCCGCCTACCTGACGCTCTTTTGGGACACGCAGGGTAGGATTGGATTGGTAGATTTCTAGCCCAGTACCATATCCAGTACCCGGAGAGCGGGTTTGGTAGGTTTCATCTTCTCGAGGGCTAGGGGATCGGAGTTTTGGACTGTAAGGATAAACGCTAATATCGTGTCCATCTTCACCTTCGCCCCGTCCATAAGGCCTGATAGGCCCTCGTTCCTCCTCTAATTCCATGACATAGTCCGCATCAATTCGTTCAGGTAGTAGTTTCTGGATGGATGGCCATAGGAGAAGTTTGTGAGCTGCGGTAGTATGTTCGATTGGGATGGAAAGTTCATCATCGTCAATATGTAGGTCAATGTGCTCGTCTTTAATATGCTTTCCAGTCGGGGTTTCGCTTGTACTGGCAGCTTTGGGTGAAGTCCGTTCCTGTTCTGCCGGGGTGGGTGTCTTGTGTGCTACTTCGGGCTTCTTTTCTAGCTTCGGACTTAATGGAGACATCTTTTGAGCGCGTATCAAAGCCTCTAATTTCAGGTCTTGCTCTGCTTGGCTCTTTAGCATGTCATTGAATCGATCGTCCAGCTGCTTGAGGCGATCCAGAACCAATTGAGTCGAGCGTTCATGTCTACGGAAGACAGTATGGTTAGTTCCCTTTTTATCAATCATCAAAGACGATATTGCGAATCCCGAGGTTAGACATACTTATGGGGAGGAACATCCTTGTAGACACAGACGGAGTTGCTTTCCTTACACAAACTACATGATGGGCGGCCCTCATCACATTTCGCTTTTCGCGCACGACATTGATCGCAGGCCTAGTATATTAATTATTTATCAGTCGCAATTTGGAGAAAAATTTACAGGGAATGCAGGTCCTGCTTCCTAGCATGAAGCCTTACCTGCTGCGCGCGGGTGGTTCGACGCTGCCTCTGAGCCTGCGACTGGGCTTGTGAGTTAGCTTGGTTAAGGTAGTAATTACCCTGGTCGTAGGGACCGTGACTCTGAGCCATCGGCGTGCTGGGAGGATACGACCGGTGGGTAGGAGGTGGTGGTTGCATGCCATCGACGGGCGAGATCATCTGCATGCCGTGATGTTCGCCATTCGGGTGGCTGCTGTCGGCGCCATAACTGCCAGGCCGGCTATGAAAGTCGCTTGAAGGTTGGTAGGCACTAGGTGGGGGATTCGAGCTGCCTTCGTGGGCGCCATTAACGGGCCTGAACGTGCCGTTGGGCGTTCTGGAAGCGGGAGGTATGCTACTACCGGGCCTGCCGTATGACTCTGCCATATGAGAACCTTCACGAGGAGAGGCTGAGTAGGAAGATGGCGCTCTTTGATCTGTATTTTCGTAAGGGTGGTATGGTCGCCCCCAATGACTGTCGTATGTCCGGGGAAGAGGCAAAGACGGCGGTCGTTCGGAGGGAGGCAACTGGCGCACTGACGGTGGGGAGGGAAGCGTGGGCAGAGTCTTGGGGTTCTCTGAAGCTGCTGCGGCCTCCATTGTCATGATTTCGACTCGATCCAATGATCAGGACGCTCGATCCGCCTTTCAAATTCAGGGTCCGGGGCGGTTCCTGTGTGTCGAGAGAAAAGAGTAAGAGGGAGAGGGGAGGAAGAGCGCAATGTATACACGTTCTACAAAGACCAGTTGAACAAACTCCGTAAAAATAGCATGGCTAAATTGGCGACTGTCAGGACCAAAGCTTTATCCTGCTGAATCGAACGAAGAGAGTGATGGACAAGAAGTAACAGCCGGCGATCGTATCTCTCGTGGCAAGTGTTGGTTCTGCGAATTTGTTTCAGGGTTGCGGCCGGGCAGGCAGAGAGAGCGACGGCAAATGGAGGAAAGGAAAAAAAAGGTTGGTCCCGAGATTGAATCACTTGGTGGAGAGCAAGAGGAATAAGCTGTTTGCGTTCGTCGGCGCTGTCGGTAAGGTCGTGTCGGCTGTTTGTTCAAGCAGTATGGTAAGCTCTGGTGCCTGAACCATTAACCGAAAGGACAAGGGAAAAAAAAGATGTCAGCAGCCGTGGAATGGTCCTACTCTTGGGCGGCGGTTACCCGGTTTCGGGCAAAAGTTTCCGATGTTTGAGAGCCACGGAAACCGACGCAGTTCAAAGGTGAAACGTCCAAGGCGAGAGATGTAGGGTCTCAGTGAGTTGGGGGGACCACAGCGGGTGTAGATAGAGATGCTTGCTCTGTCTATGTTCGTCTGCGGCGTGTGATGATGTGCGGTGTGCAGTGTCGGTGTAAGGGAGAGACAATATCAGGCTCTGTCGCGCAAGGCACGGGGAAATATGTCTATGTGAAATGAGAAAACGAGAGAGGGAACGGACGATGAACCGCTTTTTGGTAGACCCCAAGAAACCAGGGAAATGAACGATCGGGTCGAAAACGGTCGGAAGAATGTCTTTCCTCCCTGCTTGTTTGACCCAGCGCAGGTCTATGATCTGGTGATTTTAAGCAAAAGGCTTATGGGCGTGGGTGAAAGGGATTTGACTGGACGAGACGGGGGGCCCCAGGGGAGAATGCGTTGCTTGTTGAGATGGAGGGGGGGCGAGCGCGATCCAAGCTCCCGCAGGCCTCTTGCTCCTGGTAGCCGAAACGAGATCCCTCGACCGTTATCCAGGCGGTGTCGATGGTCGAAATGTGTCTGGCGTGGACTGTTCAAACTATCGTCAGGGGGTGAGAAGAAAAGAGAGGAAGTAGAAGAAGAAGCGAGGTTGCTCTTCTCCGCTTTGTCTCTATCAAAAAACCAAACTCCCCCCAAGAAAAGCACTAGCAGCGGGAAGCCAGCAAAGGAGAGCGTGAGAGACCGAGGGCACAGGGCGAGTGGAGAAAAGGACCAGATCACCCACAGCGCCTTTACTTAAGCTCAGAAACGGAGTCACAATTTTGCGGCTTGCGGCTTGCGGAATTGCGGACGGAAGATGGAGTTGGTCTTGTATGGAGCGGCGAAAGTAACGCCTGGCAAAGGTGAGGGAGCAAAAAAAGGAAAGAAATAGATCCAACCAAGATGCACGTCCAGAGAGAGGGAGAGAGAGAGAGAGGTACGGGAGGATAGGCGGGATGGTAACAACGCTCGCCGTATCAAAGCCTGGATAGTCCGTACATACGGGGTGGTGGGAGGGAAAGGGAGGATACCCCTACCAGGGACTGGGGCAAATAGTTGATATGTATAGCGCCAGAAGAAAAAGCTGGGTTGCCTCTGACCGGGACTATCGGCGGGTTGCTGCATCAAGTTTCTTTGGCCTTCTGTGCCTGTGTACGGCGTGCACTGCTGCCCTTGCCTCCAAGAAAGGGGGTGTATGCAGAGGTGGTTCGGTTCTGCGGCGTTGACGTGAAGTATATGGCCTCGTACCACAGCACGAATCCCGCCCATCAGAATAATGGAGCAAACTGACAAACCGACAAGGTGGAAAGCTGGACAAACCAGCCCCCAGGAAAGTGGTTACAGTTGTAGGGAAGAGCATGTTCAAGTCTCGTATTTCCCAAGTACTAAAAATAAGCCCTTCCAAGCGAGAGCAGTGACATGCCCTGGCACATTCCCGTCATCCTCCCCTCCCCCCATAGTTATCCAACTCCAGGGCAGATATACAGATCCACACTGATGTTATTAATCAACCTAGCTTGCTTAGCTTAAGTTTCCTCTGGGCGAATCAAGGCCTTAACCGAGCCAGACCCATAGCAGTCCCATGAACGAAGAAAAGCATCTCATCGGGTGCTGGCAAAGCTCACGCGCGGCACAGAATAATTCCTCGGGCCAATGCGTATATAGTATGTCGAGCCGAAACTGTGCCCTCATGATTTCTAGAGACACTACGAGAGAAGCAGATCCGTTGCCCCAATGTTGCGTATATGCATCATTATGCGTCTATGTGCAATCCATACTCTGTAGGTAAGGATGCGCCCAATCGTGCCGTGCCCATTCGTTTGTATATGGCCTGTCAAGCGCTTACGATGCAATGCAAGGACGGCCCAGAAGCCCGTTACCAAAAGGCCGAAGGAAGTGGCGAATCCCCAACTTTTTTTCTTTTGGCCTTGGAAGCGCAGGCAGGGTAGGTGCATCGAATACCCTCCGGGCAAACAGTTCGTGGAGTTCTTACCAACTGGCTGGAGTTTGCGTAGTCTGGCTGGTCGTATCTTCTTCCTTACTCTGCCATCTGGTTGCTTACCGACTCCACACCCAAGGGTGATGATCTCTTGGGCTTTTCGAGGCAACAGAGGGCTTTCTCGGTGACCGCCGAGCAGCATATCCTTGAAATGGTTCGCAGTTGTCCTGGAGTTGGGCCGTAGCGCCGCCTGCCACTGATCCCATGCACCACTGCGCCCAGCCTAGCATACGGAGTTCCCTCTCCTTCGCCATGCTCCGTATATAGATATCTCAGCCTATATCACCAGGTACTAACGAATCCATGGCAGAGGAAGCTGGAGCCAAACAAGCTTTCTTCATGGTAAAGAAGAACACTAGAGAAGCGTTCACCCCTTTTTGTGCCTTTTTTGCTCTCTTCTATACATGACGTACCCCACAGAACCGATCGATGAGTTATCCTTGCTTGGCCCAGTCCAAATCTGAAATCTCAAACAAAACATGCGTCCTGTTGACTAACTGGTGCAGCTCGTTTGTTTAGGCTAGTTAGTTTAGCGTGCAGAGTATATAATTGCTTTCCAACGGCAACGGCACTTGACCTGTAGTTGCCGAGAGTGTACGGAGTAACTAACATAAGGGCGAGCCATCTTCCTCTCTGTGCTGTCCCCTTCGTACTCCTTGTTGCCGCTTGGTGGCTTCAAATGTGTTGCACCCAACGGGTTGGAGCAGTTCCCCCTCTGCCATCTGATACCTACTCTGTCAAACATAGGTGGAGAGATACGTCACAACGCCTTTTTCGTAAAGTCCTCGAGGTTGACAAGTGAGCCTGTGGCGTGAACGCCGTACCACGTACCACGACAGTATCCGTCTGGACTAGTGCTGAATATCTCTGGCCACCCAGGATAATGGAAGGCTCGAATATTCGACCAGTGAGGAATCAGAATCCCGCAGAAGCCGTTTTCATCCCGTAGTCAAGCTGGACCTTGACCGACTATCAGAAAAGAAAATCTCTGCAGGGCAACAGGCGTTGACAGCCCATATACACGTGAGACATCTTCATGTTGGACGGGGACGGGATTCTCAGGAACTGTTTGCAAGCCATAGCAGCCATTATCACAAACATTTCAAGATGCACCCGCATACTAAACACGCCCAACAGCCCCTACTTTAGTTAGCCATGGAAGCGTTCATGGGTCGATGGAAAAGTAGCGGCGGCGGTGCGGTGGGCTCCCGCGACTTTGGGCACCACAACGTCTGTCTTCCCTGCTAGCAACGAAGGAAGGACATTCCATCCCGTACCGTAGTTACCCATGCCATTATTGGCCTCAACCCAGACGCCAACAGCCCAGCACAAGAAGCTGTGGAGTGACCAACTCCCATGTTGCTGGCTAGCCTGGTAATATATTGCTTCTCGCTCATTTTGCTGCCAATCTTGGTCATTTCTCTCTCTTCGCTTTTTTCTACTGGTCGTTCACCCGGAGCATTGTGGTAATTTGGTTAGTATTCTCCACCCCTTGTCCAAGGCCATGTACGATTCCAATTCCTTGACCCCTTAACCCTTCCTTTTATCGGGCTCCGATCGCCTGGGCCATCTTTCTTCATGTATCATTCCTGTATGGTCAGATGATCGTTAATATACCATGCTAATTTCCAAGACACGAGTCGGCAAATGACCGTCTCACAAAGCAGACGCGTCATATAGATGGGGGAAGCTTTCGCCTATTAATCCATCCCATCCATACTCCGTATACTCGGTCTCGTTACCGAGAGCGCTCCGAACAGACAATCTTCAAGACGCATCATGAAAAAGTTGTCGGTGAATATTGGGGACTTCAGAAGTTTAGTGTTGCGGCTCAGACGGGGCTTGTTCTTCCACCCGTTGGTTGAAAGTTCCTCTGGCCTTCTGCGTTGGCTCTTTGACTAACAAGCTAGGAGTAGTTGGTATTCCATCCATGAAATATATTGCATCGAAGACTGCCGTATCCCCACATCTCGAAACATTATTAGTTGCAAGCTGGCTTGTCCGTCCACTGGTATGGAGAGCGCGCTTGCTCGGCACGCAAACCAAGGCTTGGTGGTTGTATGTAAGGTGCGTGGTTGAACGCCACAAGTGCGCCTTGGGTAGGCATAGTACATGCTGAATTCCCATCCAGCTGAACTCAAACATCAAAAGGGGAAAGTCTCAGGAAAGAAGTAAAGAGCAAAAGTTGAAGAGAGGGGGGAGAAGATAAAAAGAAAGAAACAATTAATAACTTTCGAGGGGGCCAATTCCATCGCGTGGAAAAAGCATGTCTAGGGAGTGAAAACCAAATCGTGATACTGAATAAAATAAAAAGTAGGATGCTCCTATCAGGTTCAGGAGGTGAATTTGGCTTCCCTGAGCCTTGATTGCTCTCCGGATTGTACTTCATACAGCCCCCTGAATGACAACAGCAATAGCCATATAAAGGGGGACACCCTATCTGCATATGCCTTCTCCGTATCCGTACCTTCAACGTATGTTTCTGAGAACGAAATGACGGGAAGGTGCAGCCTCTAGCGTGTGTGAGGGATCATCTTCCCTCAGACGATCGAGGGGTTAGTGACATAATAGAAATGCCCATATTTGTCTGTGCTGCTCGCTACGGCTGTCCTGTTATTGACAGCGTTAATCTGATATGCGGAGGAGCGTTGGATATTGTGTGCGTTAAATATACCCCGGATTGCTCATCTGGCAAATATTCGAATACCCCACAGACAGCGAGCATGATGGTTGAAATACCGATTGATGCTGTTGCCCACACATTTCGGATGGTTGCATTGTTGCTCTCATGACTCTCGATTTAGTTACGGTTTCAGGGGTTCGAGGTTTCATGCAATTAACTAGCCAAGCAGTCTCGATGACAATGCAGGACAGCCTGAAAAAGAAACTCGCGGCATCAAACAGGAGATTTGGCTATTTACACATGCATGCGGATCATCATTATCCGTCATATGTATGTACGCTTGGTTTTGAAGGTGAGCGCAGTGCATGTGGTGTGGTGACGATTTATGTAAGTCATATCGAACCCGCTTAACCTAGGAAGAAGGCTGCTAGTTAGGCATCAAACGGTGCAGGCAAGGGGCAAAAAGGAAAAAGGAAAGATACCTACGGTGTTATCAAGGAGGTGGGGGAAGATACCGGGTCAAAGCAGCAGTACCTTACCTCCGGCCCCCATGACGGTATTACTGGCACGACTGACGCGCTACCCGATGTTCATCTCGGTGAAATATTCGAAATAATATCAGGATATCGGGCTCATCTGTATCAGATATATCTAGGGGCTGTCGCCTATCCATGTTCGTGGGATGATATCGACCAGGGCAAATTTCCAGAAATCAAGATAGGCTTCCCTTCCGGTGTTCCCCGCGGCTTAGCGTCCAGACATTCAGTGTAAAAGACCATGGACAGGTGGAGAACTGAGTTGGGGAGCGTTCCATAGCTGTGAAAAGTACGATGTCAGGTCGGCGATGGTCACCAAGCTGGGATATGGGATTGCCTCCCATCCCACACTGCGCGTCCCACCATCGCGTCTGACTCCGTTATTGGCTGTGAGAGAGGCCGAGCTTCAAGGGGACAGGCAGCCTCACTTGCCGGGGGTGCGTTCAGTCTTGTGCAGATGACCGTGGCCGTGGCCGTGGTGTATCCATAACTAGTTATCATTTCCTCGCAGAAACGCTGCCAACCCATGTGGGTGGCTCCCCTTCTCCCAGAGCCACAGATGTCTCATGTTTCTGATCCTTGTCCAAAGCCATGCTCTCGAGCTGCCATGCAGAGGGCTGGAACTCAATTGCTGCTAATATTCGCTTTTCTAAGTTGCGATTGTCCGTTTGTCAAAGACGTTGTGTGGTGTGTTGTTGACTGCATACGCAGCGGCAGAGGTGGTCGGCCGAATTCCACGAGAAAGCTTGAAACGCTGGACGGGAGCTTGGATGATGGAATGGACAGGGGGCGGGAAGCGTGTAGGTCGATATAACTATACAGGATTATATGTGACCATAATAGCTGAATAGCTGTATGCCGTCTGGGATGTTGGATGTTGGTTCTGTTGCTTGCGTGGGGGAGAAGAATGCATGAGGAGAACGAGTTGACGTCCCGTTTCGGCTGATGTGACGACGGGTGATTGGCTGCGTTTAACTACTTTCGCTGTTATTATGTATACTATATCTACGGGACGCTCTATGGATGTATTTACGGTGCAGAGTAAGGCTTTAATTTACACACTGAACATGTACCTTTTTTATCCTGGACGTATCACCGGCAGGGCAAGTGTGGAAGTTGGTGGGCAGCTAACATATTCCTGGTTGTTATACCATGTCAATATTACAAAGCTGACTGCTCCGCCTGCTTCATATAAGAAATAATGAGCAGTTATCTCCGTCTAGAATGTGACGCTGTATTTGTTTGTATCAATCTGTTGTCATATTCCCGGAGAAAACGGCTCAACACTGGTTCCAGCACAACAGGCATAGTATTAACACATTATATATAACAAGGGATGGGCCAGGGAAGCATGGGGAAGCGCCTGGACGTAGGCAATTCTTTCGGCAAATCGGGCGTGGGTAGAAACTATCTCTTGATAGCATGAGGACATGAGCTCAGAGATATGATGTTAGGAACGGATAGGCATACCAGTTTGAGCGTGACAGAACATACAGGAGCGAATAAGCTAGGATGCATCTATCATCTATGCATCTATCATCTCATCATATGCGTAAGGATAGCCCAGAGCCCATCAAACCCTTCCGAACGATCCACGGGATTGAAAAAGTCGAACCAGCGCGTTCGACGAAGGACTAGGGATCGCCATGGTGACGCCGGGCCACCGTCTGAACCGGCAGTGTCTACCTTTCCCATAGCGAGCCATTGAAGGTACTCGTCGTAGACTCTGAGATGAATGATGGAGAAATGGTGGTTAATCGACGATATCATAAAGACCTAAGAGTAAATATACGTTAGGAAGTTGGTCCTTTCTGACCTTTGATATTCAGCTGTAACTCACATCATCAAACGGACAGTTCGAGTTAGATCCGATTTTTACATATTTCATTCTCTTATCCCACAATCCTGGACCGGGCTGGACGCTTTTCCATTTCTCTATCATCGAGACTCTCCTATTGTTTAGCCCTACTCCTCGCCGAAATGAAAGAGATGACCTGTCGTGTTTTGTCCGCTTGTTCACTGTGGTCTCATTATCCGCTGATGAATTTGTCAGAGCAGGTTCAGCCTGGTGCTGCTGCTCTGGAGCAGTTGGAATTGGTTCACCAACTGGGCCGTTATTCGGGATGCCTCCCCAGCGAGGCGTAGACGCCCACCATTTTCCATCTCCGGGTTTGGCTTCGGCCTGATTTTCTCGCGCTCTTTCCTGGGCTAGTAGCAGCATCCCTGCTGTTTCCCGCAAGATATCACATTTCTCGACATGTCTCTGTCCAGTAGCTTCGTCGTAGAAATGTGTTTCCGGCCGGCACTGGGCAACTAGTACAGGCCCTTCCAGGATGTGTTTGCGTGCTTCCTGCCTATCCTGTGGGATGCGTGAGACGGTGAAACTCTGCCGCACAGGAAATAGGAGATCTTTGACAGCAAGACGAGGCGGCATTGTTGGTAGCTTAACCTGGCAGCCGAGGGACCATGCTACCATTTCCACCAGTCCACGTAAAACGTCTTCTCGGACTGAATCAGGCATATCTGTCCCCGCGCCAATTCTCCGACCTTTGTAGCGTCTGCTACCACTGGGGCTCCTAGCATTTACTTTGGGTATTGTGGCTGATGGTTGACTATGGCATTTTCCGCCATCGATATCCATTCTGCTCTCCAATGCACCTTTATCTGTACCTTTACCTGGAGCCGAACTGTCCCCATGGCCGTTGGACGTAGTGGTATCTTCCATGCTCACCTCGTAGTAATTATCATGGCTTGAATCCCAATACTGAGCAGCTTGCTGTAAAGCAGTCCAAAATTTCCTCGCCTGGGCAATTCGCGGATTCTTACGCCCCGGAGGTGGCTCAAGCCGCGCAAGGGATCGAAATGCATCATCATTGTCAAATAGTAGCTCTCCCTTTAAGAGTTCATGTTTACTTTTGTCAGGAAACGGAGCCCCGTTGCTCATAAACATGGGAGTATCGATTCCCGCCTCTCCATTCCCAGAGCCAAGCGTTGGCCATTGGTATGGGGGTTTTGATTTGAGATCATGATTTGATACGATGTTTGAGACATCAATATCATATTCCACCTTGATATTGAATGTCGTCAGATATTCATCCGTGATATCTTGCGGTTTTCTGGCACGAGCTAACAAGCGATAAAGAACATCACAGCTCGTTTCGCCGTCAGACCTGACTGAATTTAGTTTGGCATAGTCTGGAAACTGGACTTTTGTTGGCGGCGGAGGCGGATCACGCTCCTCTTCTAGATTAACACTGAAGCTGGACACGGCTGCTTCCCCACTTGGTCAGCCATTCGTTATAGAGTGAGTATAGATATAAAATACTGCCCAATTCGGTATTGATCTCAGTTACACATGTTCAAACGACTGAATAGGAGGGAAGATGTAGTAGAATGAGGGTCTTGAAAGGGGAAAACAAGAGTACTCCACGAGGAAAAGCAATATTCTCGACAGCTTGTTTAAGAACAGCCAATGGATAGTAAGGAACCAAGAAGCTTACCCAGACTCCCTCCCCAGCTGAACATACTGCCGATATGCCTTTATGACGGCCTTAAGGTATGTTTAGAGAGATGGGTTCCTAAGACCCCGCTGCCCGAAAGGTCGGTTGAAACTAAGACTGCCCGGCAATAAGATGTATATGTGCAACAAGGACCAAGGCAAGGTGATATGATAAAGATCTTAAGTCGGAGCAGATCATGGAGATAGAGTTGTTACGTCCGCAATCGGCCTTGAGAGGTGCAATTTTCGATAGGCTTCTTCTATCCGGGTTGGGTTGAAGTAAAATGGTAAAGGCCAGATGGCTGGAGCAAATTGTACCAATATCAAGACGGTTTCAGGACTCGCTCGAGCTTGTGTAGCATACCATTGCTTTATTGATGGGAAAAGGAGTAACAGTGATAGATTGTATTAACTAGTTAGTTATGCCCAAGCGAGGGATTAGAAAAATGCCGTATGGTCAGGGGTGCGACGCAGGAGATGGATGCATGAGATGAGCTAACAATAACACTTGCACCAACATTCACGGAACCAACAGAAGCTCATATGGTGATCGTTGGATGCCGCAGCCAGAACTAACTTGGCATCGTCGTATAGAGGCCTTCAAAAACGCTGCAGAGTGTTTTCTGTACTCTCCTGCTAGTATAACGATATCAATTGGAATGCAATCAAGCTCGATGTTTTGACGCGGTCGAAGATCACTCAAGGTTCCAAGGTCCCGACTGGGACGGGTCACGTGAACGGCCAACGACATCCAACTTCTTGACAGACAAACGGATGTTTTTGATCGCTTCATGTCCAACTTGATCAATGAACAAGAGGGCCACGAGGGCTGAAACTGGCATATAACACCCGTGTCAGCAGAGAGACAGCGTGCAGCAGCTTCAATAGTGCCACAACCAGGCCCAAGGTCACTGCATGGCGCTGGGTAGTCCCTATACATACTGGAAGAAACATGTCAGGGGGTCACAGGCTACCCATTCCCTTTTCACGGATTATTGCCCTTCTGTATCTTAAGAGGGCATTCTAAGTTATTCACTTGGCTTAAAAAATAGCAGATTTTGAAATATCTTGTGCGCAGTTTCTCGCTGCAAGATCTCTGAGCAGCAGTGCAGGAATACCGCCCAGGATGTGACTACCAACCTCTGGTCTAATTTATTTTGCCCATTGATACCCAAAGTGGAAAAAAAAAAAAAAAAAAATCTAGTACGGAATGAATGTGACTCTCTGGGCACTATATTGCTCCCTTCTTGATCTAGACATTGTTTTAGAATAAGAAGATTTTCTCCTAGCAGCCCATATGCAGCCTCCCGCGGTTTCTGGTGCCGAATAAAGATTCTCAATCCCACTCATCGGACATGTCGCCGTAATCAAATGCAAGTTCCGTCCCGTTCCGTTGAGCGATCCGCTTATTCTACGTTCTCGTCTAGCGCCTTCTTTGTACACCTTTGGTTTCTCGCCTGGCTCTTAACGGGAAGCCTGCCATGATCGACCCGTCATCCCAGGTTCATGCAACTCGACCATGCAGGCCGCGCATCTTGTCAGGAATGGGGCAACGGGGCAACGATCCTCGGGTGGTTCCGAAGAATGCTTGCTCCCCGATCCTTTCAAGCGTTACGCACCTCTCACAACAACGAACTTGTGGCGTGGAATTGCTATATTGCTGCTCCATTCTTTGATTCAGATGGGATTTGACAGAACTCGTCCCTACGACCAACTAGCTTCATGTAGACATGCGAATTCCCACAAACCCCTCCGTTTCTTCCAGACTTCTAGGGAGAGATTGCCCCCCAGATCATTGTTTGCCGCCATGGTTGGGATATTAAACCCTTGTTGGGGTACCTGATACCTCTCCGTTGTGATTATAACCTGATAAACCTTTTCACAGTGGCAGCATGGCTCCCCAGTACCGTCCATCTATACATATTCGTACTGCGGGTCAAGAGGAAGCAGGACAGCAGACTTTTGTCATTGCTTGCTCTTTAACTGGCACTGGCGTCTTTTTAACCATCGTCATTTTTATATTTGGCTATATATGGCACTCTCAAATGGGAAGCCGAAGATCTTGGCTATTGTCGCGTCTCAAACCATCACGGAAAGCAACTCGGCCCAGTGCTGAATATAATAGTGATCGAGATTATGAGTTACCTAACCAACTCACCAAGCCGTCGCCATGCGCATTTCCCTTGAAATTAAAACAGCAGGAGATCATGCGTCCTCCACTTCCACCTCCTCGATACGTCCAACCTCTAAACCCGCCCAGTTTTCATAACCGATCGCTCCCTGGCTTTCAGTGGAAACGAAAATGCCCGCCTAAGCTCGAGCCCTTGCCAGAGACAGAGTCCTTTACACACACCACAGTCCGCGAATTTGACAGAACTTCGAATAAACTGTCTGCTTTTGAACAAAAGGAGTACGGCTCTGTGGAGTTCCGTGGTTCTCTTGATGAGCTATCGACAATACCAAATCACGTCAATATATCAACAAGTCTGACACGGACCGTACTAGCCCATACATATTCGGATGACGCCTCTCATTTCATGGACAATGCGATACCAAGCCCGTCACTATATTTCTCGGCCAGTATTGATGTCGAATCTTTGATGTTCCCATCAGAAACCAATAACACAGAATCCTGTTTATTATCAAGGTCAAGGACAAAGAGTAGCAGCGTAATCCTGCTGCCCGGAAGCAGCCCCGATTCCAAACAAAATTCAGTCGAGGGCAGCAAGCCCTTGCGAGTAACTCCATCAATTATCTCCCGCTGGAGGAGGATCCGAGATATGACAGAATATCAGAACGAAGAACCATGCCCTTCCGAATGCCCTATATCGCCTATCTGGTCGGACGGTACTGAGCAGGCTTCGAACTGACGAGAAAACCAGCAAGTGACACACCTATTAAAATGCCGGTGTTTTCCACTATTCTTAATATATGTATTTTATTACTCAAGCAGAAGAGCCTAGTCCAGTTACCAAAATAGCGGCATTGTTAATTGATCCAGGTGGAATTCTGTTGATTCCGAAATCCGTACATATCTGCATTGGTGCTTCATAAGGGCCCATTTAGTTGTCTTTCTTGTTTAAAATGACAATAGTTAGGGTACCAAAACATCCGTGTAATCCACCGTTTATCCACAAGACGTGTACATCTCAGATGAACAAACAAATGCCAGAGAGGGAATATAGTGGGCATAAATTCCATTTCATTATTTTTTTGTTTCGAAAAATCAACATGAACTCCCTTGCCCACTGACCGATACCGACTAGGAGAAGTGGGATGGAGGAAAGTGGAAATAAAACATATTGAAAGGTCAACAGGTAGTTTATGCCTCCTCCTCATCTTCACCAAGAAGAGCATTCCGCTTGGCGGAAATACGCTCTTGTCGTCTCTCACGGGCAGCCTTGGTCTTAGCACGTTTGGCATCCATCTCCTCCTTGAGGGCACGTTCACGTTGTTTCTCAGCCTTGGCCTTGTGGATCTGTAGATACCCATATTAGTATTGCTGCTAAAAAGGCGGGAAACCCGATTTTAACTCTGAGGAAGCCATACATGTTCAACGAGGGCACGTTTGTGCTTGAAGGTGTTACCCTTGCTCAAGTGGTACAACTCGTGGTAAAGGTGCTTGTCAATCTTTCCGGCAGCACGGTATTTGGCAAGTAGTCGTCGAAGGACTCTCAGGCGGCGCATCCACAAAACCTGGCTATAAGGTGTGCGAACATATGTCAGTCGTTCCGCGTTTTCCCAATCATCTCTTTTCTAATTTTCTAGGAATAGGCGGAAATTGCGGCGTATTCTTCATCGCCGAACTCTGCAGAAATTCAGCAGCATTCAGGAAGAACGTACCTTGGCATTCTGGCGTCCTTGGTACCCTTCCTCTTACCGAAACCTCTGTGTCGACCGTTTCGTCTGGCCTCTGCGAGCTCACGGGCACGGGAGCGCGAGTGCATGGTGACGGGCTTGCGGATGATGAGTCCATCGCTGATGAGTTTGCGGATGGTCTGGCGAGAGTTGGCGGTAGAGATCTCGTTGACCTCGCTGGGGTCAAGCCAGATCTTGCGTTGACCGCAGCCGACCACGGAGGCGGCCAGGCGCTTCTGAGTGCGAAGGTTGACCCTATTGATGACAGCAAATGGTCAGTCACAGTCGTCTCTTCGCTTCCATTTCCATATCACGAGAGCGACAAAATTTCTTGCCCCCTCTAACGCCATGCCATGAGAAGTTTCTGCCACAATACAGCGGCGCGGCATGCATTCGAGAGGGAGATATTCGGGAGTTGTCTTCGATCCGATGAAGCAGCAGGGTGGACTCACATCTTGATGCCGGGTTAGTTGTCGATGGCCGAGTGAGTGATGGATTGCTGTTCTGAATCCGCAAATCGACAAAAACGAACAAGAGGTGGACGTTTCGTTTTCGATTAGCTAAGCGAGTGTGACTTGCTAAGCGAGACGCACCAAAGAGTAGCCGAGTTAGGGTTTTATGGCGCTATGCCTTTTTAGCGTGCTTAGTCATTCCACGTGATATGATTTTTTCAGGGCCAAGGCTTCCGCGTCCTATTTACAAAAGGGGCAACCCTAGGTCTATCTACTTGCTCGATGCTCGGTATCATCAGACAGTTCCATAAGGCAGTACATATCGCCTCCAGCTGGCCTTGCCAGTCTAGTCATCACCGAATGATTCCCCAAGATCCACCTTGCCCACGCTCCAGACTTCTTTTTCATCTTCTATCTCATCGCTCGAGAGACCTAGGCCGCCTTGGCCGCCTTCGGCTTCTCTCCTCTCCCTAGCTTGGCCTCCTAGTCGGAGGGCCACACGCTTGAAGTAGTCTTGCATGCTGCGTTTGGGTCCAGCTGGAAGCTCTGCTCCGGGGCCCTTCATGTACTCTTCGAAGACCTCGCCTTCAGACTCAACGACGGAGAAGATGGCCAGGAAGGCAGCTTCGGCAGCCAACTTTACGGGAATGACCGTATCACGGACTCCCCCAAAAACAGGTGGCACCACAAGAGATCTATAGCGTGCAATCATTTCTTGGTTTTCCCTAGCAACCGTCCGTAGAACCACCAGTGTCAGTCGTCGAGTGTCAACTGGTTTACCAGGTTGTACTACGCCTGCCAAAGCCTCGAACACCTCCTTTTCGTCCTCAGGCTTGCGGTCCATATGAGAGGATAATAGGTATTTCCCAGCCGCAAGGACACCATTGTCGGATATGAAAACCTACCAAGATTGTTAGTGGGTGAATTGCATTACCATTGGAGTGCTAAGGTAAATATACATCACTGTTTCTGATTGCATGGCAGATCGCCACAGGTACCTCTGAACGGAAGTTTTCGTTCAGTAGAGCAGGCGATTCGACGAGGATGGCGTTCAGTCGGAGAATAGATTGATGCGTCAGTTGTGTTGCCAGTATCCGGTTTCTAATGCCTACGTTAGCCTCAGTCTCATCTAGATAGGCTCATAGTATACCTACTTGATAAGGGGAATGGCAGTGGGTGTGGGCAGCGATTTGATCAAGGCTCCAGCAAGTTTGGCGTTCGTAATCGTTGTCGCAGCTATAAAGACGTTAGAAATAAGTTGACAAAAGTGCCATAGCTGATATCCGGGGGCTCAAAGTACCATCGTCGACTGAATCATTGTCAACAAGACCAAACACAGCTTGTCTCGAGGCCTCACTCATATTTGTGCCAGCTTTATCAACAACGTCGTGAAGGGCGCGCAACATTGCATTCTTAACACCAGGATCAGTAGTCTTGGAACCAGTGATGAGCTCTAAATGGTGTTAGTAAATGGTTATTTTGATATGGTGAATCAAGGCTAAGCAGCCACCTACCTGCAACAAGCGGATCTACTCGTGGCGTTAATGTAATCAAAATGCCCAAGCCTTTGGCAGCTCGAGTCCGCAAAGTTTCGCTGGACGTATCTGCCAACCCTCTCGCAAAAGTTCTTTGCAGTTGTGGCAAGAATGGCTTGACAAATAGTGGGATTTTTTCAAGCAACTTGTCAAGGGCAAGGAAGATTGCACCTAAGTTATTATTAGTTAGTCAAGGGTGAAGTTTCACAGTCAGGACTGGGAACCTACATTTAATATCCACGGATCTCTCTGAGACCACACGAATCAAAGGACCTGTAATTTGAGTCACGAATGCCTTAAGTGACTCTGGGCTAGTTCGGTCAATGATATCGCCAATCGCCAGAGCAGACTGTGTGCGTTGCTCAATATTTCCATTCAATAAACCTTGAAGGAATATAGGGAGTATAGCCCCAATTCCTTTGGGTAGAGAGAATCCGGCGAGGTTGGATCCAGGTACACCAACTTGTCGGAGTACTTGACGAGCTGGATTTACAAGGACTTCCATCTCTTCTTTCTTCATGCTCTTGGTTAGTTGGTTGAGACCTTCCCATGCCGCCTTTACAACCTCCTTATCACGATCGTCAAAGGAGATCAGAAGCACTCGTATCAGCTCTGGGTAGAATCGAGAAATATCCATCTCTGTGTTGCTGAAGAACGTAGCAAGGTGGATGGCTGCGCTTGAACGTCGTCTGTGGTCATCATGTTTCATTAACGCGAGCATTACGTTCATGGCAACATTCAAACCGTCAAACTCGTCTACCGAACCAAGCACGGCGTCGAATGCCTCGCTAACTTCTGACTTAAGACCGCTGTCCTCTGTGGAGATTATCTCGTCCATAAGTGTGTTCAGGATGGTCGGTAGTCTTCGGTTCATCCCGCCTCCGGCAACCTTGGAAAGTGATGCCAATGCCTTAGCATTGAATCCAGTAATTGGCTTGGTCAATAGGGTTGGGATAAGATTTGGCAATATGATATTGGCTCTAGTGGCTTCGGTCAACAGAGTGAGAAGAGCAGCAAGCGCCTGCTCGGCATCGTTTTCATTGTGCAACAGATGTAGAAGGTCTGGTAGAACCCTGTCAACAATCCTCTTGCCCAATGCCTGCTGGAGGGCATCGAAAGCTTCCGCAGCAGCCTCACGGACTTGGTCGTTAGTATCGACCAAGGCGGTTTTGACAATAGATATAAGTGCCTTCTCGTACGTTTCAAGTGATTCGTCGGAGGACGATACCACAAGCTCCCGCACAGCCAAACATATACCCTGTCTTCCATCGATGTCGGTCGACGTGATGAGCCCTTCTTCTAGTTCCGGCAGCAGAGTCGAGAGTACTCCCTCCCCTGCCTTTTTGATTAATTCTCCTAAAGCATTTCCAGCAATAACCTTTTGTTCCATATTTGAGCTTCCCAGACGCCGGATAATAACTTGAGAGAGCGTCGGTACCAACTCTTTCAACGTCCGAGGCGTAGCGACCAATGCCTTCCAGACATTGATAGCAGCGCTCCTGACCAAGCCTGAAGTATCGCAGCGGCAAATATAAAGTGATGAAAGTACTTTATTACGCCTCTCTTCACCAAGAACTTCGAGAAGGGATTGACCAGCTTGGATTGCAGAATCGATTTCCTCTTCGCCATCAGTGGCAGTAGCACCTGTCAAATTGAATAGAAGATCACCAATAAGCTCCACAGACGAAAGACGGATACGGTAATTGTCATTCGCTAAACCACGTTCAAGCTCAGGGAGAAGGAGGTCAATCGATCTTGTGGAGAAGTTCTTCACTAGCAGTCGGCCGGCTCGGAGTGAAGTTTCTCGTATCGATTCAACCTCATCTGCAAGGCCAACAAGAATAGGAGGAATGATACGGTTCAAATAAGCAGCAAAGCTGTTGCCAAAGCATGCAGGAAGGAAAATAAATAGAGTCATAAATCCTTCCCGGACAGTCGGTTTCGAGCTGGAGACATTTTGCAGAAGCGAAGGTAGAGTGTCTTCCAAACGTGACGTACCCAAACCAGCAAGAACTTCAGCAAGCGCCTGGGCCGAACCCATTCGGTCTCCTGCTCCGGCCTCTGATTTGAGGGTTGCCATAAGACTGGGAATAAGATCTGGAAGAGTATCTTCTCCTAGTTTCTCAATAAGGGATCCAAGGGCCTTTGAAGCAGTTGCTCGAGTAGTTGGCACAGGGTCAACTACAGCAGTCTTAAGCCCAGCAACCAGAATTGGCAAATGCGATATCAAATCCTTGCGTTCTGTAAGATGGGCTAAACTGCCAATAATTTGCGCTGCCTTTCGCTTGGTTGTTGATCGATCACTCAAGCCTCGCTCGAGAATTCGCACTACCAATGCTAAAGAGGGCGCGTCAAGGTAATGGACGAAAGAAATTTTAATTAAAGCATCCAGAGCTTCATCGGTGTATTTGGTTGGGTCACTGAGAGCTTTTAGCAAGATTGAAACCAGGCTCTTGACTTCTGGATTGCTTATAACATCTCCGAAACGTTGCAAACTCCTATTGGCAGAGTTGCGAACCTCTTTGTGACTGTCATTCAGGACCTCTGTAAGTGGTGGGATGATATCTGGGAGGTTGAGAGCAAGTTGCTGTGGATCAAGATAGGCCATTGCGCCAAGCAAGTCGCAAGCACCCTTTTTGCTTCTCCATTGAGTATCATCCAGACCATCCAGCAACGTCGGGAGAATCTGCTTAACTCCAAAGGAACTTAGGCTTGCGAAGCAGGCCTTTGCGGCGTCTAAACAGGCATCACGGACGTCAATACTTGGGTCGCCAAAACTTGTTAGCAGTTGCGGAACAATCCGTATCACATATGGCTCAAATACACGGCCGAGAACAAATGCCAGCAGTTCATATGCTAGGACGGCTCCCTGTCGTTGGTTTGACTCCTTTTTATTCTCAGATGCTTCCGTTAGGCGAGACATAATTCCAAAGTCACGGAGTGCCAATATTCCTTTACCCCTGACTAGGCCTGCGAGCCCATAAGCCGCTCCACGGCGGGCTGCATACTTCTTAGATGTGAAAAGCTGGTCGAGCAATTCCTGCACAAAAAGGCTAGCATCTGATCCATCTAACCTGATGAGTGGGATAAGACATTGGGCAACAGCAAGCTGCACTGTTTCTGAAGGTGTTGATAGAGCATCCATGAGCTTGCGAGTGACTTTTTGAATGCGATTATCTCCCGCAACTAGATGCTGCGCAAGAGACCCGTAGAGAATGATGACTGCTTCATTAAGCCAATCTGACTGCTCGGTTTCCTTATCAGACGTTTCCAATGCCGTTTCGAAGATGCTCATCAGCTCCTCAACCTTCTCACGCCCACGCGATGTAATAACAGCACTTCCACTCTCGGCCATCTGTCTTCGAACAGATGCATTTCGGTCGATCAAAGGACCTTCATCGATCAAAAATCTGAAAAACGATACTATATCGTCCCCACTGAAACCACTAGCCATAGCCCCAAAGGATAGGGCAATTCCACTCCGGATTTCCCACGAGTCTGCTTGTTCAGCCTTCCTAGGCATGCCGTATGAATCGGTCTGTACAGGCTTCGTATGTACTTGTTCCCGGTACATGGACTCCAACTTTTTCAAAGTATCGGAGAAAATGGAGGGACATAGCTCACAGGCATGGGCAAGGGCAAGGGCTGCGGCTGATCGTAGAGACAAGTCATCATTGGCTAAGTGTTTGATAACTAAATCAGGAGATTGTTCGTCAACATCCAGAGCATTTTCTTCCCAGATTTCCCTGCCAATCTCAGCGTTCTCTGCCACATTGTCATGATATGCAATCCATATATATACGGAGAAGTCAATATCAGTCAAGTCTATTTCGGACAATATGCTCTGAAGAACAGCAGTTCGCACTGGTATTTCACGAGATATTGAGCCTCGAAGTAACACTTCAAGCTCGTCGGGTTGTATATTTGCCGCCATAGCCCTACAAAGGTCAGAGAGAGCATCTCTCAATAATTTGTAATGTGCCGTATGTTTTCGCATGGCGTTGATAATGTGTCCTAGAGTCTCAATTCTAGGCAATCGCACATCGGAAAACGAGTTGGTGTGAAATGATATAAATTCTAGAGCTAGGAGAACCTGCTCTCCACTGTCATCCTTTGACTCCTCAATTCCATTGTTTTCCAATACTATGAAGATTAATGGGAGTATATAGCCAAGAGAAACTCCATCAAGAGGGCGCTGCTCTGATAGGATTCGAAGACGGTATAATATCCGGGTTATTAGGCCTGCAAACGTGCATAAAGTTAGCAGTACTTTCAAGATATATAAGGTCCAGGGGTATAACTTACTTCCAAGTGGCTCCGTTTCAAGTTCACTTCTCAAAAACGTTTTCCCTACAGCTCTAAGGGTTGCAATGGCAACAAAAGGCCTCATTTCTCCAATGCGAGACGAGACCTTATTACCACAAGCCATGAGAGCTGAAGATATGCTGTCACCAACTATGACTCCCCCTCCAAGTTGAGCCAGTTTGCACAGAGAGCTACAAGCAGGGTTAATCCAGCCGTCAGCTTCAGTTGGAGAACTGTTTGCCAAGCTCCTGATTATTCCCGCCCCTCTTTTGATCATGACTTCGGTAGAATTGACAGTGTCACGGATTTCTGATTCCTTCTCCAACTGAGCTTTGACTTTAGCCTGCTCATCAGCAGTCAGTTTCTTCTGTTTTTGGCCATGCTTTTTAGCAACTTCGGCCCTCAATTCCTCTTCCCACTTGAGGGTATCATAATCCTTAGCGCTTTTGTTGGGCAAATTCTTAGCCTTGGTGTCCAACACATCAATAAACGGAGTGTCCCCGGTATGACGAGCAATAGCGATGTCTGTAGCCGAAAATTGGGATATTCTTTCAGGTTTGAGATCCTCACAGAACTGAGCTACAAGCTTTGGTATCATCACTTCTGGTGCAACAAAGCCTAGATCTGCAGCAGCATTCCAAGCCGCCTGTCGAGCTTCAGCTATATTATTGCGGATTGGATCCTATATTATATTAGATAACATAGTCTACCAGTCATTTTTTAGAAGTAAGCAGGGTGGTCGAAAAACTTACGCCTGTAGCGAGTAGAATTTGATTTAAACATTGGTCAGGATATTCAGTGGCTAGTTTCCCAGGATCAATCCCCATTTTCAAGGACACGTTGATCCAACTGGTTCCCGGAACTAGTTCGGGACGACACAAGACCAGGAGCTCGATACATTGAGATTCTAGATCTTTCTTGTTTATTGAATCATGGCCATCTCTCTCTAATACAGAGGGTGTAATTGCTCTCACTACATGAGAAAGATTGGACTTTCCAGCTCCCGAAAGTACAGCAGCGGCCTCCTTGTCCGCAATATCCAGGTAATAAAGCCACTTCCATATGGAGCTTATGATAGAAGTGCCTATCAAAACAGGGTGTTTAAAATAGCAACGTCGCAACAGGCCGGTTGCAAGCTGTCGGATCTTTGGGGGTGAAGCCAAAGAACATACCAGATAGATAGATGCTTGGGCCCATGCTTCCTTGACTTGCTCATCAGAGGTTTCGAATCCTGGCTGTACGGTAACGGCAAATAATGCGCGGAGAGCCCACTCAAGCTCTTCTGCAGACGAGAGCTTCGTATAAATTTTTGGGTTTAGTAAAAAGGATGGCTTGGGAGAAACTGAAAGGGCCGTCGGAAATATGTCCTCAATTGGATAGGGCAGGTTATCCCCATTCCAGAACTTCTCAAATGATAATGCTGTAAGGACATTTGCTATAGAAATTGTGCCTCCCTGTAACGAGGGTATTGGGTTGGCAGAAATCTCAGTGAATGACTTGTGCAATCTTGTCAAAACTGGGTGCAAGCACTCTTTGCTGAACGTTTGAGATGACTGTAGAGCAGAATTATCGCAATTCCAGAATAACTCGCCCATATTCACAAGCCAAGTTTTACGGAATCCAGCTCGTTTATCATCGCATCCCTTGATGACGGTAGTGAAATTTTCCTTACTGACATCAGCCCTGGATGACACAAGGAACGTGAGGTGGTGGCAGAAGGATTTTATCTCCGGTTCTAATGCAACTTCACTACTCTCACGAAGTACAGCAGCAGAAAGCCCTGTTAGAATAGCCTGAGATGCGCTGGAGGAGCACGGTACAACTCGCAGAAGTTGCGCCTGAAGAGCACGCTGTTCAACATTCGGAATTTTTTGCGCTTTTAACGGGGTCACTACTTCGTCAACGACCTTCAGAAGTGACTTTTCGTCCCTGCACCGGGGTATAAAGGCTTCAAGCGCTTCAATTGCGCCCTTTCGTATAACCGCATTTGTTGATTTAATGTTTGCAAGCAATTGCTTACAAATGGAGGATGAGAAAACTTCAGAGAGGTCGATTTCCACGGGGATTGAAGAAGCTAGAGAGGTGAGAACACCGGCAAGAAGAATTTCGGGGCTTCTGAGAATGGCCTTTTCCACTGTGGGCCAGACATACTTCTGAAGGTCCTCCTTTGTAGAAAAGGATGTAAAGAGGTCCCGGATCCCTTCGTGGATATGTCGTGGAACAGGAATCCTGGAAGCAACAATTTCCTTGGAGTAGAACTGGAAGATATCGCCCTTCACTGCGTCTAAATCATCCTTCCTATTTGGCAGTCGAGCGCAAACGCCGCAGATAACTCCCAATATAGGTGCATTTTTGAAGCCTGATGTCGCCTCTTTGATCAGGGAAGGAACTACATCACGCACTAGGTTGCTGCCATGGGATTCTGCAGAAAACACAGCACGTAATGCCCGTCGAGTAATAATTATTGCTGAATGCTTCAAGCTCTGCTTTGTCGAAGTCCCCAGGCATGTTTCTAAAGCCTTGCCGATGGCAGACACTGATTCTAGAACCAACGGAGAGTAGTCATCGAGTCGTGTGCTCAGGTACTGTAGCAGCGTAGCACACCATTCAACCAAGACAAAAGCGTTCGCAGGCGCTACTGCAGCATTTGAGGATTCCTTCCGAAGGAGTTGAGCGAATGCTGGGAGGTCCGTACACGGTATCGAAGGGAATACGGCTTTCGCACAGCTTTGGGCGGCGTGGCGGGATTCACGGTCGATATAGACTGGGTACGTTCTGAATAGCAGAAGTAGAACTTTCTTGTATAGCTGGGAAGGTAATTGAGAGTCTGGACGATCTTGAGATTAGCCTACAGGATGCTCGATATAATATTAAACCCTGAGGGCTGGCAAGTTAAGTACTGACCTCTGGCAAGTGTGTCTTGCAATTGATGCAGCAGCTGGCACCGCCGCGAAGTAGAGCTGGAAAACACCACCGGCTCCAGGGGAATAAGACTCCCTTTTTTCACTTCATCCCACTGTTCTTCGTCCATCTTCGTCCTAAACTGCGCATTCCGCACTCCCAGGCAAGCTGAGACTGGGGTTTTTGGTCGCCTTTGTTGTTGGCTTGAAGTCCCAAGATTCGTTTGCTCTCCGGATAATCGTTGGTGCCTTTAGTTAGGGCTTCCGCCGCCAGCTTTTTCCCCAAGGCCAGGCAAGGCAACGTAAGAGATTTATTGTTTAACTATTTATCAAACCAGGGGAAGAGAAGTCAACCCCCGTCGCTCTCTTTTACACATCTATTCGTCGCTTTTATTTGTTCCTTCGAGATTTCGCCTGTTTTTATTTACCTTCTAGCGGTTGCTGCCGCTGTTGATATCACAACTGCCCCTCTATCAATTTTCTATGACGATGAGCTTGGTCCACGATGGCGCCTAACAAAAAGAAGAAAAAAGCAGCCTCAAACCCGGCACGAGGGTTTGCTACAGTCTCTGTTCCGTCCAAGGCGAAGCCGTCGGCCTCTTCTGAGCCAGTAGAGTCCGAAGAGACTGCCCATAAACCCGAGGCGTTGGCAGAGAAACCGCCCACTGGAGATGGCCGAAACGATAAAGCCGCTGCTCAGACGGCCAACCACAAACCAGAGCTACACGAGTTGACTCCTGACGAACTTGAACGGCACCTGGAAGAAGCTGAACTGCAGACAATCGTCGACAAGCATGGCACCAAATGCAAAGGTGATGCTGCTCGCTACTCTACCAAAATGGTGGCTGAGAGACGTCTCCTGCGCCCGCAAGCGTCACAGTTGGAGAATGTCAGTGACTGGCTCTCTCCAGATCTTTTGAATAAGATACTCGAAAAAGAGAAAGTGGAAGCAAAAAAGCAGCCTGTGATTTCAAACAAATCAGCGGAATATCATGGACAGCTCGGCCACGCCACAGAAGAAAACATCTGTGTCAACTTGTGGATTCTTCAGCTTACGCTGTTAACACTTGGTTTCCAGGAGATTGATATCCATGAGGCATTGAAAGCCCTACTTCTATATGGGCCATTGGAAATAGTGTCTGGAAAGGACCCCATCCAGGCGCTTGACCTAGCCTTCTACTATCTGGCACTCTACCTGGACAAAGAGAAGCTAGCTCTGTATGACGAGAACAAACAGATAGAGGCGGTAGGTAAAGTCGTCACAGTTGGAGACGATAGTATTAGTATACTATCAGAAAGGATTGCCTCAGGATCCTCCAGCCCGGCAGGTCCGGCGCGAAGCAACACACCAAGCAAATCTACAGAGGCTACCTCTACACTGCTTTCCCGCCCACTGAGCCCAGACTCCGAAGGGGATAGCGGCATACATGACCCAGAAATGCTAATCCCCGAATTTCTAGCTCTTCGATCACGGCTCTATGAACTTGACCCATCGGTATTCAACAAAACGAAATCTAAAAAGGGTGTAAAACAAACCTCCAAACAGATCCAGGACCCAGATCAGGATCCTGCTATTACTATCATTAAACGGAAAATTGCTCGTATTGAACAGGATATCCTGTTTGACTCTCACGAGGCAGAGGAGCGCTGGGCGGGGACGCTGGAGGAACTTAGACGTACGACAGGAGAGATCCTGAGAAATACCCTTAACTTACCAGCAAGCACGCTTGGTACTCCCCGTACTGAGTCCCACGGGACTGAAGTAAAGGACGCTCGACCTGAGGAGGATGAAGGGATATTTGGTGAAATGTTTGACTCGGAGCTAAATGATACTGGGAGCCAGACGCTGTTTGGATCCCAAAACACCTCAACAAAATTGAGAGATTTTGGTAATACTGTGGGTATTAGCCCAAGAAAGGTCCTGGATGATTTTTGTCGCTCTAGGTAAGATACACACCGATTTCTTCATATGTTAGCTCTTAACTCACACTCTACTGGCAATAGGGATACAAATGTTATATTAACATACCACAAATTATCCGACAATGCTTTTTTGCATCGCAATGCAATAGAAATTTTATGGTCAAAGGACCAAGAGGTCATGTTTGAGGCGCCTCTCAAAGATATTTCATACAGAATTTCTCCTCGGTCATTGGTGATCGACATGACTGGTATCAGTGCTGCATCTGATGTACAGGCCGAATCGTATATTTCAACAGTTGCTTTATTCATAATATCCTCACATGCATGGAAGGATAATAAAGCATCTATTAAATTATCAGGAGTATGGAAGGAAGTTTGGGATGAGATATCATTGGAAAAGAAGGAACATGACGATCAAACTGATAGACAGGTAATCAAAACATTCAAGGGATACATCCAAGAATATGAGGCTCATATTGAGGAAGACGTTGTCCTTGTTCACAATTTCCGGCAGCGATATGGTACTGGAGATGTCACACCTTCCACTGAAGGTACGCCAAGGAGATATAACGCGGAGTCCTTTTCTCCTAAGCTTCAAGCACTCTGGCACAGCCGGAGTTCATCTCCCAACTTCCAAAGGATGGCAGCGGCAAGGGCCGGACTCCCAATATGGTCATTCAGGGACCAAGTAATTGATGCCCTTTCCAGTCATCAGACTATCATAATATGTGGAGAAACCGGAAGCGGGAAAAGTACTCAAATTCCTTCATTCATCCTCGAAAATGAGCTTGCAGCGGGCAAGGAGTGCAAAATTTATGTCACTGAACCCAGACGTATATCTGCAATCTCGCTGGCAAGGAGGGTCAGCGAGGAGCTCGGCGAGAACAAAAACGATATTGGGACAAATCGGTCGCTTGTTGGATATGCGATCCGGCTGGAGAGTAAATTCACAGCTTCTACACGGCTTATATTTGCGTAAGTACATTTCCTCTCATTGCTGTTGATTGATCCCCTTGCTTATCGTTTTCTTAGAACTACCGGTATTGTCATCAGGATGCTAGAGAGACCCCAGGATTTCGATAGTGTTACTCATCTGGTTTTGGATGAAGTACATGAACGTACCATTGATGGAGATTTCCTCCTAATCGTACTTCGTCGACTGCTAAGCACTCGGCGTGATCTGAAGCTGGTTCTAATGTCCGCGACTGTTGATGCCAAACGCTTCTCTGACTATCTTAATGGTGCACCGATTCTCAACATTCCGGGACGCATGTACCCCGTGGAAACAAAGTACCTAGAGGATGTCATCGAGTTAACACATTATCGACCTAACAAAGATGATTCATACACAGATGTCACCGACGACACTTCAGAGGATGAGAAGTCAGGGGCTTCTGAAGATACCACTACGTTAAAGTCCACCCTTACGAATTACAGTAGACAAACTCAGTCTACAGTTATATCATTTGACGAGTATCGCCTTAATTACAAACTCATTACCGACCTCCTTTCAAGCATTGCCAGCCGCCCGGAGCTCATTGATTACAGCAAAGCAATTCTGATATTCATGCCAGGCCTTGCTGAAATACGTCGGCTTCACGATGAAATACTCTCGATCCCGATGTTTCAGAACGGCTGGGTTGTATATAGTTTGCATTCTTCCATTGCAAGTGAAGACCAAGAAAAGGCATTCGTTGTTCCCCCGCCTGGTATGCGAAAAGTGGTAATTGCTACAAATATAGCAGAGACAGGTACGTATCAGGGCTTTGCTCAAATCCAATTGACATGATCCTAAATAGCTTGTTAGGTATCACCATCCCTGATATCACAGCTGTCATCGATACTGGCAAAGAGAAGGTTATGCGGTATGTAAAACAACCCTTTCTCCTATATAGTATACTAATAAAAATCCTAGTTTCGACGAGCGACGCCAGATATCGAAGTTGGTTGAAGTTTTTGTTGCCCGTGCAAATGCAAAGCAGCGTCGAGGTAGGGCAGGACGAGTCCAGGAAGGAATATGTTTCCACCTGTTCTCAAAATATAGACATGATAAACTTGTATGTTCTCGTGCCTATAGTTGCAAATACCTGGTACTAATTTTGAAAATACAAATAGCTTTTCGAGCAGCAAACTCCTGAAATGCTTCGTCTGTCACTCCAGGATCTTATCCTTCGAGTGAAGATATGCAATCTAGGAGATATTGAAGGCACACTATCCGAAGCAATGGATCCTCCATCTTCAAAAAATATCCGTCGCGCTATTGAATCCCTAAAGACGGTGAAAGCTCTTACTGGAACTGAGACATTAACACCACTAGGGAAGCAATTGGCTAAGCTGCCGCTGGATGTGTTCCTCGGCAAGCTCATCCTATACGGAGCCTTCTTCAAATGCGTGGATGCAGCTGTGAGCATTGCTGCAATTCTTTCTAGCAAATCGCCTTTCTTGAACGATATCAATCGTAAAAGCCAGATCGAAGCTTCACGGAAAGCATTCGAACGAGGTATTCATATTCCAACTGCTCCATAGGCAACGAAATGACTTAACTGACACTTATTTTGAAGGCAATTCTGACCTGCTTACGATTTACAACGCCTACTGTGCATGGAAAAAGCACCGAGCAGATAAGAATGAGTTCAATTTCTGCAGAAAAAATCACCTGAGCCCCCAAGCATTGCTCAACATTGAAGATGTGAAAACACAACTGCTGGTGTCCGTGGCGGATACTGGGTTACTGAAGTTAAATAATGAAGACCAATTGGCATTGAATAGGTGTGATTTTTCGTTTGGATCTGTTTAACAATGAGCAGCCTCTAACCTTGTGACAACATAGAGCAAGATACACCGGACGCAAACGACAGTTCTTCGTTGCCCCCGAACAAGTGGATATCAACAGCAGCAACGATACGATCGTCAATTCGGTGATTGCCTGGAGTTTTTACCCAAGACTTCTCACCCGTCATGATAAAGGGTGGAGAAACGTGAGCAACAACCAGTCGGTTGTTCTACATTCGGCTTCAGTAAACAAACACACGGAAAATCCGCCGAAGTGGCTCTCCTACTATCATATTATGCAGTCTCGGAACAAAAACTATAATGCACATGAGACCAGTGCAGTGGAAGAGCTTGCAATCGCGCTGTGCTGTGGAGATGTAGAATTTAAGGTGACATGATTGCCATTATTTCCAATCTAAATTTACCGAGCAAAAGTGGCTAACTCTATTTCAAGATGTACGCTGGAATCATATCTCTCGATGGCAACCGGGTTAGGTTCAGGGTGCGCGACTGGAAGACTATGCTTGCTCTCCGGGTTTTAAGCACTCGGATCAGAGAAGTCATTGCCCAGGCACTCAAGACGCCGAAGAAAGAACTCTCCGCGGATCATAGGCAGTGGCTTGGTCTATTTTTACAAGTTCTAGAGGCAAAAAAGAAACCAGACAGCTCGGAATACATAATGATGTGAGACGAGAAAAGGTTTTCGAAAAAAAAAAAAAAAAAGAAAGAAAGAAAGAAAGAAAGCAAGAAAATCTGAGTGGTCTGGCGGGATAATCTAAATGAAATGATACTCCCGAAGTGACACCTAGCTTGGCCATTTCTTTTTATTCTCATGTATGGAGTATAATTGCTAGAGTTTGATTTGCATGTCAGATATTCGGGCTTGATAGAGTGCGGTGTTCTGCTTGTCACTGCATATTTTACTCTGGCCAAAGGGGGCCGGATAGCATAACATGTTCATGCATAAAATTGGGGTTAGAAAGCAAAGCAATGCCAGTCACAGCTGCGAAGCGGTCTCAAGGCCCTGGTCAATCAAACGCTCTATCAATATTTTCCTCCTATTGGCTTCTGCTCTGGTCCATGGATGATAGCAATATGCTAGGCCAAGTCAACAAGTACATGACCCGGCCAGGAGACGAATAGAAGCAAGCGAGTTTGACGCGTTGTCTGCCCACTGTACCTCCAAGAAACATCCAACAAGCAGCTAATGTATAGCCAGGTTGGTTTCGTAGTGGCACAGCAGTGACAGGTAGGCAGGCTTGTTGGGTTGATGATAGCTGCGGGTAGCCGTGTAGGTACAACCATCTCTTCAACTCCGTGGAGCTGTGGGTGATGCCTTTCGTGTAGCCCAGGGGGAGAAAGCACGGTATGCAGAGTCATCAGATCATTGCGTATTGGTACTTTGATGGTAGTGACAATGAAGTTGTTGCTGATATGCAATTCGCAGCTGGATGACCGTGAGACCGCCACAAATTGAGGTAACTAAACTACAAACATCTGGAAATAGAACAGGAACAACGGAGCTAAGACATCGACGGGGATATTACATTTATAATCTTTCTTTAGGAGAGCCGTCCGAAATGCAACTAATTAGCCATTCGAGCTCCGGAAGCAAAACGCAACGCAGCCGGAGTAGCACAAGTAGATGTACAGGAAGAAGCAAAGTGCATGTAGAAAATGCACATCTGATCAAAGGTGACGCGGGGCTTGCCCTGCATGAATAGCTCAACAAAGAGAGAACGAAAGATTTTTTTTCAGGGTCAAAGGGTGCATAACTACTCCGTACCGAACAGCACAAAGAAAGGGGAGGATCAGTTCTGGGGGAGGCCGAATTGGTAGATGAGGCGTAGCTTGGTTAGTAAAAAGGGTGGCGAATATACCAAATTCGAAAGACACCGGACCAACGAAAAGGGGTGAAGAGGAGGAGGAGGAAGAAGATGATGGGTACAGAATGAAATAGAGAGCAGCGACCTCGCATTTACGCCGCAATTTGCTTATTCTTTCTTCCTGCTTCTCTTATCTGGTGTCCAACTTGGCTAACTATGTGTCTTGTCAAATGGGCGATTTTGACAGGTGATTCAAGTGGAATTGACCGACCACTGGGAGGAAGAACGAGTCGATCGATCCGGCGGTGATCGAGAGAGATCCTGCCTGCTGGCTCTGGGATAGCATTGGGGGTCGGCCGTGGGTTGGGCAAAGCTACGTGGCACGTCTGGGCTGTGAGATATCGCCTTATGTTTATTTTAACTCCAGCTCAACTGCAGTTTGTGTCGATATAAAATTTCCCTCCAGCAAGATTTTTTTTTATCATCTGGGCTGTATTTCCTTTTTGGCTGCGGTTTTCTTTTATTTCTTCCTCCCTTTGAACAGGTCTGAACGGCGGTATGTCGGCCGGTACAGTAGTGGTAGTAGTACTTCTGTACCTGGTACGGAAAAACAGTAGAGTAGGACATTGGCTGGTCCAAGAAGGAATGGAATACGAGAGATGTCGCGAATACAGCGAGAAGGGAAAAGGCTTCAAGGGGCAGGGAGAATTATTCTTTCCTTTCGTCCATGTGGGTGTGAGAGTAGCACAGGGTGTATACATTATCATGACATGGCTGGCATCGGTAAAGGGGGCTGGGTGGGAAGTGAAAAAAAAGGGGGTGGATTGAATAGCAATTGAAATCAGCACCGGAGTTGTCAGTCTACGGCCCCAAACAGCACAAGCAAGATGGAAGATCTGATGGGGAGGATGGAGACAAGTTCGGAGTACGTCCAGGGAAAGAGATATCAGCCTTGTAAGGATGTTGCAGGGTCCAAGGCCATTTTCCCTTCGCCGTTGGAATTGATAGCCCGTGTGACTCTGGGACCGGAATATAACCAGGGAAAGGAAAAGGAAAAAGGGTCCAGCTGCAACAGGCTGACACTGCTCGATTTCCTCAAGGTCTCGTGCAACTAACCTGCTGGGTATCAAGGGAAAGACCATGATTCGATCATGGCAGGAGAATTGATATCAAACTAAGCTGCAAAGCAGAAGGGAAAATGGAGACAGCATGGATACTTGGAAACTGAGTCAGGGTAACTAATCCTGCAATTGAGGAAGCCGACTAGCATTATATTGTCTGTAGGGAATCATATATACAGCCTGAACCGAGGGCCCAATCGGTGGTATAGGACAAAGGAAAATAAAAATCCTGGTTGCGAATACTCTGTAAACGAGGCTACTCCCTTTCTCCTCCCCCCCCCTATCCTCAACTCGCTTAATGCTGGTGATAGCTCTAGTCTTCTTCTGATTCGGGCCGAGAATAAACAAGCTGGAAAAGGCCAAGTAGGATGCGTCTCTTTCTCTGCTCTCTCTAACTACTCACCCGCTCTCTCCTGGACGGGTGAAGAAGGTATGATATGCAGCAAAATCGGCTGTACCAGGTAGGAAGATCGCCGATTGGTGAAGATGCGGAAGACGAGCACCATCAGTCGGAGATCTGCGAGCAATCGGTAGTATGGAACTGGCTTATTGGTTAAGGGGGGTACATGAATGTACGCATCAGAAAATACCCCGTGCATAATACGTACATATATATACATCCATCCTGCAACATGGTATGTATGTACGTCCGTTGAGGCAGCCCGGTGTCTGTAAGTTAATAATATGCAGCACTCCTTGCTCCGACTCCAGCAGCACGGAGGAGATTTGGTCAGGGGGAAGACACGAAAAGCAAAAAAGGGCCAGATAATCAGAAAAAGAGAGAGAGAGAGAGAGAGAGAGAGATAGAGAAAGAGAGGGCAGAGGAAGGAAAAGCAAAGAGAGGAAAAGAAAAACGCAGAGCCAGGACTGGTCAGGCCCGTGGGACAGGAGATTACGATTCGTACTGGCCTGGCCTGGCTGTCGAGCAAACGAGTCTTCCGCTGAGACTGAGACTGAGTCTGTCTTCTGTCTGCCTCTGCCTGCCTGTCTGCCTGTCTGTCTGGTACACCGGGGTGCGTTTGCAAAGCCTGAGGATATCCATCTCATCTCCCCTTTTGGGGTCTCAGGGCTCAACTCCCCAGGTCTCAAGTGGCATGTATAGTAGCGGGCGTATGCTCCTTAACCCGCAGCGAGCATCCATCCTGTTAGAAGGCCGGTGTCACGAAAAAAAGAAGACGAGATGAGTGCCTTGCATCCGTCGGGTGATATCTGGGCTCTGCCATGGCCGGACGGGTGTATTTTTCTCACGCTCGCTGGCCATCCCCGTCGCTTAGTTACCGTAACTAAGATGATATAAGGGAGGCAAAACGAGAGCTGCATGTAGGAGTGCATGAAGCGTGCTTGGTTATGTACCGGGTTGAGTGAAGATATCTGATATCTCACCCCCCTTAGCCATCCAACTCCACTGCGCGCTGTTTCGTGCTGGCTTGATATCAAAGTGTTCAGGGGCAAAGTAGATGCATCATCAGGAGTTGGTAGCAGCAGCAACTCTTCATGCATGCATCATAATCGTCTTCAGCGTTAATCATCGCCTTCATAAGCATCATCACCCTTCATAATCATAGTCATAACCATAATCATCTTCACCGCCGGGAGGTCGTCCGCTGCTCGCCACTGCAGGAGGGCTAAGCAACCAGTTCCACGGACGACGTGGAGATCACTTGGATGCGCTGTGTGTGCTCGTCTTGCTATTTCTTTTTTTTTTTTTATTCTTTTTTTTTTTTATCCTGATATTATAATGATTATTTTATCACTAGGTACTTAAGTATTATCATGATTCTTTTTTTTTCGTTCTCTATTTATTTTTATTTCAATACTCGCATATGCAACGGCGGGTGGGTGCAGCTGAAACCCGCCATGACCATCACCGCGCTCGCTTCTTTGCTTTTTCACCTTTTGCGACCATCTCTGCTTATGATCCCGACCTGATATCAGGCCGGCCAGGGAGGTACTCTCGCTATGAAGGTAAGTAGTTATGGAGTCGCTGCTGACTCGGCTCGCCTGCTCCAGTCCCGAGGACTCCGTGGTACTGACGTGCAGACTGAGATGAGACGCCTAAGAAGAGAGACGACCGAGACACCAGGCACCGGGTGAATAAATCGGCCTAGGGAGAGGAGTTGACTGCCGTCCCGATCACATCGCCTCTGCCACGGGCGCGTAAGCAGAAGAAGATCACAGCTCGTTCGTTCTCCTGCCCCGGAGTCTCCGGCCACAGAGCAGAAAAAGTACGGGGTTGCGACTGGCCCCTGGTGGAGCAGCGAATCTTCAAGAGACGACGGCGGCGGGCGAGCGAGCAGAGAGACGGCCATCTGATGTCCGGCGCGTATGCGGTGTCTGGTTGTCTGTTATGCCACGGTACGAATTTGCATTACGGCTGGTACTTTGATAACGAAGTATATACTGATATACGGAGGGACCATCTGGCCCCCAGCGAGTGACGGCCGCGACGTGGAAGTATCAAGCTCAGCCTGGGAACACAGAATACCCGCTCCACCCTCTGCTGGGATGAAGGATGTTACGGGGCAGGGAGAGGCCAGCAGACGACGGGGGACGGCGGCCAGAGGTACCAGTGACCTTGCCGGCAGGGCGTTGTTGGGCTGCGCAGCCTGGTCAAGGGTACCTTTTGCCCGAGTACTGCGTCACTCTCGCCCAGGCCAGCATATCCATCCATCGCCATCCCCCCCCCCATTATTTCCCATTTTACGATTCTCCAGCTCAACCACCAAGAAAAGGAAACGGGATGTCCAAGGACAACTGGCCAGGAGCGAGCCGGAAGGTGGGCGCCAGCAGACTGGCTATCCATCTTTCTATGGCTGGCTGGCTGCCCTTTGGCCCATTTGACTTCCGGGGGCTCTCCTCCTTTCTTTTTCCTGCGCTGCTTCCTCTGCCCTCTGCTTCGTTCGTCCTCTTATTAACTGTTCTTTTTCTTTTTTCTCATTCTCTCTCTGTCTCTTCCTGTGCTTAACTCGATGGCGTTTAGAGCTCGTTGACGTGGTCGCTTTCCCGTCCACTCGTTTTTTATGCGCCCAGCCCGCGATATCCACTTCCCACCCATCCACCGCCAGCTTTGGCTCGACGATGGCAGCAAGGTGAGCATGGCTGGTCGGTCGTTTTGGTGCCAGCTTCGACCTTTGGGGTGAAAGAGAATTCCGCGCTGCAAGTTGGCCCATCCGAACGCCGGCGCGAGAGCGAATTATCCATCCTTTATGTGCTGGTTATCGTCGTCGTCAACTATGGAGTAGCGAACGAGTCTAACTCAACTACCAGAATCTCTCTACTACTACTAATACTTCCGTTCCGGAGTATATACGGGGGCAATATTCAAGCAACATTCGACAGAGAAAAATGGCCACCTTCCCCCCCCCCCCCCCCCTCCGATAACGACTTACTGACTCGCCAAACGGAATGCTTAGGATGAGTTAATTAATAATTCACTAACTATAGCAATGAAATCCCCAACGGAGCCAGTATTCCTTCATAGGACAAAGTCGACACTAATAAACTCGCATGAACAGGCATCGTGGGGATGGTGATTTTCACATACCCTTTTTTTTGGCCGCTGTTCGCACTTCGCTCGTCACCTCTCGCCTTTTGCTTTTTTTCCCTTCTCTTTCTCTTTCTCTTTCTATCTTTCCCCCTTCTCTCTCTGTCTGCTCATCTTTTTGCTTTTCTTTTGAAAGGGACCGCCACGTAGCAGGCTGCCCGGGGGGTGGGAGGGGAGACAGGAAAAAGAGAAGGCAGAAAGATGGGATTGGGGTAAGAGGAAGCAGGACTGAGCAAAAAAGTGGACGGTCGTTTATGATCTGGACCTCTCGCGCCTGCTCGCCTATTGAACAGGTTGTTGTACTGTACTCCGGACTCCGTACCGGGGGTGCATGGCATGCGCTGGCCATGTACATCGACTTGCCTCTACATGTACTTACCGCGGTACGGAGTACATAACAAGGTCGCAAGGTAGTTTTAGGGGAGGAGGTGATGATGCTGGAGGTGCATTATTCGGCATCATGCTCATGCGGCCTTCTTCTTTTTTTTTATTTTTATTTTTATTTCCCCTTTGCTTTGCCTGCTTGAACGCACAGTCTCTGCTCACTACGGAGTACTACTACTCTCGCTCTCTCAACCTCGCTGGCTCTCCACCTGTCCGCCGCCAGCTTTGACCTCCGAAGTCTGGAGTACATATGTGCCGCCGGTGAGCCCACCATCGAGCCCACAGGAAGGCAAAAAAGCAAGCAAAGAGCAGAAAACAGTACAGAAAAAAACAAAAACAGTACAAGAAGGCAGGCAGGCAGGCAGGCAATTCTCCGCAGAGAAAGAAGCAAAAAATACACAGACGAAACGCAAAAGGAAAAAAAAAAAAAAAAGAAGAAGAAGGAAAGCAAAAGAAAAAGAAACGCAGATAGAAAAAAAAAAGGGCGATGAAGCGAGGACAAGGTTGACATCCTGGCGTATCGCTCCCGTCTTTCGCCAGGGGGGTCTTGTTGGCCCAGATAGCCTGAGCAAAAAGGAGCAACCATCGAGATGTCGGGGGAGGGCAGAAGTGGACAGATGGGAAGGACAGCAGCCGGGCGAGAGATCCCTCTCCCGGAAGCTACTGCACGTATATCCCTCCTTGTGATATATATCGGCTCCCTTATTATATCTCGATACGGAGTACTTACATACGGAGTAACCTGGCTGTGTACTTATATATACACAACTACGACTCCATAAAGAATAAAGAGTGTTATATACACACTCCTTTTTTTCCAAGCGTGGGGTAAGCGAGCACTCTGCATGGCTGTCAATGCTGGATATGCTGCGAGAAGCTCTGCTTGTCTATATCTGGATGCAGTCCGATACTTTTCATGCCTCATGCTGCATGCTTCTTCTGCTGCTGGTTGCTGCTGGTTTGCCGGTGGAACCAACCGTGACGCCCTCGACCAGCGGGGCCTCCCTCCCGGCTGCAATGCAAATCAGATCCAGAGTTCGGTGGTTTTCACCCATTTTTACCTTTTTGCTTGCTTTCTTTTTCCTTGACCTTCACTCTCGAAGGCTGTTCGTTCGTTCGTATCGTACGGCGATATGGAGAAAATACGGGACTGGAAACGTTGCTAGAGAAGTATCCCCCCTCCCCAGCCAGGTGTCCTTTTGACCTACTGCTCCTCCAGATCAGCAGATGGAGTGTGATCTGAAGGGGAGGGGGGCGACTGGCCGGGTATTTCCCACATTTAGGATTCAATATACACATCCCATAGCCTCCTCGTGAGCTGGTTGTGTTTGTAACAACGGCTAATATATGCTCGCTGTTTCCTGGTCCAAGGCTGCTAGCTAGTCAAAACTAGTTGCTTCCATGGCTCTTCCATCCACGGCTCTGGCTCCGGCTGGACAGCAAACGAAGGCCCAAGGTAGTTGAACTAGTTGGACATGGTCCCTCGATCGATGCCTGGTTTGGGATACTCGAGTACTCCGTACTACTCTTCTCTGTTGTTACAACGCACGAAACGGACTGATGGCGTTATGGGCTTGAGTTGACGAGTAAGTTAACTCGTGCTGGAGCCCCGAAGGTTCCTGCAGTCGCTTGTTAAACTCCGTGGGAGGCCCATGACCCAGACAGCAGACAGCAGACCGACAGCAGAGAGGGAGACAACCCAGAGACAGCAGACACCGAGGGTATAGTCGATGTACTGGCATACTTACAAGCATGCCTCCTATCCCCATGCCATTCATGTCCATGCTTCTGTTCATGCGTGATCAAGGTTACCGGCCTGAAGTAACTAACGGAGTATATGTACGCATACGCGATGTATGTATGCGCTCCGTATGTACAATGTACGGTGCATCAGGCTAAACTGCCGGATGGCAACATGTATGTTCCATGCAATTCATTCTCCCGCCAGGATGCAATGCTAGCTTAATTTATCCTACCTGGTCAGTGTCACTCATGCCTCTTCTTGTTCTTCCTTCTTCCCTTGACTAATAAGACTTGATATGGTTCAAGATAACTCTGGTGCTTGCTTGACCTTGCAACAATCCGTCCATCCTAAACTATCTCGTTATTGGCGGCGGATATCAACCGTCCGGCCGCGCTGTCATCGAAGCATGTCATCATCAATCAGGAGAACAGACGGGGAAGGACATGTGGGTATTATTCCTCGGAGTGGACTGACTCGTGAGAATAATGCAAATAGTTACATTATTGACTCCATCACCAAGGCCGATAGCAAGGAAAGTAATTTATATTACTTATCATTTACTCACGGCGATGTGCACTGCCCTTACTTAACGATGTCATGCTATGTAATGCCATGCCATGTAGAGCGGGCCGTGGATAGCGAAAACCTTCAGCAGGGCCTAAAAATAACAGAAACGAGCCCGGTTGGTGATGAGCAGGTTTACCATCAAGACAGTCAGTGCTTGCATTCTGCTCTGTTCGTGATAAAACGATAGACTGATGCAAGGGAAGGGATTATTGTTGGGGGAGGGAAGGGGAAGCCAAAAAAAAAGGGGGGGAGAGGGGGGGGTCTTCCTTCGTTTCAACGATGCAAGGAGACCAAACCAGCACAACCCGGAACGACCAGACACAGACTAGATAACTGAAGAATGACTGACTGGCCAGGCTAGCCCGTGATAGATGTAGCCTAAGCCCCGTTATCGGGCCTTTCGCCCTTTGCTGACCTGGCCCACGGAGCAATTAATCAAAAAGAGAAGAGACGGACTAGCTTGTTAGCTGTTATCCTAGTTTCGGTCAGGGACAGACTGAACAGGCCACTATGTATCCAGCAGGGCCAAAGCGGCAGCGACGGCGGTTTTGGATGGAATTTTTTATTAAAAAAAAAAAAAATAAGAGTAGTAATAAACGAAAGCTAACGAAACGGATGGAAGAGAAAAGAAAATAGTAGAAAATAAAAATAAAACCGAATATCTGACTGATTGATTCCGATGGGGAACGGGGGGACGGGGATCAAGAGAGCGGGCTGAGCCTTACTTATCTTATTATTATGACCTCTTGATAGGACGGAGGTGTTCATTGGCCTTCTTTTATTTGGACATCCTGGTACGGATACTACTAGCTAGTCGCTTCAACAGGGTGCTTGCCTGTAGAGACGTAGAATGGTAGGGCGTTTTGGAGGGATATAGAAGAGGCGTTCGGACTGATTCCTGTACGCACGGTGGATGATGGCATCCTGTACGGAGTAAGCATGATAACATTGAAATTGGATCGTATATGGTGGTTTCTAGTAAAATTACAGCGGAATCAACCTTGGAAAAGAGAGCTTGGGCAATTGCTCAGGCCACCAAGAGAATTGATAGTGGTAGCTGTGGCTGGCTGCAGTTGTCAATGCATTAAAGCCTTGCAAGTAAACAATCTCAACACAAAAATAATATGCACAGGAATGAAGACAGGAGTGAGTCAAACCAAGCAATCAAACCTGACCGAGTGACTGACTGATTGACTCGACTAGTTATGATCAATTGGTCGAGATGAATATGTCTTACCCTTGACAGGGAGAAGAAAGAAAGCAGGACAGGCAGGAGATCACGATTTGATAGACGGAGAAGAAGCAAAACGGTTTGTTTGATAGTTAGCTCGTTCGACAAGTGAAAAAAAAAAAAGAGAAGAGGGTTCCCTTTCCAGCAGTTTCTTTGCTTGCATTGCAGTTGCAGGACATTGCATGAGAGCGACAGACAGATGTACATACATCATGTATGTATGTACGGCGGAAACCATAATAATAATAAAGAGGCTGTCCATAAGCAGTTAGGGATGACTATCAGTAGAGAAAGAGAGAAGAGGCGTCCTTGTACGACTCTTCTCTGTACTCCAGAGGCTGTTCGGGCTGTTCCAAAATACGTCCAGCGAAAGGGCTCTCGGTCCCTTCTCCCTTTCCTCCCCCTCTAGAACATGCAAAGGAGACAAGAGACATATTCCTCTTTAGTTAAGGTCTCCAGTGGGGGGCTTTGTTCGGGATGTTTTTTTTTTTTTCTTCTCCCTTTTTCTTTTCTTTTCCCGTCGAAATTGAAAAAGAGATGAGATTACTATCTGATCGACGGTGATCTGTCTCTGATTTCGCTTGCCCTTCTTTATTCGATTAGATTAAGTTGAGATGCGATGAGCCGTGTGTTGTTGTTGTTGTGTGTGTGTGTCTGTTGAGAGCTTCCTTTTCTCCCTTGTTCGGGGGATGGTTTGCTCACGCCTCCCCCTGAACCAGCGGAACGACGAAGAATGAGGCCCCAGGGGGAGAAAAAGCAGCAAGATATGTGAGCAATTGAGGTCGTTGTAGAACCTCGAACTCAAAAAAATTTAAGGGTAAGGCACAGGAACGGAAGAGACAGACGTACATACATACATCACAGACGCACATACACCGTACATACATACTTCCGGGCCCAGGGCGATGGCGTTGGCTATCCATTCCCCCCCCTCCCCAGTGCAGAGGAAAGACGAACGCACTGGCGTACGGTATCGGGAACTGCGCATGGCTGGAACCGGTGATCCCTTCTGCCTTTCTCCCATTCGTGGGGGCCAGGGGGGGTCCTTGATATGACTTTTTTTTTTTTTTTTCTTCTCTGCTGTCAATTTTCAACGCTTCCACCTTTGCCCGGACGAACCGCACCACTAGTTAGTTTGCTAGGCTCACAGACAAAGAAGAGGAGTGCACGTATGTGTAGATCGAAGCAGAGGGCAGACAAGAGGTAGAGACGAAGGGAAAGGGGGGGGAAGAAAGAAGAAAAAGAAAGAATAAAAGGGCCCCAAAGCGAACAACGGATAGAGAAGCCAGGTTGACGGGGCGGCTGATCCCGAGGCTAGAGAAGTAAGAATAGCAGCAGCAGCAGCAGGAGAAGCAGCAGCGGAAGCAGCAGAAGCAGAGCACGGAGGGCGAACGAGTCGAGTGATGATGATGCTTGCTTCCAGAAGAACGGTGCTGCGTATCGGAGAGACAAGGATTGGGAGCAGGAGAAGGGCGTTTGCAGGGGGGGGAGGGGGGGGGGGGGGGGGTCCATCCCTCTGCGAGAGCATCACCACCACGGCGAGGAAGAAGACGAAGAAGCAGAGACAGAAAGCAGCAGAAGGAAAAAGCAACCAACCCCATGAGATGTTTGCCAGCAAATGGTATCACCAGACCGTGAAGTGTGAGTTGTGAGTTGTCCTTGATCCACCCTCGGGCCTGCTTGCTCCACGCTCCACGCACTTCTTGGAGATTTGAGGACGATGCGATTTTTGCAGACCGCAAGGAAAAGGAATGGCTGGGGGGCGAGAAGCTCAGCCAGCGAGGGCCAGTCAAGGGTCGCCGTCGCTTTTGCAAAAACCAAGGGCGTAGTAGTGGTGGTGGTGGTGAAGAGAGTGAAGCACAGGACCCGGTACGAAGTCAAGTCTGGTCTGGCACGCTGCGTGTTTTGGCGGGTTCGCGATCCACGGTACATACATCCATAGTACAGTTCCCTCTGGACGTCTTCTTGCTCGTCTTCTGCTTTTGATAGACGAAGAAGAGGAAGAAGAAGCAAAAAAGGGCCCTCCTGCTGCGCCGCGGAAGCCATCTTGATTGATCGTTGCTGAAACTCAGCGAGCACTGATGAATGTGCATGACTGGAAACCGGCTGTACTCTACACCTGGCTGGCTGTCAACGACCGACTGTATATAAGAATAGCAATATAACATGCACTTATCTCTTCCGTCTTTATAATCCTGCTTCATCATCATCATCTCATCATCATCATCAGCATCATCATCAATCATCAATCATCATAATCGTCGTCTCGTCTCTACCAAAAAGCAACCTCCCCCCTAACACCCCCCGGCCAACCAGACCAGACCAGCCAATCTGCTTGCACGACCCCCCAGCCACCCCCAGCAGCGCGAGGACGAAGAAGAGGCAGCGGAAGAGGCAGACGAAGGAGAGGCCCGCCTCTGCAAACTTGCAAAAATAAAAAAAGAAGTAAAGGTAAGCTAGTTGTCTTCGTTACGTACGGACAGACGGGCGGATCCCAAGGGTATCGAATGAATGATACGCCGTGGAAGAAGCAAAAAAAAAAAAAAGAGACGAAAAAGCAAAGAAAAGGAAAAAAAAGGCGCCAGAGAGGAAGAAGCAGAAGAGCAGCAGCAGCAGCAGCAGCAGAAGAGACAGGCAAGGGAACTAAAACAGAGACGAGGAAGAATCATAATAATAATAGATCGCAGAGAGGCAGCGGCAGCAGCAGAACCACCTCCTCCAACCCCCTGACCAGCAACTGATAGACACTGGCAGCAGCACCAGCACCAGCATCAACACCAGCAACGAGAGATAGACTGATAGACAAGAGAGTAAGAGAGAGAGAGACGACCAAACGAGATACAGAGAAAGAGGAAAAAGAAGCAAAAGAAGCGCCTAAAAGCAAAGCAAGTAATGCGATTCTCCACCAGTTGAGACTTACTTGAACTTCACCTTGCTTGCTTGCTTGCTTCTTCCACTCCCTCTTCTTCTTCTTCTTCTTCTTCTTCTTCTTCTTCTTCTTCTTCTTCTTTTCTCCTGCTATCTAGTCTCCTCCTCTTCCTCTTTATTCCTCTCCCCCCTCTGCTTTGATTCCGTTTTCCTTCTTCTCGTCTTTTTGTTGCTTGCTTCAATCAAGTCCTTGCATGGGTTGTGCTGCTGCGGCTGTTCTATTTACGAGTCCATGACCCTGTCTGTGCAGTCCTGCTTGCGTTGCTTGCTTCTGCTCTAAGAGTCGGTTTGCCTTCTCTTCTCCCTCTCTGTCCTCGTCTTCGTCTGCTCTGTCTTCCTATGCATATACATCGTCTCCCGGTGGCCTCGCTGACTCGTGTATAGATCCCGTTGGGCGTTGAGATATCCCATCTCACGCATCCACAACCACCACCACCACCATTGAAAGGAAGGAGATATATACAACAAAAAGGAGCGCCCCGGAGAAGACGAAGAAGAGTGACTTCTACGACGTTACGAGTTCACGTTAACGACTATTTACTGTCTGCCTGTCCATTTTGCTTAGATCTGTTTGCTTTGCGTTCTTTCGGGTTTGCCCATACAGCTGCAGCATAGCTTCTTTGATATCAACCTCAAAACACACACACACACCACCCGCAGCCGCACGAAGAATAGAAGGTTGAAGTGAAGAGAGTGCGAGGGAAGAAAAGGCCAATTGACAGTCGATTCCCCTGGCTAACTGCCATTACTACTCGTCTTTACCCGAACGTCCCCTTCAGTCTGAAAAGCTGGAGCTGCCGTCGATTTCCCAGGTTCACACCCGGAGCGCCGTGGATCTTCCCTGGTATAACCATCACGCCAGCGAGAGGCCGCTCTTCTCAGGCGACAAGCTGCCAGCGCTCTCCTTTGCCCCGGCCGTCTCGTCCGCCTCATCTCCATCTTCGTCCCCGTCGACCGCTGTCTCCTCCCAGCAGGACTCGGCCGTTAGCCTCTCGAGCTACTCCCAGGCCAGCTGCGAGGCCAAGAGCCCTCCCTCCATCTCTGCTGCAGACGGCGTGGGCGTCAGCGTCGGTGTAGGTGTCGGAGCAGGCGTTGGTGTCGGAGTCGGAGTCGCTGCTGGAAGCATGAACCAGACACAGCCGTATATGGATGTGCAGTCGTCGCATTTGGCCTCCTCGCAGCCGTACACCTCGCAGGGAACGCCGACAGAGAACAGCATCTCGCACTATCCGCAGTACCAGCAGCCATCGTTGCTGCAGCCGGGGCCTACCGCATATGCCCCTTCACATAGCTACCCGCCACAGTACGGCTACTCGAATGGCATCACCTCGCCCCCCAGCAACCAGCCAGTACCCAACCCCTTGAACGGTCAGGGACCAACTCAGATCCTGCCTCTCCCTCGTAAGTCAAAAGCTTCTCCCATATTATATAAACGCCCTGTTGGCTTTTTTTTTTTTTTTTTTTTTTTTTTTTTGGAGGGGGGTGTAAACATTTGAACATCGGTTAATGGTTCCAGCATTAAACTCGACGGCCCCAAACTCTCACGGTTACGTACCAAACTCCGCGAGTCAGGTCCAACATTACTCGTCTCAGACTCCATACGACACTACGGGACAGATAGCGCCGCCAGGAGTGAAGCCTCGAGTCACCGCCACGCTGTGGGAAGATGAAGGCAGCCTCTGCTTCCAGGTTGAGGCCAAGGGCGTCTGTGTTGCTCGAAGAGAGGGTCAGTCCCCAGCTCTCCAATTGAAACAGGCTAATCTAACTTTTTAATAGACAACCATATGATCAACGGTACAAAACTGTTAAACGTTGCTGGAATGACCAGAGGCAGGAGAGACGGCATTCTCAAGAGTGAAAAGATTCGACATGTTGTGAAGATAGGCCCCATGCATCTGAAGGGTGTCTGGTACGTTGAATGGTTACTGTTCTTATTCACAAGTACCCGGAATTAACATCCCCGTAGGATACCGTTTGAGCGTGCTCTTGACTTTGCCAATAAGGAGAAGATTACCGATCAGCTCTATCCGCTCTTCGTTCACGCCATTGGAAGTCTACTCTACCACCCAGTGAACGAAAACCGCGCCAATGCTATCGTTACAGCTTCGGATCGACGACGGATCGAGAGCAGCCAGCCATTGGGGCGCCCTGGACCCGGAGGACACCCTCCACCACTTCATCATCACCATTCGATGCAAAATCCAACAACTACGCATATGTCTCAGCCATCTTCACTCGCTACAATGCCGCATCCCATGCCTGGCCGTCCTCCGCTAGACCGCGCTCACACTTTTCCCACACCTCCCACCAGCGCCTCTAGTCTCGTAGGCATGCCCAATCAACCCGGATCGTACGAGTGGAACGGTCAGAATATGTCCAACGGTGTTCAGAGCTCTCAGCCACTCCCACTAGAGTCTGGAATGAATGGCACTAGATCAATGCCAACCACCCCCGCCACGACTCCACCAGGTGCAAACATGTCTGCGATGCAAGCTTACCAGGGCCAGTCTGCCTACAGTGATTCCAAAGCATACTATTCCTCAGCCCCAGCTCCGCAGTCACACTACGCCTCTCAGCAACCTGTATCTCAACAGAGCATCTCCAGCCAGGGAAACGGCCAGGTAAACGGATCGAACGGGGCTAACACCACTGAACCAGAGTCCACGGAGCAGCACCAAGGCACTGACGGCGAGTATATCAACGATTCAAATGGTAATTACAACTCCAATCGTGCTTCATACCCTGCCTACCCGTCCACCCAGGCCGTTGGGTCCATGCCCAACGAACATACGCCTCTCCCTTCTGAGATGGCCGCTCCTCCGCCTCACCAGAACGGAGCCGACAAGCGTTCCTCGGGACCCTGGCCGTCAACATATACCCCTCGATCAGGCGCCCCCAGCAGTGTCTACAGCGTAATGAGCGACACCCGCAACTCACCCGCCAACAATTCCGGCACTGCTACTTACCCAGATGCCTACTCCGCCTCGACTAGCACACCAAGCTACTCTTCATCCATGAACGGATCAAGCAAACGTTCCCGTGACGAAGACGATGTAGAAGAGATTCCTCGCTCCGACAGCCGCGGTGAAGGTTCTGTGTACGAGCACAAGCGTCGGAAAACGCTCATTGACTCTGCCTCCGGTCCGATTGTACCGGCTTCCATCAGCTTACAGAGTGTACAATCTGGCAACTTTCCAAGGCGGATCTGACAACCAAATATCCCTTTGCCAACAAATGCCCTCTGGCCGAGATGAAAAGTTAACGAATTGATGTGTCCTTGACTCGACAATGGATATAAAAAGCCCATATATAAATGTGAACTAACAAAAACAACGACAACGACAACGACAACACCCGTATCAACAATCAGCCCAACTTCACCCACTGTCCTTAAAAAGAACTAACCAATTGACATGACATGCCAACGACACGACACGACACGACTCCTCCGCGCCTTAAACGAATAACGAGCAAAATATCCCCCAAAAAACTTATAAATCAGCCCGCCCCGCGAGGCCAAAAAAATACAGAAAAAGACCCAAAATGCTGCGTTTGAAAACTTATATTCCTTTACCTTAACGACCGATTAACGAAAGCGAGTGTTTACCGCCCTGTCCATCCATGCAAATGTCCGCTGCATGCTTTTTTCCCTTTTAAGCAAATGTTGTTTTTCTCGTCAGCGCCATCGTCATCGTCAGTCAGCGAATACATCGAGTTCGTTCCAACTTTTCAGCCCGTCGACCAGTCCATCCTTTTTTTTATGGCAAAAGCGCCTGCTCTTCCTTACTCTCGGTACCCCAAGGAAATGTGCATATCCTCTTCGAACAATCCTGTTTCAAAGAATGGGAGGCATTTTTTGCTTTCCCAGTCGAATATCTCTTTTCATATCTTTTGCTGTTATCTTTGCTTCTTCTCTTCTTGCATCAGGAGTTTTTGTGATTCTTTTGATTTATCTTCTTCTACAATCGGCCATTGCAATTGTTTTCGTCTTAGGAGCGGAATACCCGACCCCTCCTACCTACCTACCTGCTTCACTCGAACCACGCCCACTCCCCGGCCCAAGCAGGGGGGCCTTTTACACTCCTGCTCTAGCAAACGTGTTACATGTGTTTTTATAAGACCCTTGAACCTGATATCCCTCCCAATTACACATCGAAATCTACTTTCCTATTCGCCTGTTCCCCACTTCCCTTCCTTCCGTGGGTTCGGAGTAATTATCTGCGTCATGTTTTACGTTGCTGGTACCTAAAGCTGAATGATTTACATGTGGTTTGATGTGTTTGACGTGACTCCCCCAAGCTAGCTGACAGCAATGGCTTTTTATTTTTATTTCCATTCACTTCTCTACAGTTCCCTTTTATACAATTCGCTGATTTGATTGATTTTTTTTTTTTTTTTTACTCGATTCCTTTGTTGCTTTTCTCTGTGCTTATTTCCCGATTACTTGCTTTATCTCTGTCTGATCGTTTGTGTCTTTGCCACATCTTTGAAATCTCCCCCAAAAAACTTTCTCCTTCTGTTGATTTTCGTTTCGTTTCTAATGACCCTGATATGACACGAATTTCCTACTTTTGCTCCTGTCCTTCTCTAGTCGGTACATTTTGGAAACTACGAGTATGACCCTAGGGATCGATCCAACAAGGGTAGCAGTAGCCAGATTATCTTATTCTTTAAATCTTAATTTCGTACTCTCTTATCCTTTCATCTCTATCCATATATCATCGTTCATCATTCATCGTCGTCGTTGAATAACACTTCGGCTTATGTAAGAAACTTCGAAGGAGGCTCATATCACGTGAGCTGCAAGTGATCCTTGCTTCCCGTGGCGCTAAGCTTTTTTCGGACAATAAACAACTCGCAGTCTTCGACTCGATATCAAAAAGGACCAGAAGAGGCCGGGGGGGGTTAAGAGGAGAAGTCCTTGCAAAAAAGCTCATTACATCAACAACTTGCATGCAGTATGCCCAACAAGGATACCAAACAAACCCCCTCCCTACGCCAAATACTCACAACGCCATCCAACGCCGCACTCGAAACGTTCGACGCCTGGAACACCGTCTCAACAGGCCACCAACGCGCAGAAGTGAAGCAATCCAATTCCTCCGGCTGGACCCAGGTACGCAGCCAGAAACTATCTGCTCAATATGGCCGTAATCCCAAAGCCTTCCATGGTGAGTGGGCATGGCTCGACAAGCAAGGGCGGAAGAAACTCGGTCAACTGAATGCTGGGAACGGGGATATACGTCGTTTCATGAGCACGGGCAAAAGGAGGGCTGGGGATGAAGTCAATGGAAAGTCCGAAGTGACCAAGCGCTTGAAGTTGATGCAGGGACAGCAGCATGAACATAGCCATGAGCATGGACAAGTGGCTGGTGATGATCTGCCGGTAATGAGCTTGGAGCAAAGCAGGGGGGCGGTATGCTTCGATGAACGGTATGATCGTACGAGTAAGTTTTTTGAAACAGCCACAATGCACTGTTTCCCCGTGCCCTTCATTAAACAGCAAGGTGGGAACTAACTAACTAAAACTACACGGATGATTCAGGTATGAATTATTATAAGAGTTACAAAATTAATGATGATACCCATGCAAACAAGGATAAGCGTATATTCGCTAACCTGACGATATATATCAATGGTTCCACCATGCCACTGATATCAGACCATAAGTTGAAAAATATGCTGGTAGATCATGGAGCGAAAATATCAATTGGCCTTGCCAGGCGGAGTGTGACGCACGTCATCCTCGGTTATCCAAATGGGGCGGGTGAGGTCGAGAGTGGCGGTGCAGGTAAGGATTCCGGGAATTCGCAGCCCGGGGCCGGTGGAGGACTTGCAGCCGGGAAAATGCAGCAAGAGATAAGCCGTGTTAGCGGCATGGGGGTTAAATTCGTTGGGGTTGAGTGGCGAGTATTTCCTTTACTTGGCTTATTGCATTGTTTCGTGGATTAAGTATTCGCCTGCTGACGTTTATTTGATTATCAGGGTACTCGAGAGTATCAAGGCCGGCTGCAGGTTGCCCGAAGCGAAATTCGCTAACGTACATCTTGCATCGAAAAAGCAGAGAAGTGTACTAGATTTCATGATCAAATAGACTCGAAATTTATCTATGTACTATGTATGCATCGTTCTTTCTTTGGTTTTAGCAATTGGCCAATCCGTTCGATCGTTGCGTGGCCCGAACACATCGCCGCCCGAGAGACATTATCATCGTCATTATCATTAGTTATTCAGCCAGCCAGCCACCCACGCAGACAAGCAAGACAATAAACGCAACCCAAAAATGGTCGAAGTTGCAAATATCAATCAAGGTAGACAAAACTCAAGTCATCCCATCAACAATGGTAGCATGCAAACATGAATAACAAAAATGATTAACGGTGTTTTTTTTCTCTTCTCTTTTCCCCACTGGATTGTATGTGTCCAGGGAAAGATAAGACAGAGAGAGAGAGAGGCAAGCAAAGCAAAGCAAAGCAGAAGTAAAGCAAATGCATGCATTAAAAGGCCCAGATTGCTGATGTTCCTTAGCAAGGCAGGCAAAATATAAACAAGTAAGATGACAACAGCAGCAGCAACGGCAGAGGAAGAAAAAAAAAAAGAGAGAAGTAATAAATCCACAAATAACAAAGACCAGAGGCCGCGCCGAGCCGTGCATTGATGGCTTTCCCTATATACTCCGTATATTGTGCAAGGTAAATATGTGATAAACGAATGGGGCAAACTGTGCAGCAAGTTGGCCGTTGTCGAAAGAACAGCCAGTCATGAAAGTGTTGCGAGCGAGCAACAGTATATTAAAACAAGTTAACGCCGGTAAAGAAGACGCGGGTTGGTCTATCGATGCAACCAGAATCGAAAGGAATGCAATTTATTCTTCGTCAATGTGGTGGTGATAGTATTTTTCATTTCTTGCTCGGATTTTTGTCGTCCTTTTTGGCATCTTTGGAATCGCCACGGGAACTGTCATAGCTTTGTCTAACGTTCCCTCTTCGTTCCTTACGGCCTCTCCTAGCTTCCTCGGGGGATGAAGTCATTGCTGAATGCGGGAATGTTGAAGGATCAAACTTGGGGAATGAACATGTTGAATCTGATGGACCAATGTCTCGATGGTCTTGCTCGGATGTTCCAGTTAATGGACGGGTGAGTTCTTCGGTGTGCTGGGCGGACTGAGACTGGGATTGAGATGGCGAAGGAGTACTGGAAGATTCACCAGCCGAAGAAGACGAGGCGGAAAGGACATGGCGGAGGGACTCTGAGGAGTTTCCGTGAGAGTGTCGGGTGATCTTTTCTGGACGAGAAGGAGCTTTGGCCTGTGGTGAAGGGGACCGGGTCTTGCCCTTATCCCCCGAGGAGAGGCCGAGGGCTTCTTCCTCTGTAGTGGTAGGCTTGGAGCTACTGCTGGAGTGGGCGTGGTGGGATATAAAGTGAGGAAGATGTAAGTGTGGTGTCTTTGTAGGGGTTGTCAGGCGCTCTGCCGGCGGAGCGGACGAAGAGTTGCGTCGGAAGACGTTGAAGGAGAACTGTCGATGGGCTCTATGTGCAGGAGGCGTTGGAGGAGGACTGGTAGACTCTGCTTTTTCCTTGGAATCGCCGTTACCGTTGGCGTTGGAGCTGTCGTTGCTGCCGTCAAAGAGAGGTGCTTTCTCTTCCCTTCTTGACTTTTCGTTGATCACAGAGTCAATAGTCTCACTGCGTGGACGACGGATGGCCTTGTTGTACTGGAACGCCTGGAGCAGCTCATGACGAGTGAAAGGGTCAGATTCAGAGGGCCGCTCAGGCATCGACTTGGGAGAGTCGAGACGGCCGTCCTTTTCCATCGGCTGGGGAGATATGGTTCCACTAGGCCGCCAGTAGGGGTGTAAAGCAGTCGAAGCACGCTTGCGAATGCTGCCAATGAGAGAGCCGTCGAGACCTTCTCGAGGAGTCCTGACTTCGGGTTCAGAGTAGTCTGGGAAACGAGACATGCCCAGTGGAGGATGCTGGACCCTACGGCGGGGACTGGTAGCAGGTACACCGTTGACCAAAGTAGTCCGTCGTCTGCGCAGGCCGTCCCACTCGATGATTTCGTTTTCACCAACGGGCTCGAGCTCATCAAGTCTCTGGTCCATATGGAAGCGTCTGATTTCCTCTTGTTCCATCTTCTGACGGGGGGTCGAGATACGGCGGATGATGGCAGCGGTTCCTCTGATGGCATCGGCTTTGGGTTCCAGCTCTCCTTCTTCCTGCTCGGCAACCTCACGGACCTGGTCGAGATCACCCTTGAATACGGCGGCATCGGGGACATCCTTGGCTGATTTGGACAGCTGGAGGAGGACGACGCCAGTACAGATCTGGAGGAAGCCCATGACGACTGTGGTGATGCTGATAACGGTACCCTTGAAACCCTGGAACAGGACGGCCGATGTGACGATACAGGCACTGGTGAAGATGACGTAGTATGTAGGGGTAACCATGGCCGCATTGAAGAGATTAAGTGCTTTCTGCTTGACGTTAGCTGAAACAGCCATAATGAAAACGGTAGGTAGCGGGAAATGAAAGAATGTGTGAGGAGCGGGAAAGCAAGAGGGAGTGTCCGACATACGTTTAGATAGATGATCTCAGTGAGCAGTGTCGCAACAATGAAGACTAGGAGGACCCAGAGAAACCACTCCTTGAACTGGGGGGTGCCCATGATCTGAGCAATGATGGCTGCTCCGAGCCCCTGAGTAGCAACGACGCTGAGGCCGCCCGTCAAACTGCAGATGGTCAGATAGACGAACATGCTCTTCTTGCCGTACCGGGGACCTGCCCAGATGGCCAGAAAGGCAGAGACGACTATGATGACGCCGGCAAAGGAGAGAAAGCCAGGTGTGATAACGTAGTGCCGCATGTCCTGAATGTTGGCCACGGACGACTGCGTAGGAGCGTTCATGGCGATGATAACCGAGCCGATAATGCAATTGACGCAGCCAACTTTGCCCACGAAACTGAGCCGCTCCTTGAGGAAGATTGCAGACAGGATAGTAGTCACGACGACGGACAGGGCGCCCAGGGGAGTGACGAGGATGGCATCGACGAAGGCGTAGGCGACGAAGTTGCAGAGTTCTCCGAGGATCATCAGCGTCATGCCCGCCCACCAGTAGAAGTTCTTGAGGTATCCGTAGCCCTCGCCGGCCTCCTCATTGTACTTGACGTTCGCCTTGAGCAGGCCGACCTTCTTCAGCACGAAGGAGATGCCGATGAAGAGGCCGGAGCAGACGGCGAGGGTGATGCCCACGGCCTTGAACGCTGGCGGGCGCGAGCTGGGTGAGCCCAGGGGGCTGCCGCCGGAGCGAGCGGCCAGGACGGCCTCATCGAACATGCTCCGTGGTGTCAACGTGAGTCTGATATCTGTGGTGAGTCCGTCCGGCTGTCTTTCTGGGCCGTCTGTCGGTGTCTACTCTGGCGTTGTTATGGCGATGTTGTTTATGTTGACGTTTAGCCGCCAAAGGAATCGAGGTGTGGCTGGTCGGTGGTCGGGGCCAGAGGTACCAGACGGGGAGTACCAGCAGCCAGGGACCAGGGACCAGAGACCAGAGAAGCCGGAGGAGACGACGGTCGAGAGGCGATGCTGCTGCCGTCAGGTCAGTCGCAGCGGTTCAGAGATCCAGTCGACGGTCAGTCGTCCGTCCGAGAAGCAGACGGAGAGTTGAGGGCGAGGAGGTCGAGGTTGAATAGCGAGAGAGAGAGAGAGAAAACTGAGTGATTGACGGCCAGGGGGGTGGAAGGGGGCGAAAAGTGGAGAGCGAGGGCGAAGTGGCTGGTTTAGCGGGTTAGTTAAAGCCAGTTAAAGCCAGTTAAAGGCTAGTTAAGGACTTGGTCGACGGTTAGTTAAAGGTTAGTTAAAGAGGCCTGGAGTTAGTTAAAGAGTTAGCTGGCGGCTTTTAAGTAAAGAGGAGAGTCAGGGGCTTACTAAGGCTTGCTTGGGCGCAGATGACGTCGACGCCACGCAGAAAAAGGCGCAGGCAGGGACGAAGCAGGCAGACAGACAGACAGCGAGATGGACAGGGAGAAGCAGAGTAAGATAGACTGTAAGACGGAGCAGATGAAGATGGTACGGAGTAGATGGTGAGAAGAGATCTCGTATTATAAGTAGCACAAGACAGGTTTGACCTGCAGGACCAAGAGACGGACCCGATGCCAGCCAACGAAGACGGCACGAACTCAAGGAAGACAAGGAAGAGCAGGCGAGCCAATGACTAGCAGTAGAAGTTGACATAGAAGAAGTCGTAGAAGAAGTACGGAGTAGAAGTAGAAGGAATAGTAGTAGTGGTAGTGGCAGGAGTTTGATAGAGAGACATGGCTGACAAGATATTATTAGATATAGATATAGACATGACAACATGACAGGCATAGACAGACATGTACCAAGGAGATGCATAGCTCGTTACCTTTTTTGCCTTTTTTGCTTTTCTTTAACTAGAGTTGTAGGTAGGCTTCCGCGTGCGGTTGACCGGTGGCGGACCATCGTCTGGGTACGGTAGCTTGTACTTCCGCGGCGGGCCCACGATAGAGACTGGCCTGTCTGGGTTGCGCGGCGGCAACGAGGGCATCGACACTGCGCCCATGGTGACGTCCTCGCTGCTGACAGGATACGGGATGGGTGTCTTGGGTGGTAAAGGCGGTGGTGGTCCTGTCGGCGGTGGTCCTGCAGGGCCTGAGTGAGCGTCCAGACTGCTCGCTCGGGTCGAGTCGATGGACGACGAGGGCTGATGTTGACTGTGGCTATCCTGACTGCGTCGCGCTGGCGAGATAGGGAGCACCTCTGAGCTGCGGCGGCCGGCAGACGCAGGGACAGGCTCTGGTAGGTCTCGTCCGTCATCGTTACCGGGCAGGACGGCGAACTTGTCGTCGTACGAACTGAAGCTGATGGCCGTCGAGCTCTGTGACGTACCTGGCCGATGATGACTCTGGTTCTGGCTCTGGATTGGAGTCCGGTTCTGCTGGAGATGCTCTTCGGCCGGCAGCTCGACGGCAGGCAGCTCGAAGACGTTCTCGTCGACAGCTTCTTCTCTATACTTCAGTGGTGGGATTGGGGGCACCGGCTGGTTCTTACGCTCCTCCAGGGCCTCGTTTGTTGCTGCCAACGGTACCCCCGACCTCCCTTCTAACCTCTTGTGCATTCGGTCGACTCGAGCCAGCCTCACAGCGGCATCGTAGTTCATCCGTTGCACCTCATTCTTCGCCAGGTACATGCGTGTGTTTGTGCTGATTTCCGCCAGCCGGCTCCATTCGTTCATCCCAAACTCGCCCACGCCAACCTCGACGTTGAACCGGTAGTACACCTCTCGGGGCACGTTGCGTTTGACCAGATGGTCCTTCACCATAAACTGGTGCGTCGCCTCACAGCCCTCGATCTTCGCTATCAGCCGTCGTCGTGCCTCTGCAAAGTTGCCTAGCGAATCCCGGAAGACATCCTCCCACCACTCGTGCGGCGGTGATGTCGCGCCCTGCGGCCGTTTGCCTGTCCCAATACTAATAAACGCCCCAACCTCTCGCCCGGGCCACTCGTTTACTACGGCTTCGTCCAGTATCTGCGGGCTGGGGTTGTATTTGCCGGCCCCTTCGTCCAGGAAGATGTGTTGGCCGATTTGGATGGGCTTGAAGGCCAGTCCCGTGGCAGCAGTCGCACGTCCAGCCTGCCAGATCGTGCAGTTGAACTCCGGCGGTGGTTCTCGCCGTGAGTCATAGGACCGTAGGAGTATTGATGTCCCGGTCTTTGGTGTCCCCTTATACACAGCCGTTACAGCGCTGCAGAAAGTTAGCTATGCAATATACCGATTGTAAACATCAAGGAATACCTACGTCTTGGTGCGGTTCTCCCGGTTGTCGTAGAGCTTCGCATTTGGATCCCCCCATACCTGGCCCCCGCCCACCGTCAGCGTCTGGCTGGTCACCGGTGACGTAGGCACAGACGTATTCGTCGTACTGACACTCGACCGGCTCAACCGTCGCTGCAGTGTCGCCGTTGACGCACTCCGCATAAAGGGATTTGCACTCGTCGCCGTTGTCCCGTCGTTCCCCTCTTCTTCATCCACTGTATGATCCCGCACACACTGCTTTATCGCATCCTCCAGTTTCGACGCCTTGAACAGCGTCGTCCGGTACGGTATACCGGCTATTGTCTTGTCTGTCTCAAACACCCGCCGGGTCATCCGGATATACACCTCTTTGCAGGTTTCGATGTCCATGCGCAGCCGGCCCAGCATTAAGGCAATCAGTCCGCCGGTGCCCGTACCGGCTATCAGGTCGAAATGTTCGCATGGTTTGGGAATCTGGTCGCGGCGGGGGGCCTTTCCTTCGCATTCAACGTAGGTCCGGTACATCAACTCTTGCAATATGATAAGCATAGAATATCCTCTCACTCCACCGCCATCTACCTCCCGTTAGCCTATATATTCCCTATATCCCTTTATGAAGCTGAAAATAAAAATGAAAGCTTACCCAGTGAGAGTATTCGTAAAGGAGGTCCTTTGGTGGTGTCCTTCCGACGCAGGCCAGCGGAGGACTCCATGGCTACTGGTCGCCGGCGCAAATAGCACGGCGCGCTCTCCTGACCGTCTGTCTCAACCAGCAGTCAGCAAGAGGAATGCGCACTGCCTTTTAGAACGTCTCCCTTCGGCCTTTGGGGTGTGATAAAAAATATATATATATTAAATGTGGATTTCGCCGCTGCCTTGCTTGTCTCAGTCTTGGGATCCCTCGGAAGCTGCGCGCAAGATGCAGCGTCTTCAGAACAGGTTCTAGCTGGTTGTCGGTCAGAAGGCGAGAGTCGCGGGTCGTCCTCAAGACGGTTTACGGTCGTTTGGAGCAAGTGAGATAGCGTTGGGGCGGGCTGAAGAGGGTGGTAAGCGTGAGGCAGTTCGGGTACAAAAACGCGGCCTCTCAGCTGGCGAAGTCTCAGATGTTTTTTTTTGTTTGTGGCGACAGAGCCAAGCAAGGGATGACGTCGGTATCCGAAGCGAAGATGGAGACGACGAGAAGAGGAAGCTGAAGCGTTGGCGATGATGCCAGAGTCGAGTCGCAGTCTGGATGATGCCGGTGGAGGTGATGTCGCTGGTGCAGATGTTGGAAGTTGACCTGACGGCGGGACTGACTAACCGACGGCTTGACTAGTTAGTGAGTTAGTTGCAACTTGACAGCCCAGAAGTGGGATTGTTCTCGCCCGGCGGTCGCACAGCCGGCTGAGGGCGCCGTCAGCAGGTGGTACAGATCACGCCGCGGTGGACTACGAAGAAGCCAGGGAGTACGGAGTAATATAATACTCATGAGGCGACGAAGATGCAGACAGCAAGGCAGAGCTGTTGGTTTATTACTATTTAATATGGAGAATATAGATGGGTCTGGTTCAGGGCAGCCGTCTCTGCCGGCGGCCATAAGCATAAATTCATTGCCACAGGATATCATAGAAGAACAGGGGAACAAATGAGAAGTGCAAACAAGCCTGCTAAGGAAACAGAGAAATATTAACATTATATGTAGGACCCCCGGGGTCATCGTATTGGTCGTTTCCAGGATGCGTCGCTCGTAATCATCTCCAAAATGTCAGCAGCTTGCCGATATACCGCGGCACAATCAAGGGGTCGTTCAGTAGCGGCGCCTTGTCGCCTCCCAGCTTTGGCATCTTCTTTAGTATACCTGCCTTGTGCATCTTCTCGACGGTGCGATGCAGCGTTGCTTCGGTCGGGATGTCTCTGTGAGCACCGCAGTTGGGAGGCCAGTACCGAGGCTTCCACTCGTGGTTTTCCAGCTCGAGACGAGTGAAGATTGGCAGCAGTTCTGGTTATTCAGTCAGTCATTCGATACTTATATATACGGAAGTAAAAAGGAGAAGCGAGGAAGAGCGTACCCATGAACCACCAGATGATGGTCATATGCCACTCGGCGCCGCGACCGATGATGAGAGAGTCATGGTGTCTGAAGTGGCTCACTTCAGCCTCAGGCACAACCCCTGAGGCACCAGCAACCCTGGGTTCACCCTCACTGTCGAGGATAGCCTCGATGGTCTTGAGCCGGTTCAAGGCTTCGGGGTGCTGATCGTCAAAGGTCAAGGGCCCGGCTGGAGCATCTGTGACAGACAGGGCTTCCTCCAGCATCCAGGCCAGGGGAATATCAGACAAAAGGAAGCGGGCATTGTTCTCATAGGCAAAACCACCGCCGACATCAGAGTGGTTACCCGCAAACCACACCTCCTTGACTGAAGCTTCTCTGTCCTCTGATTCAAAGGTGAAAAGGGCTGGCTTGAACTTGAGACGTCGCTCGTGGATTGACAAAGCATGGCGGACATGTTTCGCCGGTGACTGTTTTTTTCGTTTGTTAATATTACACATGCTACTATCAAACAAAAGGATGGTAGTAAGAACTTACTGGAGCGCAGTATCTGTATTCCCTGCGGGAGAACGGAATTTCAAGAGTTGAGACGCTGTTGACGCAGTCGAACAGGCCCAAGAAGAAGATGCAGACCTCCTTACGGCAGAAAGTCACCTTCAGCTTCTGCAGGTAATCCTCCACCTCAATATCCTTGGGCTTTTTATTCGCCTTTCCCCGAATGGTTTGCCACTTGCTGAACGCCCCGTACACGAATCGAATCATGTCCTCGTTACCCATGGAAAGTAAGCCGACATGTTCGATCATCTCGGCCAGGAAACGGGCCGTGTAGGCACCTCGCGAAAAGCCGAAGATATATATGTCATCTCCGGGTTTGTAGTAACGCATCAAGAACCGGTATCCGCTGGAAACATGGTATTCAAAAGATGTGCCTATCGCTTTGTCGATGATTTCACTGATCTTAGAGCGCATGCGTCCGAATATGGTTATGCTGCTGGACATGTTCACATTGAATGTTCCAATGCCGGCTATAGCTCGTTAGCAACAGGGATGATATTAACATGGTATTAGGGTTAAACCCACGTTGATAGTAGTGGAACTGCCGCTTGTCGTGTCTATCTAGCATCTGATAGAGCTTTACAACATTGGAGTCCGATTCATTGCCCTTGAAGTGATTACCGGTGCCATCAAAGCAGAGCACCAGACGGCGGCCAAGTTTCTTGACTTCTGGCGTCTCCGTCGCTTCATCAACAGTATCCATCTTGATAATTTCTGTCCCGGCTATACACCTGCAGCTGTCAGTGTGTTTGGTATCATAAATCAACACAAGCGGATGGATTGACGGATATATATATGCCCTTAGAGAGCAAAACCTCCAGCTGGATTAGGATAGCGGCCACCATCCGCCTTGCGTCCAGTCCAGGGCTTCTCAGCCGCTGCGAGAGAAAAAAAAATAAAAAACGAGAGATCAGACATAACTAAGGCTTCAGCTTGCAGCGCAACCTCACTCCTAGCTGCTGAAGAAAGCCGGGGTTGCCTACCCACCACAATCTGCAGCTGGTATCTCGCATCTTCAACCAATAGACATGGGCCCAAAGGATGGCTGCTCAAGCCAGTGGCCTATCTTTTCGTCAACAGGTGGTAGTGTGACAACAATTTTATCTTACAAGGCTGGCTAATCACCATGCAATTCGGTACACTGTCTGCCTCTGCCCCCCAGTTCAGCTTCCGCAAGCCACACCGTCGGGGGAGTCCCTGGCCAGCGAATTAGAGCTGATATCTATCCGATGGAAGCTGCAGGATTGGGGGGAATAATGGTTCGTCCTCAATTTCTAGATCATGGTTGCTTTTTGCTTAGCATTCGGAGGAAAGGAGGGGCCGGGGGAGCCATCACATCTGTCTGGTCTCTCGGTCCATTCATCAGTGTCTTCATGAAACTCGGCATATCTTCATCCTGTTGTTCTTCACCTTCTCTCCATCCGACCAACTAGTTGATGAAAGTGGTCAGACAGATGGGGCCAAGAGGGTGGTTCTTAGGGGGCGCCGAACCTAGTTCCCTGTTCATAGTAGGCTTAATCATATATAAATATCACAAAGCCCCTGTAGGGAACCTCACCACTTCCCACTTCTGTTGATCCCTTAAATGTTCCCTTGACCTGTCACCGCTGGTGTTGAGTCAAATGGTAGTGGTTTGTCGGCTTTCTGTCAATCTTTAACATTGCTTTTCTTTCACACCTCCTCCTTTTCCCTCGGCATACGTTAGATCGTCACTCACTCTTGCTCAGTCGAATTCTGCCAAAGTAACTGTATCATTCATTCAATGGAAGGAATGCAGGAAGAAGTTATAAGCTCTTGGTTATGTCGATATTGACAGCAACTTGACGTTACATAGTCGTGGGTTCGCTAGTTTTCGTCGTGGGGGTCGCAAGGCGAGTTCTCTGTACAGCCAAACCAAAAGCTGCAAATAATTGGGCATCATCTCCGATGGAGTCGGCCTGGCCTATTGTTACCACAGGTTATTCAAGCCGTGATGACTGGAGTCAGTTCCCAAACTTGTTATTTGATCTACCGAGGTGAGGTTCGTAGATTCATTGAGCAGGCTTGTCTTTACTCCAATACACTGCCATTTCACAGGCGGCCCTGGGGTTTATGTTTGGCGAAGAAAAGAGATGAAAGATAAGCTTTGATAGTCTTCAGCCTATACAGCCGCGATGGCAAAGGCTTAATCATAGAAGAGGTCTGTAAATCCTAAATAATGCTACAAATGCTGCACCTGAAGTGGTCTTGTTTATCGTAAATTCTTTATTCTGAAGTCCTTGCAAGTGATTATATAAGCTATGCCAATATATATAGATGACTAATCTCAGCCTTTTTTTCGAGCCTCCGAAACTCTAATTTACTTCTATTTTTGCTTCTTCAAACTCCGACTTTAGACATTCGCAATTCATGCAGTCAACCACTTCGGATGAGCAAGATATATCACGAGAGCTACCATATCCAATATTAGGTGATTCTGCGTTCTATATTGATGAATTACTCCAAGTTGGTATCAACGCCTTTTCTATATCGAGTGCGATAAAATCGCACAACTTAATTGTCATGAGATCCACTTATAATGCCCGGGTACAGTATAGTCCTCCTAATATGGAAAGGTATATATGTTAGTGCGCGTAAATATAATGGGGCCCGCCTTGCCGCTTTAACCGCCGGGACCCCAGATCGATATCCACGCCCTTCCAACTTTCCTTTGTTCGCTTCATACTCCGCCCAGATGGATCTGTTATATAGATAAGTGGCCGGTATAAAATGACTCGGGAGATGCCAGGCTGAAGGCTTTGAACTTTCATCCTCATTCTCTTGCTGCTGCGGCTCGAAGGATTTTAATTATCCAACTGCTGCGCAGGCGGTTAACGTTATCAGGATGCAAGTCTCACAGGTACGTACGTGCATGCCTCTGTAACTACATTAGCATATGTGGTTGGAACTACCTCTCTGACAGCCAGAGCAACAAGTAGATATATGTTTACCCTATCAAGTCGATGCGTCCTACGACGCTGAACTCGGCGAAATTGACTTGCGATGGCCTGCCCTACGACAGAACCTTTATGCTGCTGAAAGTTAAACCAGACGGCCAACTGCAGAATATGCACATCGACAAGTTCCCACAACTATCTCTATTTTTGACTGATATTGAGTTCCCAGCCTCAACAGATCAGACGAATGGAGGAAAAGTCAACGGGAACGCCAAGGATGGGAAAGGCTGGATAACAGTGACATACAAGAACTCATCCAGTCCACACCCCGAGTCTGGGGTTGGAAATACGCTCCGCATACCCCTGGAGCCAGTGACGAGTAATCTCAAACAATTCGAGGTGATGATGCATCGTAGTCCGACAACGGCATATGACATGGGGGTCGAGTATAATAGTTGGTTCTCAGCCTGGCTAGGTTTCAAGGTGGTATTTGCGTATATTGGTGAACATCGAAGATTAGCTTTGGGCAACTTTGCCTCGCCCGGTATGAATGGTGGATGGATGTCGACTATCTCCAGCATGATACCCGTACCTATACCTGGCCTGGCGGGAACAAAAGATGCGTCAAAGGTACTTACGTTCGCGGATATGGCACCTTATCTCGTTGTGTCACAGACGTCCGTTGACGATGTATCTTCTCGCCTACCACCGGGGGAACCGATGGATGTGACTAAATTCAGACCCAACATTGTGCTGGCTGGCGCTCGAACGGCATTTGAGGAGGATTATTGGGCTGAATTGATTATTGGAGAGGGTGTGAAGGTGCAGCTTAGGAATAACTGTGTGCGTTGCGTGAGTGTTAATGTTGACTTTGATACCGGGGCGCCGCATAAGGGGGAGGCGGGTACAGTTCTTAAGAAGCTGATGAAGGATAGACGGGTTGATAAGGGGGCAAAGTATAGTCCTGTTTTTGGACGGTATGGATTCCTGCATCGGGAAGAAGGGGGCGGCGAGGCGGTTATTCGAGTTGGTGATGCGGTAAAGGTGTCCAAGGTTAATGCTGAGCGTACTACTCTGGGTGAGTTTCCTGTCTACTCCTATAAGAACAGTGGATATAGCTAACATAGCGCATGCAGAATGGCCTGGCATGACGAATTAATGATATACATAAGTTCTGTTTGTTTATGTTTATACCTTGGATACAGAATAAATCAGAGTAGGTGTCATCCTTATGGTTCTAGTGGATGACGATACGAGGGATATCATTCAAAGGTGGAAATAACACAACTCTCGCAGTATTGAAACAGCCAAGCAAGTGTTGAAATACATAACATAATATATAAGAAGAGTAACAAAGGGGAAAGGGGGGAGAAAATAAAAGCAAAAGGGGGATATTCTTTTAATGCTCATGATTCGTTGAAGAATGATAAACAGGCTACTCACCACCCACGGGCCTGCCGCTTACTCGGCATCGGTCCATGGCAGACTGAATGTTCCAACCCAGTCCTCAACTTCCTGCCTGAGCTGCACAATCTCCGAAACCTCCTCACCTTCGCCCAAGAAGTCATGGAAAGCCTTGAGACTGCCGGGGTTCTTACGCTTGTTCTCCTCGGCATGAGCACGAGCAGCCTTGTCAAGCTTCTGGGTAATAGTGACGGCCCGATCAACGATATCAGCTACACGAGCAAAGTCCTCTTCGGCGAAACCGCGGGATGTCATGGCGGGAGTGCCCATGCGGAGACCGCCAGGTTTAAGAGCGGATTTGTCTCCTGGCACAGTGTTCTTGTTACTTGCGACACCGCAGAGCTCGAGAACACGTTCGACACGAGCGCCATCGACGCCTCTGTTCTTAAGGTCGACGAGAACAAGGTGATTGTCTGTGCCGCCGGAGACGATGTTGTAACCTAGACCGCCGGCGGAGGTGGGGTTGCCGAGTCTGGCGGCGAGAGCTTGGGCGTTGCGGAGGACGTTGGTCTGGTATTCTTTGAAGGCGGGGGATTGGGCTTGCTTGAGAGCCACGGCGAGGGCGGTGATGGTGTGGTTGTGTGGACCGCCCTGGTGGCCTGGGAAGACGGAGGCATTGATGGGGTTCTCGAGGTCGTAGAGCTCCTTGTTGCCCTTGGAGTCGGTGCGGCGGAGGCCCTTACGGAAGAAGATCATGGCGCCACGGGGGCCGCGGAGGGATTTGTGAGTGGTAGTGGTTACAATGTCGGCGTGGGCGAAGGGGGAGGGGATGACGGAGGCGGCGACCAGGCCTGAGATATGGGCCATGTCTGCGAGGAGGTAGGCATTGACGCTGTCTGCGATCTGGCGCATGCGAGGGTAGTCAATTAGTCTACTGTAGGCAGAGGTTCCTGCGACAATCAGCTTGGGGCGGTAGACAAGGGCGAGCTCGGCGAGCTTGTCGTAGTCGATGAGGCCGGTGGATTCATCGAGGCGGTAAGGGACGGTCTCGAAATACTTTGAGATGGCGGAGATCTTCTTGGTGGGCGTCTGGTATCCGTGAGAGAGATGGCCACCGTGGGGGAGGTCAAGGCCCATGAGACGGTCGTGGACATTGAGCACGGCCGAGTAGGCACAGAGGTTTGCCGGAGAGCCGGAGAGGGCTGTTGCGTGTTAGAGTGATTTTGCTTGTATATTAATAGCCCGGAGAAAGAGGATTGACCTACCCTGGACATTGACACCCCATTCTTCGGTGTTCAAGGAGAATGTCTGAAGGGCTCGTTCCTGGCAAAGGCGTTCGGCCTGGTCGATAAACTCGTTGCCGCCGTAGTATCTTGCTCCGGGGTAACCCTCCGAGTACTTATCTGTGCCGAGGTCAGGCCACCGGTCATCAAAACAACACACAAGAAGAAGGCCGCGACTATGAACGGCGACGGCCAAGTATAGTTGTACTAACTCTGCATAACACTGCCTAGGGCATCGAGAACTGCCTGGCTGGTGAAGTTCTCTGACGGGATGAGGTTGATGAAGTGCTTCTGACGGCGTTTCTCCTACGTTCGGTTAGTTTTGCTGTTTGGCCGGCAACAGAGTAGATCAAGACGGTAAAAAAAGAGGGACCGCACATTCTGTATTATCTTGTAGATCTCAGGGTCTGTGGTCTGCAAGTGCTCTGCGAGCTCCTGGATGGGTGTTAGCAAGCTGGCCGCCGTTCAATGGGTGGGCACTGTGGGATGTTGCCGTACATTGTGGTTGCCGGCCGTGGAGCTCTGCCACCGCACGAACTGCGCGGGTCTGATGAATGAACGAGGGACGGCAAACCGCCTGGCGGCGCTGGCACACCGCAGAGACATCTCGATATCTCTCTATCAGCAGCGTAATTCAATTGGAAACGAGGGCTATATCTCTAGGAGCGAAGAAAACGGGAGCAAAAAACGCGATGGCCTTTTACTCAGTCGGTCTTGGATGAATGTCCTTTTGCTCTCCAAACTTATCGTCGCCGCTTTCGGGATCTCCAACTTTCCCGCGGAGCTGACTAAGAGCGGCTTAGTCACCCCGCGGACCCAGGTGCTTGTTATTAATATCTGAGTCATTTATCTTACTCATCCCTGACTCATTATTTCTTACTCATTACTGAGTCATCTAACTGACTAATATAATCATGTGACTCACTCGACGCTGCTCCCTTTTTCTTCTCCCTCTTTTTTTTTCTTCGGCTTCAACTTTTTTTCTTTTCTTTCTTCTTTCTTTCTTTCCTCACACAACTAAATCCAAAGTGATGAGCGGGCATCTTCTCATCCGCTGCAACACTCGCCGTCCTCTTTTCCTTCTGGGGGGAGAGGCCGTCTGCGGGTGCTGTGGACATGTCCCGGCCCCATCTTCACCATCCTTCCAGGGACAATGTGAGATCTTCTGATTGGAGTCAATAAATGTTGTGTGTCCTAATATATCTGGACTTGAACTGGATAGCACTCTTTTATCACCTGTGATATATTGAAAACAGAGGTAGTACCAGCAAGCTTCTGGACTGGCGACGACGGGAGATAAAGGAGCGAAAAGGAGCCGAGTTAAGACACCACTCTCTTTTAGTGGAGGGGGGGGGACGGACAGATTAAAGGACACACGGGCGATACGAGTGTCAGGTATATTGAGCATTACGAAAGGTACCAGCACAACAGCCAGCAGCTAGAAGCAACCCATCGATGGGACTATTGACGGCGAACCAGAGCACAAGAACGGTTGACAAGACCAGCATGGCGATCAGGCACCACGACGTCAACTAGTCTCCCCCCGTAGGACTGAGCTGGCGGTCTTTGTACCAGCAGGAGACGAGTCACAGATAGACAGACAGATACTCCGTACAGACAGATACTCCGTAGGCCACACATACTTCGTTACAGGCGCAAAGACGAGGAAGACGAGGAAGACAGGACGGAGGCCCACTCGAGCCCTCCATCTCGATCTCGTTCTTCACCTGGCCGGCCCCCTGTCACCGTCGCTCTGCCGTCGCTCTGCCTGCCGCTCTCCCTGTCACTCCCAACTCTGCTGCTCATCCCTATTATTATAACTCTCGCTACCGCCGGCCTCGCCTCGCCAGCCGTGTGGGCGGTAAGTAATTAAGTAATCAGGCCCTTAAGTTACCGTGCCTGGTCACGTCACGTAAGTACCGTAAGTTACACTACAGCGCCACCACAGACGCCTCGGCGTTCCTGGGCGCACACGCAGCCAGGAACCAGGAGAATTCGCAAACCAACGACCCCATAGCATATCACTGGAGTCGCCGGGACAGCGACGAAACAGGACAACGCACTGCTGCTGCTGCCGCCTGGTGACGGTGACGGTGACGGTGACGGTGACGGTGACGGTGACGGTGACGGTGACGGTGACGGTGACGGTGACGGTGACGGTGACAGAGTGACTGATGACGGCGACGGGCGGTGGCGTCTGCTAGTGGCAAGCAGGCGGTTCTCGTCCTCCCTCCCTCGCATGCGTCGCAGATCTTGCTCCTTTTTCGTGTCCGCCAGTCGCTGTGTGTAATCTAAACTAAAGACCCGCTGGTACCGGAGCATACGCTTACGCGCCCGTACCAGGCACTCCTTTTTCCTCCCCCCCCTGCGTCCCGCCCGCCCTCTCGCTGTTCCTTTAATTATTTTATATATCTTCGTCGTCTCGTCTCGCTCTTTTTTGCGACTCTCCTTCTTCTCTTCTCTTCTCTTCTCCAACGCACTTCTCGTCGTCCACAGTCGCTCTCTACAGGTTCTTGAGACCGTCCGCTCTTTCGCTTACGACCGCCGCTTCTTCTCTTCTGCCACAAGCCAAAACCCTCGTCTACCAAAAAGGACAACCGCCGTCACCATGCGCTACTCCGTCGCCGCCGCTGCCGCCATGGCCAGCCTCGCCTCTGCCTCCATCATGGGCACCGGCTCTTCCATGCCTGACGTCGTCACCGAGGTTATGACTAACTTCGAGACGTACTGCCCATCGCCAACCTCTTTCACCTACGGCACCCAGACCTACACCATGACTGCGCCAGGCACTCTCACCTTCACCGAGCCCTGCACCGTCACCCGCACTCTCACCTCCTCCACCGCCACCGAGTGCAGCTCCTGGTACGTTTGCGCCTTGCTGTTACTATGTATATATAGGAAGAGAGAGAGAGAGAGAGAGATACTAACTTCTGCAGCCCAACCGCCCCTGCTCCTACCAGCGCTCCCACCGGTGGCATCCCTGGAACCGGCGCCCCCGTCCCAGTCCCAGCTCCCACCGGCGGCAGCACCTCCATCTACACACCACCAACCTACCCCAACTCGACTGCCCAGGCTCCTCCCATGGGCACTGCCAGCGGCACTGGCGTCATCACCGCTCCTCTGCCAACCTACACTGGCGCTGCCTCGCGCGCCGTTGTCGGTGCCGGAGCCGGTCTCGCCGGTCTCCTCGGTCTCGCTGCCCTTTTGCTGTAAACAGTCGACTGGGGGACGCTGATGGCTGAGGGTTATGTGTTGGATCGACGGTCTACGGATGGAGCTTTTGCGTGTATTGGTAGTTCTATCTTGAGTTAATGCATAATCTTCTTATTATTTATTACTTTATAATCAACACTTATGCTCTTTTCTTCCTAACTTCTTCTACTTCTACTTCTACTTCTCGAAAACCCCACTGTACTCCGTAGATACAATGATATACATATATTGACGCCTGTCATCCCCTGTCAACCACGCAGTCCGGAGTAAAGACTTTCAATAGTCTCCTGCTTCACGGCCCTGGACTTGACTTCCCACTACTTTGCTTGGCCTGGCACCGGTGGAGGTAAAATAAGACGACGAGATTGCCACCCGTCACAGCGTCCATCCTGTAACCGAATCTCCTCTCAAACGCTCCATCCTCGTCAAACCATGGAGCGGCAAACCGCCCAAACCACCAACCCATCCCGTCCCACGGCCAGCAGCCGACGGCTCGACGGACTCATCCCCGGGGCCCCCGATCGACTTCAGGTTGCTTCCTGATCCTCAGAATCCCTTCCCTTGATTGCTTGCCGGCCCGTCTACCCCATGGGGAACAGGTCGTACGTTTTGGCCGCGCGAACGAGTCTCTGGCACGCTACCTTTTACCCGATTTTTAACGCTCGTCTGGTTCGGTTCTGGGAGGCGAGGTCCACTAGCTCGAGTCCCTAGAATGCAGGATATATAAAGAGGAATAAGGTCCTAGCTGGAGTTCCAGTTGGATGCTGGATGTTGACGTTGACGTTGGATCCCTATCCTGGCCTGGTGAAGCCTGACGCCCGACGCCTGAAGCCGACGAGGGCGAAATCAGTAGAGACGACTCGCGAGCCATGGAGGCGTCCAAGACGGAGGAGGAGCTGGTGGGCGGCCTGCAGCAGCTCAGCGACGAGGAGCTGCAGCTCGAGAAGAAGCTGCGGCGCAAGATCGATAGCTTGATCATGCCGCTGGTCATCCTCGTCTACCTCCTCAACTACATCGACCGGTATGTTTACTCTGCTATACTCTGCTATACTCTGCTATACTCTGCTATACCCTGCTATACCCTGCTAGTTTAGTCTTATATATGTGTGTATGTGATGCTAATAGTGGTAGCAACAACTATGCGGCTGCTCGATTGCAGGGACTGGAGGCGGATCTCGGGCTCGGGGGCTCGCAGTATCAGACCGGCCTCTCCGTCCTGTTCGTCGCGTACATCCTGATGCAGGTCCCGTCGAACCTGCTGCTCAACTACATGGGCCGCCCGTCGCTGTACCTGGGCGGCTTCACCGTGGCCTGGGGCGCCGTCTCGGCCCTGACCTCGCTCGTCCACACGTACCAGCAGATAGTCGTCTGCCGCTTTCTGCTCGGGCTCGTCGAGGCCCCCTTCTTCGCCGGCGTGCTCTTCTACCTGTCGAAGTGGTACACGAAGCGAGAGCTCTCCCTGCGCATGAGCATCTTCTACTCGGGCTCGCTGATCAGCGGTGCCTTTGGCAGTCTCATTGCGGCCGGCATCCTCAACGGTCTCGCGGGGGCGCGCGGCCTGTCCGCCTGGCGATGGCTGTACATCATCGAGGGCGCAATCACCATCGCCGTCGGGCTGGTCATCGTCGTGGTGCTGCCCGACTTCCCCGATACGTGGAAGCTGCTGCCGGCCGACCTCAAGCACGTAGCCAACAAGCGGCTGGCCGTCGAGGCGGCAGAGGCCGACGTCGACGTGCCCGGCGGCATGAGCCAGCTGCGAGGCCTCAAGCTAGCCATGACGGACGTCAAGACCTACGCCATTGCGATAGCCTACATGTCCATCACCGCCGCCTCGGGCTTCCAGAACTTCTTCCCAACGCTCACGCAGACCCTGGGCTACTCCAAGATCATCTCGCTGCTGCTGGTGGCGCCGCCGTACCTGTTCATGGTGGTCTACAGCCTGGCTCACTCGTGGTACTCCGACCGCCGCAACAACCGGTTCTGGTTCTTCATCTACCCGATCCCGATCACGCTGGTCGGCTTCATCATCTTCATGACCACGGACGCCTTTGGGCCGCGCTACTTTTCGTTTTTCCTCATGATCTTTGTGTTTGCGCTGAACGGCACGCTGTACGGCTGGATCGCCAGCGCCATCCCCCGCCCGCCGGCCAAGAGAGCGGCCGCATACGCCTTTATCAACTCGCTGGGCAACTCGGCCAGCATCTGGACGCCGTTTACCTACCGCAACGGGGACCAGCCGCACTACCGCCTGGCTCTGGGCGTGGCTGTCGCCTGCCAGCTGCTGGCCGCCGCCTGCGTCGTCTTCCTGCGCTGGTACTTGCAGCGCCAGAACCGCGAGCTCGCCCGCTACGAGTCCGTCGGCCTCGAGCAGCTCACGGACAAGGAGCTGGCGAAGCTGCAGCGGACGGCCGAGATCGAGAACGTCGACGTGCACCAGGCCCGCCTGCTGCAGCTCGGCTTCCGCTACCAACTGTAGACTATCTAATAACTATCTCTAACAACTATCCATCCATCTATATATCGTGTCACTGTAATCCATATCCATCTCTGTATAATCTGTATAATCCGTATAATCTGATATCTGATATCTGATATCTGATATCACCGTGTTAAAGCCCGGTCACGTGCCCAGGAAGCAAAAGCGGCCCTTCGCTCCCGCGACGAAACTGCAACTTCGACTTTCGCCCTCATCGCCCTCGACGCCCTCGACGCCCGCTTCACGCCAGCTCCAGGACGCCCGCCCGCTGCCCCCGACTGCCTCTCCCGCCCGCTGCTCAGTGTCAATGGTAGCTGGCGACGCCCGCCTCTGTCTGTAGCCCCCGTCCGGTCGCCCGCGAGCCGCCAGCGAGCTGCCCGAGTGCACGCCAGCCACGGCACACACCCCCCCGTTCCGCCTGCTGTTGTTTTTTTTTGCGCCAGAAGGGGCTCGACAGCGACCTATCTACACACCACCACCACACCGCAGCCACCGGCCTCGACAGCGACAGCGACCACACCGCATCGTCCCAGGTCCGTCTGCAGTCCTTCTACTGCCCTTCTTCTCTTCTTCTCTGGTATTCCTTTTTCCTGCCTGCTCCATCGCCCGTCCTATCGTTTCCCACCCCCCAGTTGGCGTCCTTTCTGGACGTGTTTTCGCCACGGGGCGCAGGCGTGGATCTTGCCGTTCAAGAACATTCCACTCTGTCTCTCGCTCTCGCTCTCGCTCACTCACTTTCTCTCTCTTCAGCCAGGCTAACTTAGCTCGCAGATTATTCCTGTAGGCCTTGCACAGCGAGACTGTCACCGCACACAGCTGTTCTGTTCGGTTTGTTGGTGTCCCATCTGGCGCCACCGTTGAGGCCATCCGGGCTGGTCAAAAGTCTTGCCTGCGTTCTCGTTCGAGTCTCTGCATACCCGCGATTCGTCTAGAACTTAACCCAGGGCGGACAAAAGACAAATCCTCGCTCTGTTCCTGCTTGATTCTTTTTTCACTATTCATTGCTGCTGCATCGTCTTTTTTTTTTTGCATCTTCGCGTTTTCTGCCCTTGTTTTCTTTTTCTTTTCTTTTCTTGTCTCTATCCGTCTCAAGTGTGCGTGTACTCGTTTCATTGCAATCATGGCGGGGAAAATGACTCTATATAAACTCGTTGTCTTGGGCGATGGAGGAGTCGGCAAGACAGCTCTCACAATCCAGGTTGGTCTCCAAACATGATACTCAAAAAGGAAAAATAAAAAAAATAAAAAAAATAAAAAAAAAAAAAAGAATACAGAAAGGAAACAGCATCACTAACGGGAAGCAGCTCTGCCTGAACCACTTCGTCGAGACATACGATCCTACGATTGAAGACTCATATCGCAAGCAGGTCGTTATTGACCAGCAGTCGTGCATGCTCGAGGTGCTCGACACCGCCGGACAGGAGGAATACACCGCCCTGCGCGACCAGTGGATAAGAGACGGCGAGGGCTTCGTGCTCGTGTACAGCATCACCTCGCGCTCATCCTTCACCAGGATACAGAAATTCCACCACCAGATCCAGCTCGTCAAGGAATCAGCCAGCTCCGGCTCGCCCACGGGAGCAAGCTATCTCTCCTCGCCGCTCAACTCCGCCATCTCAACCACGCCCACCGGCCCCGTACCCGTCATGCTCGTCGGCAACAAGTCAGACAAGGCCGTTGAGCGCGCCGTTTCTTCCCAGGAAGGCATGGCTCTGGCCAAGGACCTCGGCTGTGAATTTGTCGAAGCCTCCGCCAAAAACTGCATCAATGTCGAAAAGGCCTTTTTTGATGTTGTCAGGCTGCTCAGGCAGCAAAGACAGCAGCAGCAACAGCAACAACAGCTCAACCGGCCGTCGGATCGGAGAACAACTGGGTTTGGTGGACAGGGCGGCTCTAACAGGGACCTCAACGGATCAGACTATCAAAAGGCTCTACGTCCCGATCGATCAAAAACACACCGGGGTGTCAAATGCATGATTCTCTAAGGGTCCCTTTTGCTCCGATTCAACTATATACACCCTTAAACTGTCCCCTTTTCTATTACATCTAAACTGCCCCTTTTCCCTGCTTCTTTATCATACCCCTACTTATTCTTATTCTCTTTTTTTTGTTCCCTTGGCTCCTTGGATATTCCCCCCTCGATATTTATTCCTTCCTTGTGCCAACTCCCGCTGCACAACGGTCTTGAGTTGTTTCCCTTTGGTTCGTTTCTCCTATTTTACAGCCTACTCATCTATTCTATTCCGATCCCTATCTGGCCATGCCATCCGCCGCCAGCCATCATCTACCACCTACCGTCTTACCGTCCCACCGTTTCCGAGCCAACCGTACCTGAAACCGATATTTTTTACATGACTTGATGATCTATACGAACGAAGAAGTTAATTATCCTTTTTTCTACTATTTCTGCCTTTTTTTTCCAACATTCCTTTTCTTGCCGGCCGCCTGTCTGCTTGCTACTGCTGCTGCCTCTTGCCTTGGTTTTTTGCCTTCTCTAGCCCAGGAGTTTTTTTATTTTTTCAGGACTTTCTCGTCTGTGTGCATGAATCAAGTGGGGAGGATGGAGAAGAGAATATACAGAGAACTCGAGAGCAATTGGATGGACATGGGGAAGGGAGGAGGATGGTTGTTGTTGCATGCTGGATGTGTGATGTGATGGGTCATCTGAACCTGCGGGACTGCGGGACTGCTAATGCTGCTGCTACTGCCGCTACTACAACAACAACCACAACAACCTGGATATGAGAGACTATGTGAGACCGTTACATATATATAATACCATATATATACATGTGGTTCTCTTTTCTCTCTGCCTTTTTTTTCGCCTTATTTTTCTTATTTCGACAACTTTTTCTTCCCCCCCCCCCCCCCCCCCCCCTTCCCCCACTCTTGCTGCCCACTGCCCAGGAACACGGCCGAATGAATAACTACGCCGCTGCCAATGCGATCCCCACAGCAAGCAATACAACGCAATATTAATATGCAAGTCTACATACTCCGACGGCCAGCAGAGAAGAAGTTGAGATACCAGGGAAATCCTCGGGATACACACCCCGCAACTACGGAGAACACCAGACGGCCGGCCTCCTCAAACGCCACGGCTGCCCCTGTGCCAACGTTATCTATTATCCAACCTCTCCTCGCCCGGCCCTCTTCTGCTGCCAACGGGCTTTCTACCACTTCTACCTAGCTCTCTGTCCGGGGGGCTGATTGCAAATGTATATAATATCTATCATCACAGCTAACGTGCTCAGGGTTGGGTGGACATCTCGCTTACTTATGTAGTAGACGGTGTATATTCCATGTCTTCTCCTTTCCTTCTTCTTCTTCTTCTTCTTATACTTCTTCGTCCTGTTATAGTTCCCTTCTCTTATACACAATCTAGATATACTGTCAATCCACCGAGTTTCCTTTAATAACTCCATCGTACATACCTACCTGAGTCTCCCGTATCTAAATAATCTTCATCTGCAGCTTCATCCCAGGCCCCCCCTGTCAGCCCAGACAGCCTCCCCGGCCTGCCATTGGCCTGCACGGCCGTCTTGGGCCTCATCTCACATCCCCGGCGGCCAACAGGGGCCGGCCCCAGACGCCATGGGAAAGCAGCAAACGGGATGCCGGCAACTCCCAGCTGCCTTTACCTAGGTAAAACCTCGTTCTTATGTAAACGGGCCGCGCAGGTATCGTTATGGAGCATCGCCCCTGCGGCCGTGGCTGGCGTTCCAAGACATGAGCTCTGGCGTCTTACTTAATCCTTCGGCGTTGCTTGAGCGGTATAACCGACCGACCTGCCAACCATCAAAGCCGCTTCACAGCTGCTCAAACTGTCCAGCCGTTTGATTAATGATCATCTCGCTTCGCCTGTCTGATATCTTAATAGCCATCATTAGCTATTAGCTCACCATCCCAAGCAATAATGCCGGCATTACACCCTCAGGATGCAGTGCAGAGCCTAGCGCTCACACACCCGGAGCAGTTCTGGGCTCGCCACGCAGCACAGCTTCACTGGCACAAGACGCCCTCTGCCGCTCTACGCATGGGCACAAGGACGCTGGCCGACGGTACTCGGCATCAGAGCTGGTCGTGGTTCCCAGACGGCGAGATCTCGACTACTTATAATTGCGTAGACAGGCATGTTCGGGCTGGCCGCGGAGCAGACGTGGCTATCCTATGGGAGTCGCCGGTGACGGGCCGCGAGGAGAAGATCACCTATAGCCAGCTGCTCGAGGAAGTGGAAGAGCTGGCAGGCGTGCTGAGGGAGCAAGGGGTGCAGAGGGGCGATGTGGTGGTTATCTACAGTATGTCTACGTGCAGCGCGTGGACCGGACTGTGTTAGTTTTTTTTTGGCTGACGGTTGATAGTGCCCATGATACCTGCTGCGCTTGTTGCGGCACTGGCAATTACAAGGTTGGGAGCAATCCATGCTGCTGTCTTTGGCGGGTTTGCTGCAACCTCCCTTGCCCAGCGGATAGAGGCAGGCCAGCCAAAGGTTGTCATGACTGCATCCTGTGGCATTGAAGGCAAAAAGGGCCCCATTGAGTATAGACTCCTGGTCGAGGATGCTATTTCCAAGTGCTCCTTCAAGCCTGAACGGGTGATTGTATGGCAGCGAGAGGAGCTGCGTTGGTCTCCTATCCGTGAGGACCGGGGTCAGAGGGACTGGCGCCGCCTGGTAGATGATGCAAAAAGGCGTGGTCTACGGGCTGATGCGGTGCCAGTTCGGAGTGATGAAGGATTATATATCATATATACCAGTGGTAGGTTATATGTTACATGATTTGTGATGAGCGAGAGAGGAGGCAAAAAAAGATTTGGCTGATTGAATGGAATGTGATAGGCACAACGGGGACGCCCAAGGGGGTGCTGAGAGAAGCCGGTGGCCATGCAGTCGGCTTAAATCTCTCCATCAGGTACCTTTTTGATATCAAGGGCCCCGGCGATGTGATGTTCTGTGCTTCTGATTTAGGGTGGGTCGTTGGCCATTCGTTCATACTCTATGC